TATATAATAAGACTATATTAAGGTTTAGGAGGTCTCTCGTATAAGGTTTATAGCCTTACTAGTTAAATAGTAATAGGCCTTTTCAATAATATAAATTATAATTACTAGAAGAAATAAATATTTATCTAGTTTTTTATAAATTATTACTAGAAAAAGTACTATTTAATATATAATCTAGATTAATTTATATTAATAAAAATATTTAAGAATTATATTATAATATAAAGAAAATTCTTTAGTATTATCGATAAAATAAGTAAATAGAATACTTAATTAAATAGTTAAGATACTTAAAGAAAGAAAATATCTAGAAACTAGTAACTAATCTTAACTTAAAACTTATTATCTAGTACTACTACTAGAAAAAGAATCTAGAATCTCTTATAAATTCTCGTTAAAGAATACGAAAAAGAAGTTAATTTAAATCTAAAGAAGATAGAGTATATTAGTTTAAGAATTAATTATTTAAGACTAATTATTAAGAAGAGAGCTTATTATTAAATATCTTAAGAGTTATTATCTCTCTTTAAATTATTTAATTAGAGATATTCTTTAAATAATATAATTATACTTTAGATTAAATCCCTTTGTTCTTTAATTCTAATAACTTCTAATAAGCTTTAATAATAAGTTAGTGTTTTATAAATAACTTATCTTCGATTTTTTTCTTTTATTTATTAATTTCTTAAAACTCTTTTAGAGAGAAAGTTCTATTATATATTCTTTAATATTTTAGATAGTTAGTATATTTAAATAACTATTCGCGATTATAATAATACGTTATATTATACTTAAAGTACTTAATATATAATACTATAGCTTTATTTTTCTTAATAGTAATAGTAGCGATAACTTTAAGAAGACGTTTAGCTTTACTTTAAGAATATAAAGATTTTAGGTTTTTCGAGACTTTAGGAGTCTTTAGCTTAGAAGTCTTAAAGATACGAAATCTATATATAATAAGCTATAGGGAAGAAATAGAGAAGGAAAGGATAACTAGAGAGGAGCGCTTATTTTAAGTACGTCGAGAGCGATAAACGACTAGAGGGGGAGATAGTATTACGAGAGTTAAGATATAGACTAAGTTATATAAGTATCTATAGAATCTTTCGAGAAGGAGATCCTAGAAAGATTTACTAATAGGACTATATAAGGCTAGATTATATAATCGAGATATTTTGAAAAGGAAATATTAAGTCTAATAGATCTATAAACTATTAAAATAAAGAAATATAGGAATATAGACGAATATACTAATATTATATATATACGCTCCTTAGACTAGATAGAACTACTCGTAGTTAACTTCGTTAATAATCCTATATCTACATTTAGGATAATTTGGAACTAAGTTCTCTTCGTTCATATCTCACTTCACCATCCCGTATCCACCTATTAAGGAAACCTCTTGGTTAGATACTGTTCGCAGTTCCGATTATAATAATTACTAGTAGTGGTCGTAATAAACTAGGCCGTAAACGGCTAAAACTCACTTATTTTAGTTGCAATATTTACGAGATGCATCTCTATGTAGAGATAGGTTGCCATGATAAGTTTCATATAAATCTATATAGAAATGGTAGTGTGGCGGCCATTTGAATTACTTGATAGACTATAAAATGCATCGATTACAATTTTGTTGTGGTGACGCCAAGACCTGGAGTACCAGCGTGACCACTCAAGGGATACAGTCGGTAGTGGTGGTACTTTGATCGTTCAGTGGATTGTCAATACTAACAGACCTTTCACTGATGCCGAGGACCGCGACTTACGCGCTATCTTCGAATACCTGAATCCATCTGTTGCTTTACGGAAAGCCCATGTAACCGGAGACTCCATTCGAAACAAGATCATTGCAGAGTATTGCAAACACCGAGATACCATTATCGGAGTTCTGCGCCGTTGCCCTGGTCTTGTGCACATCTCCTTTGATGGCTGGACTGCTCGAACTCGACAAAGCCTGTACGGGATGGCGTGTTTCTTTAGAGATGAGCAGAATAGTCCTTGGAAAATTGTCCTCGGTCTATCCGAGATATCGGAACGGCATACTGGTGAGAACATTGCGGCCGAAGTATTCACAGTTATCGATTTATTTGGCATTCGAGACAAAGTAGGGTACGCAACCCTCGACAATGCTGCCAATAACGGCACGGCGATGGACACGCTTGGTGAACTCCTTGGATTTGATGGCAAGTGGCGGCGGCGAGTGCGTTGCTTTGGCCATACCCTTAATCTTGCTGCTAAAGCCCTTCTTTTCGGCAAGTGTGCGGATGCTATCGAGCTGGATGACCCATTCAGTGGAGTCAGTTTTGTATCTGATGCCGAATGGGCAGGGTGGCTGAAGAAGGGGCCAATTGGTGCGTCAATGCCCGAAATTTTGGTTCCCCTCGCTCAGATGTTTTAGGCCAGCTGCATAATATTGTGCATGGCATTTATCATGCGCAACGTCTATCCTATCTACTGCGAGACATCCAAGCCGATGACAACAATAAGGCATCAAGTGCGAAGTTGCGAGCTAGGAAACCACTCCAAGTGATTCGAGACAACGACACGCGCCGGCTGCCGCAGCTCTACATGATCCGTCGAGCGCTCAAACTTCGAAGACACATCGAGCTTACTATTCTCAAATTCAAGCAGGAGTGGGAAGATGAGAACATGGCCAAACGCACCAAGCAAGTCAGGAAGGGTGTGAAGATCCCTCAGATCATCAAAGATGAGTCACAGTTGACTGGGAATGATTGGGATGTACTCCAGAGGCTCGTGGAGATCCTCACAGAGTTTGAAACCGTGGTGAAAACTCTGGAAGGTGATGGCCAAATTCGAAAGCGCAAGCATGGATTTGTCGGTTCTTACGGCAACATATGGGATGTCATCCTAGGGTTTGAGAGGCTGATGGCCAAGCTCGAGACGTTCAAGGCCGAGGCCGAGGACTTTCCTGATCCTGAGCAATTCAGAATTGGTATCAATTTGGCATGGCGGAAGATGGACGAGTGCTACCGTAGTAAGTTATCTTGCTGGTTAGATGGCCAAAGCTGACCATCGAAGAACTTGACGAAACGCCTGTCTACTACACGGCTATGGCGCCGCTCCATCCCTCATATGGCTGGGCATGGTTTGAGAAGCAATGGGAGCAGAACCCGACTTGGACTTCAACGGCGAAGACCATGGTGAAAACCGTTTGGCAGCAAGACTACTCGCATCTCGTCGTGCCTGATGATGGTGATGACGAAGAAGGGCCTGCTCCAAAAAGGCGCAAGTTTCTCGACCCGTTCGACCATAACGACCGTGGAAAGCAGCCCCCTCAGCAGAATCGGCGAATTCCGGGCGACGAGTATGAGTCTTGGTGGGCTCATGACGGTGAGCATATCGAGACCCGAGATCCTGTGGCGTACTGGCATGAGAGGCGGCACAGGTATCCCCGTCTGTCTCGAATGGCTCTTGATTTTCTCACCGTTCAAGCCATGTCTGCAGAGTGTAAGAGACTTTCCTCGGCATCTGCAGAATGGTCTCGCTACAGAGGACACTTCTCGATACACAAATCGTCAGCATGTGTCAAGTACTTCGATCTTGGTATCGCGCCGGCCTGATCCAACAAATTGACCCCTTGCTGCTGTCGATTCATGAGGAGGAGGAACTGGTAAGTCTGCAGAGCTTTGGGGACAACGAGACCGTGAAGATGAAGGCGACAGCATGGTTAAACGGTCACACGGCCGTGGAGAGTGACGAAGAGGGTGGGGAGTTCACTACAGGGGGGTTTGAGGATGTTTTTATGGGGTTTAAAATTGACGAGACTGAAGTGGAGGCTGAGGTTTAGACAGCGACAGGGGTGATGTCAACGAAATCAACATTGTACACATACACATCACACGATGGGCATGTTGATCAACATCACACGGGGTTTGGACGTAATGTCAACATTAACTCCATGCACGTGCTATGTGACGTTGTGTGGCATTGATCGGAACCTTGGTCTGCCCTTCCTTTGCCCTTTTTGCGGTCAGAGAACTCGCGATAGTCGTCAAGTAGTAGCTCGATGGCTAGCTGATAAATGTTGGTATGATTAAACAAATAACGTAAATACATTTTAATAAAGCCTATAAACTCTGACGCTTGGGAACTTCATAAACAAGTAACATCATAAATTTTCATCATGTTCCAACACCTGGCAGAACTTATCAAAGGCCCTGAAATTAATGTTGACAATATCTTATCAAAGCATCTCCTCCACCTTTTCGTGACCACTCGCTACTAGTGTCGTGGTTCCAGCCATTGACGAAATCCCAAGTTATAGCTTAAGCGAACGATCGTGGAGCCTTATCCTTTTTTGGTTTCTTGAACCTCACCTGTTCTGATTCTTGGGTAATGGACGTCCCGAGTCACCTCTTGGCCTTTAAGACGCTTCAGGTCATCGTTATCTCGAGCGACTAATTCCGGAAGACATTATTTTGACGCAGGACCAGAAGCTCGAGATGATTGGGCGATCATTGGTAATGAAGATTCAATGCCGTTCTTCGATATAGCACTCTTTAGTCTCCAAGCCCTCCTTATGCTAGTCATGACGACTCTCTGCAAATGAAGCGGATCATTAGGTGAATCAGCTCCCAATGTTAGGGACTTGAGAGCAAAATTAAGCCAAAATCTTTTTACCTGTCACTAGGATGAATTGACTCCTTCGCCTTGTCTGTGTTGGAAGGGCCAATTCTCACTGTAACGGTGCCGTCATCGCATGTGAAGACCTGTCATAGGCTGAATAAGATACGACATTCAGGGAAACAAAAGCAATGTTTTTTGATTCAGAAGCTACCGCATGACTTGGCTTTCACATGGGTGTGAACACCAACTCCATGTACGCATGGTCAATGATGATCGAATGAGAAAGAATCTCTACGGTCTCACCCTCCGTCACACGCCTCGTAGCGGCATGTTTGAAAATCGAACATCAAGACGCACGTTCGGCCGTGCGACACTCGTGCTGAACCAGTTCCTTGACGTTGGCAGCTTCAAGCTTGGGTTACCACATCTCCCGGTGCTGTTGCCTCGTTTGCTTGTGCCGTCGGATTTACGACGGGACATGCCCTCAATTCGGTCTGCGTCACAGCATATGACGCTAGAACCATCCCGACCGTGCTAGTATCGCTTTGCACACCATCAATACACAGCTCGGATCTTAGCGGCGCAGTGCCATAGTACTTCCCTCCATCGTATGGTCTGTCAATATTGGGTCCAGAGTCGATGTGAGCAGGATGCGGATAGCCAGCACAATGCATCATCTCGTGAAGTAAGGTCTGAGCGATTTCCCTATCTCCTTGTGGGAACAAGTTGTTGAAGTTGATGAACAAGTGGCGCGCATTGAGATCTGGAACGTACGCATTGACACCAGGGAGTGTGGTAGCGCTGTGGCGAATTCCCTGCCTGTATACAGCTCGAACTTTCTCTTTCTCTTCCGCGCCGATATTACCACAGATGCCGGCGCGGTAGAATGCCCAAGTATGGCGCTCGAGAAGTTTCCTTCGCTGAGCCTCTGTGATATCATCATCGAAGCTAAAATTGCTCAGCAGACCTGACTCCCACCAGCGATAGATAGGCACCGCATGATTGGTAGGATTAGGGTGCATATACCCGAGTATGCCTTCGCTTTTGTATGCAGGTGGTCCGAGCTCGCCAGTTGCATCTGCTGTGTAGAAATGATCACCACTTTCGGAGTTGTACCATCGATACAATGCGACTGTGTTGACCTGTCTCTGATTGAACATGTACCAGGCTATGCCTTCGTACTTATAGTTCTGTGGAGCGAGCTCACCACCGGGATCGGCAGTGTAGAAATGGTCGTGGGATGTTGAATTATACCAACGGTATATGGCAACGGTATTTGGTTGCATGGAAGTATAGACATATCCTGTGATACCTTCGCGTTCGTAGTTGCCAGGGGCAAGCTCTCCAGCAAAATCAAGGGTATAAAAGTGGTCCGGCATGCTGAAGACTCTGAACACACTCAGTATTTGGGGCTTGTATGGTTCCAATGTAAGAATGATAGAAAGCTAGCTGGTGGGCTGCGGAACACAGGTTTTATATAGCTATTGTGGTGACCAACAGAGCTCATATATCCACAAAGCAAAGTGGTCTCTTTGTTACTTGTCAGTGTTTAAGTGATGCATGTCAGCGTGAAGCAATGATAAGTGAGTCTAAAACGAGCAGAGACGAGATGACAGCAAGATGGACAGGGATGGAGCCGCTGGCTATGACATTGCTCCGCTTACTCAGGAAATTGAGCAATTACTGCATTATCGATCTAATCTTTCCTTTGGTTAAAGGCTTCTACGGTCGCCATGTCGCCTCGGTCTAATCTAGACTGTCAGCCCTCGCTTGAGTTGTTGAAGTGTTTACTTAGTTGAATGACCACCGTGGCGCATTTTTTTACCACTTTCACGTGCCTTCCAAGTGACACAAATGAGGGGTCGCTTCAGCTGAGGTTCCAGAATACGAAAGCTCGACCGTCGAGATCCGTTACGCAGTTAATCTTGAGTTGAACCTGTCGTTGCCCAGCTACTAGGCTGGATTGGGCCGGATCCATCGATTTGAAACTCACGCTCCGCACTGAAGGACTCGAGGAACATATCGCGATTGGCTGAGGTCTCCAAAAGGGATACAATCAACGCAGCTTCTGAACTCGCCGAGCTAATCCTGTTGCCCACAGTTAGGGACCTCAAGAGCGTGGTCGCAATAAACGGTGTGTTGGTTCATGAACTTCCCCATTTTTCCATAGCCGTCAACCCACAGCCCCGAGTCCAGCCTGGAGAATTCAGGCAAGATGATAAGCGCCTTCGATAGATATACACATTGACCATGGCATTATCCCCTCTTCTAAAGTACTTCGACTGACTGCTTTTAAAACCAAGCTTTGGTATAATGGGCCTCGAGAACACGGCGCCTTGAGACCAACGCGACGTTACGAGGTAACAGTGTAGAGGCACGATGTAAGGGCAGTTTCTCTAGCTGAGACCTAGAATACGAAAGGGTTCTAGGATTCGTGATGAAACTAAGCCAAACTTGGGTTGGTAGAAATACTCGGTCCTAAAGCAGAATTTCGGATAAGTTGGATAAGGTTTTAGTACCCGGTGGTAAAGCTTCGAGGAGCGGGCCGGGATTGGTACGTACCCTTAAACCTTACCACTATCCCTCTCCCACTACCAGTAGTAATCTGAGTAGTATAAAGCAGAACCCTAAAAGAGGGTTTTTCTTAGCGAATTGTAGTTAGAGCAGCTTGAAAGCCGTGATTGCAACTTTGCAAGTGCCAAGAAACCCTTTGGTTCAGACTCAATTATATTGGACGGTGCCAAGAAATGTAAATGCCGATACTAGACATGATTAGCCTGCCTCACCTGATATTTAGGCTGAGGAGATCACCTGAGATAAGTAACTTCGTTGAAATTGGCGGTGACACAAGCGGCTTCCGGTCACTGCCATGACGGCTTCCTTTGTGAACATGTTCGTCCGCTGAGTGCTCAGAGAGCATACTCTGTCCAGCTAACCCTGTGCCTAACGCATGCACGGCTCTAGACTCAATAAATCGGCGCTCATGAGGCTTCGTCGAATCTTGTTCGAAAACAAACATCTTGCGCGTATACTTGTGCTGAAAGACGTTCAAATATCGATCCCTACAGATCAACGACTTCCACGAACAATGGACTTAGCCGGGTAAACCAATCACCTCCGATTAATCCACTCAGCACACACCAGCCTCATAGCAAATACGAGACATGGCTCATCGGACCGGCTGAGATACGTCAAAGTCAGCCGGGCAAGTGGTCGACCAGCCATGTTTTCAATGTCGATACCTGTCATGGCGCCGAGGACCTTGGCGGCGAAAAATGACCTTTTGAGTCCATCCGTCGTCTCAGACATCTAACGCCATGGGCGCCTCAGCTTGTTAAGTGGGTGGAGCTCGTATTCGTTCTCGAACCTGGCCATAGCGCCTGGGTGTCTCCTCTTGAGGCCCTGATTGGATTGTGGAGTTGTGAGGGTGTAGGAGGAAGGGTGGCTGCGCCTAGGAAAGGATTCGGCATGTGTGAGCCAGACGTCGAAAACAATCCCTCATTGGGACTCTGATAGTTCAATGAAAGAGCAAGGCTGAAGTTCTTCGTGTTGCTGGAACATGAAGTCGGAAAGAGGCTGCGAAGGACAGGTCTTGACGGAAAATTGTCTGGGCCAATCGGAGTGACGCCGAGCCTGAGTCACCGGCCTGTTTTAGAACATCACAGATCCTCGACACCCGATTTCATCACCTCTTCTCAATGTTTCTGGTAAAGGAAACAGCCTCCGCTCAAGAATACTTCTGTATCTGACAAGAACGAGGGGATGCCAACAGGCTGGGCAAGAGACTGGAGCAGTCTGAAAGCCACTTTCCGCAACGCAGACCATATTTCTAGGCTTGATGTCCTTCAGCTTTGCAATCCTTGGAAAGACATGGATCTGATGCTGAAAGCCCGACCTGCAGCCACACTTCTGCCTAGTTTAATCCTCTTCAACTTGAGTCTGGCCCACCTGTCCAAGCGGCCAGGTCATCGCCGCGGTGATGACTTTAACTCTCACTCTCTGCACATGGTCACAGATGCAACTATCCCCAAAACGTTTGCCATTGGTCGTCAGCTTTCCAACATCCCGGCCAAATTCCGACTTCCTCCTGTGCTGGGACGGATTCAACATTTAGAGCAAGCACCGCCCCAAGGAACCGCTATGTCCACCACACAGTCCAATCAATTTAATCAACAAAAGGAATACGGGCTCGAGGACAGCGCAGAAGGTAGCCGACGGCCTTGCCAATAATGTATGGGATCTCAAAAGAGACAACCTCGTACAAAATGGTTACCAATATAAACCACTCCCTTTCTCCGCTTACCGTATGATGTCCGCCAAAAGTACCGAATGTCCGTATTGCAACTTCATCATAATTGCTATACAGGTATCTGATGATATTGGTCCACCATTCGGTAGACACTGAGAGCTGAGAGTTACGCATGGCTTGGTTTTGAAGGGAGATGAAAACGGAAGAAAGCACCAGCTTGAGTTTTATGTAACTCCGTTGGCTCCCCTGTGAGGTGCCTTGAAATAAATATACAGCCCACCTAAATCGGTGGGATCGTCGATGGTTTAGATTGCCTCCCACGATTTTTGGGGAGCGAACATTCAGGGTCAACTGGGCTCTCCTGTTGATGGCGGTATTTCTTCTTACCATTGTCTAGATACTACAGACTCCAGACCTCTGTCATCCTATTGTATCCACCCCAACTTATGTATCATAACTTAGTGTGAACCGCGGAAGTAATATTTGAAACTCAAATAAACTTTATTGAAGAAAGTTATGCCCTGATTGGAGTATTGTAAACGCTTTTGAAATGTTTGTGGTGTTGTTGTTGTTGTTTTTGTTCTTGTTCACTTTTTCTTATTCCATCTGTTTTGTTTTTTGATGGGAGATACCATCGATTATCTAGACATCTGGTATCCTCCTTATTCATCGCTGTCAGCCCATGAATCTGCCTTAGCTGAACTGTGGAACTTTTGTCAGTGGAACTCTTGTCCACCGAGTCAGTGATTTTATCAGTTATGCCATAGACGCCCAACACGAAAGTATAAAGGGAAGATGTAAGAAAGCTGGCGTTCTTGATGAGGCTTACTACACTGAGGTCAGATAAGTCGAGATCTATCATCCGAAGTCGAGAAACAACTTCGGATAAAATTGGTAATCGTTCAATTCAAGTTTGGAACTTTGGATCAAACCCTAGTGCACGGCCCCCGGGGATCCAGTTTGGCCCCCTCTTCGGGACGACCCCGGACACTCAAATTCAAACTTAAACTCAACCCCGGCACGCTAGTCCCTTTTTTTCAGACATCCGAACTAGAAAAAACTCGGCTGTGTGATCCTCATAGAAAAGTTGTTCTGCTTGTTTCCTATGTGCATGAATAGATATATAACCTCGCTGTCGACACCCACGCCGTGGCTCCAGGCCAACCAGAGCAGGCACTCCTTCTACGCCTGCGTAAACCTCGCTATCGGCTGCGCATCCGTTTACCTAGCCTGGCGGCAGCGATGGTAAGACTCAAGTCAGGAAAATGACTGACTTGAATATTTGAGTCACTTGGCAAGTCGCTTGGCGTCCTAATTCGATCTAGCGCGTCATGAATAGAGGCAGTTGGATATTATGTAAGCCATATCATCCGGAATAATATTGATCCGACAGAATCCGATATCAATATAGTGCCGCTAAGCCTAGTCAGGACGCGCCAAGGTACTTGCCAAGTGACTCTGACTCGAGTCCTGCCATCGCTGACTGGCGGGACTATCGACATCGGTAGGCCTGCAGCGGCTGTAGGCATAGGGATGCCTCTGGAGAGGGTTGTCCGCCTGGGATGAGGTCGCTCCGCGGATAGGAGCTAGCTTCCGTTGCGGTGGCATATCCCGCCGCCTACCATTCCAGATGTTCCTCTGATTCGTTTCTTCGATGTGATGTCTCCAGGGTCAATGGGGTGGCGTTCTTTGAACGTGAGTTTTGGCAGCCGGAACTAACAGGGTCGGCATTTAGTTATGAAGACTAAACATGTTCAAGCTACCTTCAATAATGGAGCCTGCCAAGAATATAAGGGTCTCGTTTGAATTCCTACACTGTTGAGGCAACATTCAAGCTAACCAATCAGTGATGCTGAAGCCAATGTCGGCTAAATATCGACTCGTGCGAATGCCTGGTCAACAAGAGGTCGCCATCGGGTAGCCAGATGGAATAATTTTCGATGACTTTCATCCTTGGGACTGGTGGCCTACTGGAAGTCCCAACTCTATTGAAGACCTGGGCATCTTTCAATGCCCCCCATATTGATGGTATTTCTCTCATCTCTAGAAAAAGCCAAAACCCGCCTTTGCACCTTGGTGAGATGTGATATATGGTCATGAGAGCTTCTACTATCTATCCTGAGGAGAGAATATAGACTGGTCGCAGCACTCGTCCAATCCCCCGCTGTGCTCTACATCTTCATGGTAGTCAGAAATTTGTAGATTATGGCAAAGAGGTATAACATACCGTATGCCAACAGCTTCAAAAAGCTCACGTAATGGCAGAACATTTTAGATGAGGTATCATGCTTGACATCAAGGTGTTCATGGGGTCTAGTGGCTAACATTATGCACTAATTTCAAATATTACTCCACTTGTGAGGCTCATTTGGGCGTACAAGACATCTCAATTACAGCATCTCAAGCATTCTGCCTACGCCCCTGAAAGGGATCTTGAGGCTGTGTGTTGGGACGACACGCACTCTGGACGCGCACCTTCGTGCTCTGGCCGACACAATTGACCTCTGTAGTAAACTCGAGTGCTGGTGAAAACCTACATCGCTTGTGTTTCATAATGGCGAGCTATGCAGGAGCGTAAGGCTGTAAGCAGGATAGCAAGCGATCATGGATTAAAATCCACGTCACCAAGACAATCATTGTACAGTAGGGGTTACCTAGAATATATGCCTTGGCAAAAATGCGTCGTCGGTCGACAGGTACAAAGAGGTGTGAAACTGAGACAAGCCAGATAGTGCACTGACATTGTCTAGCCACTATGGATCATGGTCAGCATTCCGGTTCGGAGATATGATCACGTGCATAGCCCAAGAGCCCTTTTCGGCCCTCCCCATCCTCAACCGTTGTTCGATCATTCGATGTCCTAGGGATGTTAAGCCAATGGTCCTACGCAAACATAATGGATACCTACACACAGACAAATGCGGTGATCACGAAGTCTCCGCTCCCTAGGATATTCATAGGCAGGTATCACAGCTGTTCGATCAGGCGGGCTCCCCCCGAAATAGGTGAGAAGACCGTTGAGGGAGTCAGAGCTCTGCTGGATCTGAAGACCTATAGCACCAACAGCATTGTGGCTGATTACGTCCACAGAGAGGATGTTTTCGTATGCGTTATCTACCAGGATGCTAGGGACCCATTCTCATCGAGTCTGACGACGACGATGACGACGACGAAACTGAACCCTTCCTTCGTCTCAATGGCGTGTTAGCTTGACCAGCGATGAATGGTAGCCAGAAGGCCTGCGAGTATATGGACTTGCATTTCTCTCACGAATGAAGGTGAATTTCGACCATTCACTCTCTTCACTGTTCTTGACATTTTTTCTATTCATTCCATTCAATTCTCTTCAATCGCTTGACAGATATTTTCAAAACGAGACCAATTACTTACCGCAATCCCACTCGCTTCTGCCACACCGGTATCTCAAAACGAGAAACGTTCTATTGCACCGGAAACACTGCTGATGACCGGAGCATTTGGTGCGATTATAACATCGATACTGATGATGCAACCGAAGTTCCCAATACTGGTGTTACTCGGGAATACTGGCTCGAACTCACCGATGTGATGGTGGCTCCCGGTGGAGTATCGAGATCTGCAGTCGCTATCAATGGGTCGATTCCAGGGCCGACTCTCTTTGCCGATTGGGGTGATACGATGGTCGTCCACCAGAACTTCACCGTTCAGAACGATGGTGTGGTCGCAATCACACAGTGCCCTACTGCCCCAGGCGATTCCATGACCTATACCTGGAAAGCAACTTAGTACGGTTCATCATGGTATCATTCTCATATTGGGCTGCAAGCTTGGGAGGGTTTGGCTAATGGTATCATCATCAACGGCCCCGCCAGTGCAAACTACGACACGGATCTGGGAATGCTCTTCCTCAGCGACTGATCTCATCAGACTGCTGATCAACTGTATTGAAGCGCTCAGACTAGTGGGCCCCCAACTTTAGATAACGGTCTGATCAATGGCACAAACGTTTATGGTGACGACGAATCCGACAGCCAGACAGGAACTCGTTTCAGCACAGACTTCACCTCTGGAACTTCTTACCGGCTCCGCCTGGTCGACGGTGCAAATGATACCGTGTTAAAGTTCTCTATCGACAATCATACTCTGACTGTGATCAGTGCAGATTTTGTTCCTATTCAGCCCTACGATACAACAATGCTGACCATTAGCATGGTCATGTTCCCCCTTAACATTGTTGGGAACATTGTATCTAACAAATTATAGGTCAAATATATGACGTGATAGTCACAGCTGATCAGGCCGATATTGCGGATAGTTTCTGGATGCGCGCCATTCCACAGCTAGCCTGTTCCGACAATGACAGTACCGACAACATCAAGGGGATTGTGTTCTATGACGGCTCGACGACCACACCCACCACTACCGGCTATAGCTATACGGACAGTTGTAACGATGAGGATGTTGTCAACCTCGTACCCGTTGTCTCCAAGACCGTCGATTCGACTTTCACGAAAAAGGACGAGCCCGTCACTCTGGGCGGAAACAGTGACAGTCTATTTCGTTGGTTCATGAACGGCACGTCGATGGATGTAGATTGGGAGACCCCGACCCTTCTACAAGCGTACAACAACAGCACAAGCTTACAACAACAGCACAAGCTTCGCGAGCTCTAGGAGCTTCGTCGAGCTACCCAACGCCAATGAGTGGGCATACGTGATTATCGAAACCACCATGCTCATTCCCCATCCCATCCACCTCCACGGCCATGATTTCTTTGTCCTCGCACAAGGCACCGGGACATACGATGCCGATTCAATGACTTTGAATTCAAGCAACCCTCCAAGACGAGATACTGCAACCCTGCTTGCGTCTGGGCACCTGGTCATTGCGTTCGAGACCGACAATCCTGGCACGTGGCTTATGCACTGTTACATTGGATGGCATACTTCAGAAGGATATGCCGTGCAGTTCCTGGAACGGTACGACGAAATTCGAGACTTGATCGTTTCTGATTCGATGGAGTCGACTTGCAGTACCTGGGAGACCTATGCAGATGAAAATTAATTCGAGGCTGCCGATTCGGGTGTTTAAATTGTCTGCTGCATGGTTTCTTTGGAGCAATGGCACCAAGATAGGTAACGTCCCTAAGAGACCCTCCAGAATCCAATTTGGGCGTATGAGCAACAAGTTGCAGCGCTATGTATCCCTATAGTGAGCAGTCCTCTTGGTTTCCCTTTACGACTTCAACCTGTTAGATACGGGCAGGGGCATGGAAGAGTCTATAGTAAGATCAGTTTAAACGCATTCACTGTAGTTGAAGGTTCAATGTCCATTGGTTGATTCATCGGTTTAAAGAATCCATGGTGCGTACGTTCTTCGTATTATTCCCGGAGGGAGGGAGAAGAGGGACCGACCTAATGACTATGCGCAAAAAGGAAAATGAAACCCCTTGAGGGTTCCGTGTCCCAGCTCCATTCCATCACTCATCGTAAAGTTGAAGATCCAGCTCTAGAATCCTTGTGGTCGCTCGCCGAAACAAGAGAATGGAGACTTTCAAGGGAGCTTCGTGCCGGCATCGTAACCCGGGAAGGCAACGAATCCGTTGGTGGAGGAGAACAGTGTACAGTCTCGTATGACGACCGGATTGGGGAACCAAGGTGGGTCAGCGGGGATGCTCCTGAAGTCGTAGTTGGCGTACACGCAGTTAACATCCGAGGCGCAGGCCTCCAGGCAGACTACGAAGTCGGGGCAGTTGAAGGGGCTCCCTGCGAGGGTCTGGCCGTTGACCTGGAAGCCACACTGAAGCGAGAATTGCTCATTGTTGCTAGCCCTATAGGGGCTCGACAGCGAGGCGCAAGTTGCGGCAGCGGCAGCGGCAGCGGTAATGGTGATTGTGGTGGTGGTGGTGGTGGTGGTGGTGGTGGTGGTTGTCGTCATTATAGAGATCATCGAGGTCGTGCTCGTGGTCTCTACTGGTAAACCGATTCTGACATAGAGAAGCCGATCGCCGTCTGGGATCTGCTCATAGATGGTAGCCTCTAACTTGAAATTGCAACCATTGAATCCGGCACCCACAGGGCTCGACCAACCGGCGCAAAGGCGCTCGGAGTTACATAGGTCCTCGCACTCCAAGTAGCTAGTGGGTGTTCTAACGATGGAGATGTCATGGCCCTGGACGACCTCTTTAAAGGGGCAAACGTAGTAGTCATAACCATCGCGGGTGTCTAGGTAAACTGCATCGAGACAGAAAACGCTCATATCGCCAATTCGCGCTGATATATGAGACGTTGTAGCGGTAGTCGAAGATGTTGTGGTAGAAACTGCTGTAGTTATCATATCTGTCGTTGTTGAGAATGAAGTCCTACTTGTGATGCTAAGAGTTTACGTGGTTTGCCTAGCTGGTAATGTTGAACTGATGGTATTTGTCTGTGGACCAACCATCGAGGAAGCAATTGTCGTGCCGCTAGTGATGGATGCACTGGTGGGCGGAGTACTATTTGAAGTAGCTGTAGAGCTGGCTGAAGAAGTGGTCGACAGGGAGCCGCTGCGGCTGGAAGTTGTGGATTCTGAAGTCGAGCTTGTAGACAAACTATTGCTGGATTTGCCCGTAGCAGTCGACGTCGGCAGCGATGATGTCTGAGGAACATCTCTGACAAGGAAAATGGGATTGGCACATCCCCTAGGTTGCACATATGCTCTGATAATGTTGGCTGAGCCTGCGTCAAGGCAGAAACCTGCAGTTCCCTCCAATTGGGCAAGGTTGCCAACAAAAGACCAAGTATGGAAGCCGGTGGGAAACTTGAAAGAGCGTCGAACGGGTGAATCTGCAAGCTCGGGGGTTCCCAAGTACATACCGCTGGAGATAAAGGAGTTGTTGCCCCCAGAGAAGATTAGTGCAGCAAATATGAGATCCGCCACAATTGCGTTTCCGAGTTCGTCAAATGAGACATACTGAACAGCATCACGTTTAACCAAACTGGGAGGAGTTGTCGTCACTTGCAAGTAGAATCCAGTACCCGAAGTCGTCGGCGCAGCGCTGCTGCCGGACGAGCTGGTAGTAGACGAGCTAGTGGTAGATAAGCCGGTAATAGATGAGCTGATGGTAGACGAGCTAATGGCATACGAACTATTGGTAGATGAAGTAGAGGCTATAATTGAGTAAGCTGGCAGAAGATTCTTAGTTGAGCAAGAGGGACTTACTAGAAGTGACCACACCAGACGCATAGGTCCAAGCAGGAGACGAGCTACGAGACGAAGCAGCTATAGAGGTCGTAGTAGATGTCGAGAACCAGGCTGCCCAAGTTGCCGGTGGGACGACCTCGGAAGTTCTAGGAGAAAGTCAGCGATAGAATCAGGAGGTAACTTCTTGACGAGGAACAGTCCTAGTCCCAGGCAGGTTGACTTACGGTCCATCTGGATGAACAAAGGGCGGGATGACATAGTAAATGACCTTCTTGACAATGACATTGAAATCGATCAGAGTTGGTCGAGGACAGTTTCGCGTGATCGCAGCTGTCCAATGTCTACCAGGGAGAACAGTTTTTGTTTCGGTAGCGACATGCGTACTAGTCTGGAATCTTCCTCCAGAGCCACGAACCGTGTAGGTCACTGTTTGTGGAGGATTTCGGATCGTAGCGGGCCGCTCATGTTGGGCAAACTCGAAGACATCGACACCAGCAGCAGAGATAGACGTCTGAGTCGAGCACGCGGCGGACGCTGTATGAGCCGAAGTAGGGACTTCACCGAAAATCCAGACTTCAGGATGCTTGCGGCAGACAATGGGCTTAGCAGAGCTCTGTATACATTCGATCATATCGAGTGATTGCATCTTCTGCCCGTTGATTCCCTGGCATTATTGCAAATCCCACTACCAGCATAGTCTGGAATAGCATGAGAGCCTAGATCTTCGTAGGCGGCACTCCATTCTTTGATAACTGTAGTGTACTCTGAGCTTGTCGAGGTAACCTTAACAGGCCTTCTCCACGTTCCAGTTTTAACCACCCTAGACGTGATATATGTGTTGGTAATAGTTTCTGAAGACCTAGACACCAAGACGGACTGCTCGCTTTTGGTGACTGTGGATACCGAGGATGGTGAAGCGAATGAACAAGGGATGGCAGTAGACACAAAATCGTGACTTGAATAAGAATATTGCGTCCAGCACTTTGTTTTAACACAGACCTCAGATAATGCTACACACGTTGACACTGGTTGATATTGTCTAGTCACCGTGATGGGCAGGGGTAAACTGTTGCAATGGCAGTGGGAGTTAGGTGCTCGTGGGGGCTCGCATCAACGAAGCCGACCCCCGCCACGAACAAGAAACTCAGCGATGAAAGTAACATCTTCAATAAATGAATAACTAGGGTGAGTGGCGATGAAAAAGAACTTGGGCTCGAATGGAGGGTCGACATACGATCTATATGGGAAGTAAGCTCCAAATTACCTCGTGTTAGACAAGCTCCCTGATTTTGGCATGTTGACAGTCTACCACGCCATAGAAACAATCTTCGTCCCAACGGTTAAGATTATCGTGGGCGAGGGCGAAGACGACTTAACGCGCAGTCCTGATACCCATGTAGTGTGCTTATGTATAGTTAGGCTCCTCCATTTTTGGAGTGGAAACTGAAAGATCCGGCTTCCGGCTTCAAGTTCGGGATAGCACTGGACGACTTCGACATGTCACGGCTGTGCACGAAAGCTGTATTTAATGGTCCAGTCAATTAACGGTCAGACATCAGCTCAACAGTGTCATCGAGCTGTCAACGTCAATCGAAGGGACTTGAGGAGATGTCAGGCCAATCGCCAAAGTAGCACCAGAACAGGACGATGTCAACAGAGAGCTGCAAGCATTAACTTGCTAATACGGTATAGCTGTGGACATTGATCCTCGTGACGGAGGTACATTGATTACATAATTAGTGCCTGCAAAAGAAGACAAGACGACATTATAGCGGCAAGGAACTTCGCCTCACCAGCCATCCCGACTACTGGTCAAGCTGGTGTATGTACCGCCGTATATGGTGCGCCTTGTCCCTAGCATTCAAAAACAAAAAACTTGAACTTGCCTATGCGTACCCCTGTGTCTACTCGTATTTCAGCTTTCGATCCTGGCATCTAGCCACTTTTACAACCGCACCATTTACCACTTTCCGGTTTCCTGATCTGAGCAACTTGCCATTCCACCAGAGCCATGACTAAGCAGGTTTGAGCCGTGACTGTGCAATCCTTCGCTCGGCTTGGCGAGCCCTGGGGAGCAGCTTGAGCACAGCCGTGTGCTCATAGAACGACCCGCAACTTGGACCCCGGGTTCCCAATTTGGTTCTTTCGTGTGGTCGGGAGGGCCAGTTCCGGGCACCCTATCTCGGTTGTTGCCAGGAGTTCTTTCAAAGTCATTTTGGGGCAATTTTTAGGCCAAGGCTTAACAACTATAGAATAAGAATAGGACCACCAGGACGAGGGTAAGTAGGAGGGTGAGTCGCGAAGAAGTAGTTTTAAAAGCGGCACGCTCGTGGTGGGCGCCCACGTGAGCTGCGAGCAGATTGTACATTGCTTGAGCCGCCAAGGCTCACAAGGCTGGATTTAGGTTCATTTGGCAGCGGCCATCTAAGTGCATTGTATCCATGAGCTTCCAATTTTTATCGCTGTTCTGTTGATGGACGATGATGCATTTGCGAAGATTCATAATTCATATTGTCAGTTTGCACATCTAGCGAATGATAAAACTTCAAGTTGTTGAGGGACCGAGGAAAGGGGAGATAGGGGAGGGGAAGCAGAGGTTGCCAATGCCGCAGGATGAAAGAGCCTGGCAGACTCCGATTACGTAATAGGCCAGAACTTTTTTCGGAGATAAGTTTCTCCATAGATTTCTCCATTAACTTGAATCAGTGACATCCGAAACCTCAACCCAACTGAACAAATCCGCATGCACCACATTCACTTTGTGAGGCAAAGACAATGACGGTCAAATTTGCTACACCTTGTCCGCAGTTGACTGCTTGTTTATCTTGCCATACCAGGAAATATTATAAATAACTCTCCACCATCGTCGCCCATCATGAGCTCCCCATCAGTCTCTCTGGGTGAATCCTTGTTTCTCTCTCCTGCCAGTGGCTCCGACTCAGAAGGAACTCCATCACCAAGAATCACAGGTGCAGGTCCCGTGCTCTCGCCACCACCCATTCAGCACTCCGAGCCTCTCAGGCCAGGCCACGGCTCAAGACCAGGGCACCCACCTCGCCTTCCTTCACCCCGTCTTTTTCGTGACTTCTTCAGTACCATGAATGACACTGCCCCGCGTAGGCAAGTCACCCTCCCACCAGCGAACTACTCCGAAAGCATTCAAGACGTCAATCGGGCATTACAGTCTGCAAATAGGGCTTTGCAGAACGCACAAGAGGCCTTCCAGACTGGAAGGTCAAGACCTGATCGCCAAAGCCTAGTGGATTTGACTGGAAGTAGTCCACCAAACAATTCCTCCGAGGTCAATTTTCTCTCAGAAACCGTTCATCCTCAAGACCCTCATCCACATCGACAACAGGGTCTTGTCCCGCCATTCTACTCCTTATTCACACGTAGTCAGGGCGCCAGGGGAACCGACCGAAACGATTCACAGAGAATCCTTACTCATACCGAAGTCCGCCGCCTACAAGAGGAGGAAGCAATTCTTCGACAGAGAGAAAATCACAACAACTGGGAGAGAACTCAGGCTAGAACACAGGAAAGAAGAGCACGCAACCAGTCCAACCAGGAACAGTCCACCATGTCCCGTCCATCATCATCTTCCTCTTCGTCTCAAGCCAGCAGTCGTCCCAGGTCTTTAAACTCAAAAGCAACAGATCCGGCGATAGAGTCAGTCGATCTGACTGAGGTAGACGACAACGCAGGCTTATCCGCCGTTCTTGCCAAACAACGACAAGATGCGATTCTGGCTCAGAACCCTGGATCAGAGTCAGGGCGTACAACATTGACTGCTTACAAATGTCCTGTGTGTATGGAAACCCCGACCGACGCCACCTCTACCGTTTGCGGTCATGTCTTTTGCCATCGTTGTATCATTGATACGCTGAACTGGTCTATGGAACAACGACGTGGAGAGACACCACCAAGCCGAAAACTTAGAGGTGTATGCCCTGTTTGTCGAAAACCGCTCGACTTGATTGACAGTGGGCCAAGGAAAAACCTTGTACCACTGGAATTGAAATTCATGGTGGTAACGAAGCGCAAGCGGGTAGAGTCTGAGCCAGATGAGAAAGGCAAAGGAAAGCAGAAGTCAGTGGAGGTTGAGAATCTCAGTAGTGATGATGATGATGATGACTATGAACAAACTCGCAAACGGAGCAAGAAGAACATCCGGGCAGGAAAAGCGAGAGAGCGCGAATCAACCGAGGATGCTCTTTGGGGCGAGTTCATGCAGGACTAAAATGGTGAGAGCGAGTCGATGATATTGAATGATTCCGTTATGATACCCACAACTCTTCACCATGACGGCGAGAGGAAATGATTTCTATGTATTGTATTGAGCATGGCGTTGGTGGGTTGAAGTAACTCAGCTGTCACACAGACAGACCGGCAGACTGCTAGAAAGCATGCCGTCCGTATCTTCTCGGTCACGATCACGGCCAGATCTGGATAGACTAGAATCCCTGAGAATACAGAACCCATGAGGGACTATCTACCAGTGTTTGCAAGCCGTTCCACCGTGGCATGGAATCCATCCCCATCCCCGTCCCCGCCAGCCCAACGCTCTTTCCACCTCTAGATGTATCCAGTGCATCTTACAGTATTACCTTCATCTCCCTCTCAGGCACCGATCGACCGACGTGCATACATATACACAAAGCACCGTCCATAACATGTACTGTATTGCCCATGCAGACCGGAACTACTATATACCCACCTTCCTCCAGGGACTAGGAACTCCTTCCGCAGCGCACCACTCAGCGCGGATCCTCCGAATGCGTGTGCACGAGACAGAAATGTTGTTCACAGCATTCGTTGTGTGTGAGGTCGGATCACTTAGTACTACTGGGTCCGTTAGGCTCGACCAGGGCTTCGCCGTCCGGTATGGGCCAGGCTGCTGAAGGTGGGGTGGCCTTAGGATGGTAGATCTGGCCATCCTTTCGCTATGGGCATCTGAGCCTCGTGCTTGTACATACTGGTTTCGATAGATAGCGATCGCTTCACTACGTTAGGCTGCTGTGCGAACTATAAGAGGCTACGCGGACAAGGTTTAGACATGCGATGGCATGGTCTCTGAATGTAATATCTAATTTCATTTCGGGAGCAGACTTGTTCCTTGACGATAGCCTTGCTGCAATATCTGGAATCCGTGACTTATTCAAATCCTCGTGATAATTCAAATATTTGAAGGCTTGTAAGCGTACATATTTGGGAATAAGACATAAATTCAAGGAAGCATTCAGTTTTGCTTCCCACGCAAGCGCCGCTTTCTCTTTCGCTGTAGAAGTTTCCTGTTCGCCCACTTGGTAAACCTCCGACCCCAGACATCACGCATCAGCAACAGGAAGACCACGACGGAGACCGGGGCTGCAATGACCCAGAAAAACGAATCGCTGTGATGCTGTACGCCATTGAATCGCTCGAAATTCATGCCGAAGTAACCGGTCAAAAAGCTGAGGGGGAGGAAAAGACAGGTCACGATGGTGAGTTGCTTCATGCTGTCGTTCTGGTTCGCTCCTATGGTGTTGAAGATTAGATCTACTAGGTTGTCTGCAGACCGTCGCATCTGGTCGTAACTGTCTTGGATGAGAAGGGCATGGTCTTCAACATCACCTAGATATGTGACCGTCATGGGAGAGATGTGTACTCGATTGACCATGACGGAGGATTTCCGCATGTTCGGTTGTGGGCGTTGTCCGTCTTTGATTGGGTTGTTCTTGAGTTCCTGGACTGATGGGCTCGTGACTCGACTTGGATTGATGCCCGTAGACTCGGCGTCGGATTTATGTTCTTTAAGAGCGCCGATCATTTGTACGATAGGGGCGATAGCACCGCGAAGAATCGCAATCTCTGAGGTCAAAATATACAATGTGCTAGATTGATGGATATCGGGGTCCGTTAAGACCGTAAGCTCCAAGTCTCCAATGGCATCTTGATATGCAGTCGTCACCGGAATGGCAAGGTCAATTATGGCGTCAAGAATGGCCTGGACCAGCATCGATGCATCGGCGGATTGGCGCAGGATCGTGCCTGAGGATTGTAGACGGTGTATTATGGGCGCTTGAACATCGTGTGCCGACTCTTCAAAAATCGATATAACCGTGTTATCACCACAGAGAAAGATCGAAACCTGTTCCATGGAGACACCGACATCCTTGCGAGCCAGTACGGCATTTTTCTCCATATACTCGATCCGATCAAGATTAGGGCCTGCATGGTATCGTTGCATAGAACGCTTCTTTTTTGGTACCCATGGTATATCGACCTTGTTGGAACCTTTGAAACTATTCGAAGGCTGGAGGCGGTTGGAAGTATGGGTTTTCTCGAGCTGCCTCTTTTGCGTTTTTTCTTGATGAAAGATATCGTCCCATAGAGACAAGATTGCCCCACGTCTTTTTTGCTCTCGTCTGCGTCTCTGGCGCTCATTCATTATACGAGACCTGAACACAGAATCTCCATCACCTCCCGATTCGGAGCCAGAGTTTGTTCCGGCATCATCGTCCCTCTCATAGTCAGATTCATGCTCTCCGAGGTGGACCAATTTCTGCAGGGGTAAGACCATATAAGTATGATCGTTATACCAGTCGACCTTGGTGCGATTGCTGGTGTGCATCAAATCTTCGATTGCCAACCGATGGAGTTTCTTGCAGTTCCCCAGGATTCTGATGACATCCCAGGATAGGCCATTGACATTGATCCACCTCACGTCAGCCCAATCCTCTAACGGGCGTTGCATAAAGTCGGCGAGATTGTCGTTATCCAGATCAATGGTCGTCATACCATCGTTGCCATAATCGACCACTGTGATCTCACACCTCTGGCTGAGCTGCTCGTAGTGGACCGAGTCCAGTGGAGGATTGCTATTTTCCTTGCTGTATGGGGGAGGATCGCTTGTGTCAATTCCTGGCTCTTGTCCCGGGGCCCAACCCGATGTCCTTCCCATTTCCGCCGGTGCATACACCATGGTATCTGCGCGGCCTCGTCTGCGGAGTGATTTTACACTAGATTTGGAGAAAGCCGTGTCACTGCGATGGATGGTTCCGTGGTGATTGAATTCTCCGCTTCCATTTGGATGGTGGTGCTCATGAGGTTCGAGGTGCTCAGGATTTTCTTGAATTCGTACATGTAAAGTTGATCCATTGCCATTGCCTCGAGTGGATGCTGTAGCATCGGCAGCGTGTGCCTCGACGTCAACTTCGTGTGACTGGCGGTGGCCATGCTCGCGTGAGCGTCGGGGTGTACCGCCGTCGGAGGGCGCGTCTGAGGAGTGATTATGAGAGGGGAGGTGGATTGGGTGGCCTCCTAAAGTCATGATTGCAGTTGTTCTCGTGGCATTCAACTACCAGAAGAAATTGGTGGCAGACATCAACCTCTGTAGAGTGGTGGAGGAAAACGTCAGAATGGGAAACCCATTAGAGTCCATATGCAACAGCAGAAAGACGATGGAAAAGTCGAGAACGAGGAGCTGAACAAAAGTGAATGCATTGTTTGGCTGGTGTGGACTGGAAGGATTCGTTCCAGTGGTGATTGTGAATCCGCCGCTGCGAAGAAGGCGCTCTAGATTAACCCAACCCCGGTCTAATCGCAACACGAAGCCCAGCTGAACTTAGTGCCGCCCCCAGTTCCCTCGTTAAGGGCAACAAGCTTTTCCTTTTTGCTTATGCCCCACGAGTGTTTTAGGGAATAAAACATGTCGCTCAAAAGGGGCACGGGGAACGTAGGGGTTTTGTGTTTCATATGGTGCAAGATCCGTATTACTATTGCAGATTCCCAGTCTTAGTCAGACGGCACCCAGTAGGGTTGAGTACTGGCACGTGACCTTTGCACTCCTGTGGAGGGCCCATTGAAAGTTGAGGTCGATTTGCCACCGGCCTAAACAGCTTCTCATGCTCAGAGGAGTTCTGTTGATGGATGGTACTTCTGGTACTTCATGGCACATCTAGTACTGACTGCTACGCCCAGTAGGCCCCTAGGTAGGCACCTGGGCACTTGGTGGTGGAAATAGATCTGGAGAAGGCCGAGCACGTGCACTAATCGGCAATTCCCAATAAGGCCATGGTCCGCCGGATAAATATCCCAGAATGGACATGCCGTGAGCACGGCTCCCTGGCAATCGCCACCAAGACTAACCACCTATCCGATGTCGCGATACACTATCGGCTTCTCTAAAACTTAAAGCAAGCTGATAATCATGTAAGAGAGATCTCAATCTATTTCCACTTCCGAGCGGACGGTATGTTGAACGGGAAAGGTATCGTGGTCTTCTCAGGGGGAAGTGCCGCCAACAGTCTGGTCGACGTGTTCGAGGCCGTTCGCGAAAACAAGGATTGCCCCTTGAGCTATATCATTCCCATCAGCGATAATGGAGGTTCTTCTTCAGAGTTGATACGGGTATTTGGCGGCCCTGGAATTGGTGATGTTCGCAGTCGTCTCGTTAGGCTCATTCCAATAAACCCGCCTTCGCCGGAGAAGTCGGCCATATCTACTCTATTCAATCATCGATTGTCGTCCTCGTCCTCTACCGACGCTGCGGCAGAATGGCAGCTGATTGTCTCTGGGACCTCAGACCTATGGCACGACATCTCATCGGCGAAAAGAGAACTTATACGGTCTTTCTTCAACCTGCTAAATCTTGAGATCCTTAAGCGGTCCCGCCCTTTATCGACGTTTGATTTCACCTCTGCTAGTGTGGGCAATCTATTTCTCACAGGAGCACGTCTTTTCAGTGGGAGCTTCGAGTCTGCCATATACCTACTGAGCAGCATTTGCGGCATTCCCGATGGCGAGGTGCGTGTGATTCCCAGCATCAATTCAAATTTCTCCCACCACATCGCGGCTGGACTTGAAAATGGAGATGTTATTGTGGGACAAAATAATATCTCTCACCCAGCTGCTGTCACTGCACTGGAAATGCCAACCGTGGTCCAAGGGCCTCCGCAAGGGAACAGGCCAAGACACAGTGTCGATCACACTGATGATGTCGAAGATGCCAACATCCCAGGGACTCTTCCCACGCTGCGACAACGGAATATCAAGTTCAGCAAGGAGGAAGATGAAGACCTACCCACTCGAATCGATCGCATCTGGTACATCAATCCATATGGACAAGAGATGTTACCACCGGCCAATCCGCGTGTTATGTCAGCCATCAAGCACTCTCAAGCCGTCATATATTCCATTGGTTCGCTTTATACGTCAATAGTCCCTTCAATCGTACTGAAAGGTGTTGGGGAGGCGCTCCGCTCAACCGCAGCCCGTCACAAAATCCTCATCTTGAATGGCTCACTTGATCGCGAAGTTGGCCCCAGTACAAGTCCATTTTCGGCGTTTGATTTTGTCGAGGCAATTGCTCGTGCCTGTGAACAGTCAAGAGGCCATGCATGGAGACCCGTGCTGCAAACATCTCACTCAGATGATACACTTTCAACATCGGTAGCAACATCTCCAGTCTCTAGACAAGGCGGCTTGTTGTCCCCCGGAATGCAGACTCACTTTGCTTCTCATCCTCGATCTATATATCGCCGCTATGTGACACACGTCATCCATCTGACAGGCGAAGGCACTCCCTATGTGGATCGTGAACATCTTGCCTCTGTCGGAATTGATTGCTTGAAGCTCTACGGTCGCAAGAGTCCCAAGGGTATCATGTTCTATGATCCTCAAGCACTGATCGGGGCGATTGAGGCCATCCTCGGAAAGAAGGGTGATGCCATGGTCCTCAGCCGAAGTCGACGAAATACTCTTGATGCATGAACTCCGTCGGATCCGGAGAAGTGGGGTGCAGAGACACCCCACAACATAGACTCGACTTCTGTCCTATTTTTTCTCACAACACTCAAAGGTCTCCTGTTCTATATCGTTTCCAGGCAGTAAATGGTAACTTCCACTCAGCACGTCGCAGACTTTCGTGAAATATGTCGAAATCCACTTTCTGCAGCCGGTTCAACCATAATTGAGTGCTGACAGCGGGACCCATAATGATACCGAAACCTCGGTCCTTGTCGTCTCGTGTTTTTCGAGCAGACGTGTCGCTTTCACTTTCATACCTACTATAGTCTCTGCCCTCGTCATCCATGTGCTCGAATTCATGACCCGGGGACTTCTCCTCTGCAACATTTTTGAGCATAGTTCTTGCGGTGATGAGATGATCAGAAGCGCGAGTGGCAACGCTGAACACTGCATCACGAAGTCCTTCGGCATTTGATCCATTGCGGAAGATGTCTTCCTCTCGAACCCCACATTGTGCCATTATGTCAAGGGGCAAAGTGATCACACCTTGCTTTTCACGCGTTGCAGGAAGACCCATGCCTGCGGGATTATTTGAATGCTGGTTCGGTGGAGGTGGAAAAGCCAGTAATGGAACCCCACGAAGTATGGTCGTGATTCCGGCGGCCTTGCCAACGTGTGATGCCAGATGATCCATTGTAATAGATTCAAGCGGCAATGCGGAGAGCGTAAGATAAAGAAGTGTGGAATATGTTGACTCTGCATAAGACTCAACTTCATTCATATTAGTAAATCCAGGGTGGGTCAATTTGCGATCTCTGGTGGTAATAATACGCTGAAACCAGGTCTTGCTCAATTTATGGCCTTGGTCAAGGTAGGACGCCAACAAGATAGCAACTGGTTCGGCAGGAGGAGCAAGTTTGAAAGTTTTATCGATCGTATCCCGCCAGAACTGCATTCTCATCGCGCCAATTTGCGGTATTGAGACAACATCTGGAATACGTGCTAATTCGACATTGAAGGCACGAATAGCAAAATATGCTGGTTGCATATGTGATGGTATGAAATGTGCCAGCGTGTAAGATGGGGCATCATAAGTTCTAGTATCATTAGAAGCTATCCACAGAAATGTAGATATTAGATGATTGTAACACACCGAACAAGATTAGAGCAATATACTTGAGCTTTCTTGACATCGGGCGAGTCGGGTTTGAGAGATAAATCCAGTCTTTTCGAGGAAGAAAATTGTCGTCTCGACATCAAGAAAAACCGTCGAGCTTGATAAGACGATCTTAAAACTTTCTCTGGCCCACACGTCCTGGTGACAGCTTCCAGTGGTCGAGACATATCTTCGCTGGTAACAGGAGCTTCGTTGTACTCGATTTAGTCGATTTAGTCGATTTAGTCTTTGATACTGGCAGCAAAAATTGCTTGTTGGCGCACATAAATTAGAGACCTCTGCTATGCGCAATGGAGAACTTGTATAGAATCAAGCAGACAAGATATACCCAAAACCGGTATCCTTAAGTGGACATGACCGAATAAGAACTTTGCAGATGGCAAAAATCGAATTATGCCCATGACGCTGCAATTCGCCTCAAGAAAGGTACGCTATTCAATTAATCGCGTAGTCACGTGCAAGCGCGCGTCATCTTTGCCTTAACGCGTCTTTCATAATTTCACATCAGAATTTGAACGTCACTCTGGACTAGACGCTGCCACAACGAGTCCTATATCATGGAGTTCTTCGACGAGCGCCCAAAAAAGAAGAGACGCTTCTTCGTAGACGGGCCTGAAGACCCTGCGGACCAGCAGTCCCTCGCTGCCTCAATCGACACCTCGTCGAGACCAACCTCAGCCACCTCTGCAGGCTCAACTACCGAACAGAGATCCAGCCAAACCGATGCCGGGGACATCAAGTCTTCTATCGCGGATGGCGAGCCGTCTTTTGACGCCGACACATTCCGGGCTGTTATTGGAGAAGATATCGGACAAGCAACAATCGAGACTATTCAGGCTGCGGCGAATGGAGATTTAGAGAGGGCCATCAATATGTATTTTGACGGATCATGGAAGAAGAAATCTACTCTTCCTCCCACAGCAGCCACATTGCCTTCGAGACTCGTGGATACATGGCTCCGCCCTTCAGCAGAAGCCGGCTCCAAGACACCTTCAAAACCGCCTCTCGAGAAAAGAGAATCGATTGACACAAAAGTCACACTCCATTCGATGCCCGCAGAACGCTACGTGGGTTCCTTTGGTGTAGGAGCCTGGATGACGAAGAGCGGATCAAATTTGCTGGCACACGGCGAGGCAATTCGGATAGAACGCTCCAGAATTGCGCCCAAGACAAAGATTGGAAAAGGAGGAAAACTCGTACCATTCGTGGGCAGAAACCAGAAGAATGATGTTGTCACAAGATTCACAAACGCGAAAGGAGAGGAATTAGGTCGTCTACCTGAAGAAACAGCTAAATGGGTGTCATCATTGATCGACCAGAAAATATGTCGTTTCGAGGGAACTTGCGTTTTTGCACCTGATCGCGTGAGGGTCAATGATACTGTTTTCATTCAATTGAGAGCCTATCTCCTTCGGTCGGGATTTGCAGCCAGCGCTTTCGTGAAGCCCGAAGATGACAACAGGGCGACAGGGTTTTTTGAAGAAAAGGAAAGCAGCGAGGAGAAAGATCTCCGGCTTCGCCAGGTTGCCCTTGTGAAATTGTTTGAGGAGGTGAATCTCAATCCAACGTCTACAAATGCAATGAATGCCAAAGATAAGAAAAATGGCATTTTGAAAGCTGCCGAGGTTGCTGAACGCTTCGACAAGGACAAGGATCCCAAGAGCACTCCAGGAATTTCCACACCGAATTCCGAGGAAGAAGATGGCGAGGAACTCGAAGAAGACCAATTAGATATGCTGTATCAGAAAGCCCAGTCTTTTGACTTCAACACTCCAGAAGCCGAACCTGTCTCGTCTTTTGCCTTGGACTTGAGAAAGTACCAAAAGCAGGCACTGCATTGGATGCTCGGAAAGGAAAGAGATCAGAAGTCTGATTCCCAGCAGTCGATGCATCCGCTGTGGGAAGAATATACTTGGCCAACGAAAGACGCAAATGATGTTGACTTACCAATAGTGGAAGAACAGGATCACTTCTACATCAACCTGTACTCGGGAGAAATGAGCCTAGACTTCCCTGTGCAGGAGCAGAACTGCCTAGGTGGTATTCTAGCAGACGAGATGGGTCTCGGAAAGACCATCGAAATCTACAGTCTTATTCACTCTAATAGATCCGATGTTGATCTTGAGGCTGCTTCCAAGCTTGCAAAATCCGTCAATCAATTGCCTCGTCTGCCGCAATCTTCCACTTCTACTGAACCTGGACCCTGCACAACGCTAGTCGTGGCACCCATGTCATTGCTCGCGCAGTGGGAGAGCGAGGCGGTCAAGTGCTCCAGACCTGGGACTTTGAGGACACTGGTCTACTATGGTAGCGACAAGAATCTCAACTTGCCTACCATCTGCTCTGTATCCAATGCTAATTCTGCTCCGAATGTCATCATTACAAGTTATGGAGTCGTTTTGTCCGAATTCAATCAGGTCTCAGCGGCTGGTGGGGATCGTGGTTCTCATGGCGGTCTCTTTTCAGTCGACTTTCATCGGGTCATTCTTGATGAGGCCCACACGATCAAGAACAGACAGGCAAAGACTTCAAAAGCTTGTTACGAGCTCAAGGCAAAACACCGATGGGTACTCACTGGTACGCCAATTGTGAATCGTTTAGAAGATCTTTTCAGTTTGGTACGGTTCTTGAAAGTCGAACCGTGGAACAATTTCTCTTTCTGGAAAACGTTCATCACAGTACCATTTGAATCAAAGGAAATTGCACGTGCGCTCAACGTGGTGCAGACTGTCTTGGAACCTCTAGTACTGCGAAGAACTAAAGATATGAAAACCCCCGAAGGCGAAGCTCTCGTGCCGCTCCCACCCAAGATCACAACTATTGTGGAGGTTGAACTTTCTCAAACAGAAAGAGAAGTATATGACTTGATCCTGACCCGTGCTAAACGAGCCTTCAATGAATCCGTTCAAGCTGGCACGTTGATGAAGTCGTACACCACCATCTTTGCACAGATTTTACGCCTCAGGCAGTCTTGCTGTCATCCCGTGCTCACCAGGAACAAGGACATCGTTGCTGATGAGGAGGACGCTGCAGCTGCCTTGGCAGCAGATGTGAACGGTTTCGCGGATGACATGGATTTGCAAGATCTTATCGATCGCTTCACCAAAGACACGACTCTTGCAGCCAAGGATGATACTTCGAATAAAGATCCCATTAGCTCTTTTCCCGCCCAAGCACTCCGCCAGATCCAGGATGAATCGGGTGGTGAGTGTACTCTGTGTTATGAAGAGCCCATGGAAAGCCCAGCTGTCACCACTTGTTGGCATACCGCATGCAAAGCATGTCTCGAAAAATATATCTCGCGTCAATTAGAGCAAGGGGAGATTCCTCGCTGCTTTCAGTGCCGCGAAACCATCAATCCTCGAGACATTTTCGAAGTCGTCAAACACAATAGTCCTTCAACATCATTTGAGTCTGATGGTGACTTATATGAGGCTGGAGACGTTGCAACCAAAGCAACCAGAATCTCACTAAGCAGAATACATCCATACTCTCCAACAGCATCCACTTCGGCAAAGATTGCAGCACTACTGAAAAACCTGTCATCCCTGCCAAAGGGTACCAAGGCGGTCGTATTCTCTCAGTTCACATCATTTTTGGATCTCATTTCACCACAGCTTAACAAACACGGATTTGAGCACCTCCGATTCGATGGAACGATGTCACAAAAGATTCGTGCTCAAGTCATTCGAAGCTTTAGTGCCGAAAACGCGTCGGATCCAAAGGCTCCACGAGTTCTACTCCTGTCTCTTCGAGCAGGTGGTGTGGGACTCAACCTTACCGCCGCTAATTATTGCTACATGATGGATCCTTGGTGGAGCTTCGCCGTTGAAGCACAAGCTATTGATCGAGTGCACAGAATGGGACAAACTCAGAATGTCCAAGTGGTACGGTTTGTCACCAAGGAAAGCATTGAGGGGAGAATGCTCCGCATTCAAGAACGAAAAATGGCGGTGGCAGGATCTCTAGGTGTTGGCCAGTCTGGCACCGGCGAGTCAGATGAGGAGAGGAGAAAGAAGCGTATTGAAGAGCTGGAGATGTTGTTGAGTTGAGCTCTTGGGCGGTGTCAGAAGTGCATGGTAGCATTTGCTGTATCGATTTGGTCCATACACTGGAAGATGCATGTTCGCCCTGGCTCATGAGCCGATGTCAAACTTTGTTCTATGATATGATAACTATGGATCGCCCAACAGTGGCTAGACAGGTATTCCGAATGAAGCAGATATCAACGAGCACAGTGTACAAATGTATCATGACAAGATAATGTTGAACACCACAAGTGGAGTCACTTCTTGGAAAATACTCGATTGTCACTGATTACACCAACGTGCGTCAGCGACCAGAGAGAGATCTACGATGTTCATGATCAGGTATGAAAAGATTCAGTTAAGTGCTTGCTGGAAAGGACAAGGTTATCGGCAGGTTGGTTACTCAGCCTGATTGAAGTTAATTCATGGCCTGTTCTGCTGTTCTGCGCCTTCCATTTTCGACCACGTACCTGCGATCGACGCCTCCACTTACTCGTACACTGCACGGGAAATCAGTTACACGTGAAGCGACGGGACGACAGAGATACTACCTAGGTACTTACCCAAGGTACATAGCCCATACCACTTTCTAAAGGCCTTTCCTTCCTCCATCACTGCCAGTGCGGGGTCCAGCTTGATTTGGTCAATGTGCTGACGAATTGAAGAGGCAGAATGTACATCCGTCGGAAAAGTCGAGCCGTGTTATCACTCACTCACGGCGGCCACGTCATGGGCTTTGCTCGGCTTCAGAAGCTCAGTAAGTGCCTGCTACTGTATTCCTTCTTAGGTACCTGATATGTCTTCTTGCATGGGCATTTGGACAAGTACCTTTGCAGGCCAGAGGCAGCAGAAAATTAGTACTCCTGCTCCAATCGTTCCTTCGAAGACTCTTACGTCATCGTGCCGCTCAATTAGCCGTCCCCAACTGGCATCAACCTGCAAGTGGACGCAGAAATCAATCTTCAGTCTTCAATCTGCAGCCCCATAGCTGGTGCAACAACACCACCAGCTCAATCTTCACCATTTTGAGGCGAAATTCTCCAATACGGTCGCAGTAAACTTTTTCCGTTGTGGGACTTCTGCTGCTCATCATAGCGCTGCAGACAACCTTGCTCCATTCTGATCCATTGGTTCGGTCAATCGTTTCTCGTGTTCCATCCCGGTGGTTCCGCCAACCAAGTGACAGTTCGATGAGAGCTCGGTGCATCACCATTTGGTCAGCATCTGTTTACTTGTTTGATCTGTGGGAGAAGCCTTCAAGCACCCATGAATCTCTCTGCAAACGAGCCAATCCCGGCGTTTGTAACGACTCAGCAGCGCGATGCACAAACAGCTTCGTGTACCTGCCCCTCTCTGGAGTTATGATCGAGCTTCTTTTTCTGAAGAGTAGTGGGGCCAAGTGACCGCACTGGGCATTCCCTCATGTCGTTTTCCTGGTAGGACTGGAATTTCCTTTATCAGCTCAACGTTCTGCCATCGATCGTTCTTCTCTCTGTCATTGTCACACTCATCGACTTTCAAAACGACAACGACACGAAAGCCTACGCGTCACTTGAACAGTGGCGACGGCGAATTCGAACTGACCCCTACAGGAGTGTTCTATATAAATTGTAACTCAAGATGAATGTTGACCATCCAGCGAGGGAATTGGTTCATCACGTCCAGGTTCATCCTACCATTGCATCAATCAGACTTTGTGATAACAGCTAACGATGATTTCAACGCAGCCCCAAGACGAATGGAAACTCGAGCAGGGTTTAGCTCCCGCTCAACTCGCGCTTCTTGATCAGACTGCTCGGAATGATGGGGCAACAAAACCGAAAGAGCTAGATGACGTCGAGAGCAGCAGCGACGACGACGACGCCAAAGCAGACGGGATTGCCAAGGAAGATGATGCCGATGTCTTGTTTGCCGAGGAAAGAGAAGGATGGCATGGGTGAGTGGCACTTTCCTCTCCAATCTTCGATCTCTTTGCCTCATTGGCGGCTACTAAGCATACCGATAGATATATCGAATGGGAAGACTACCCAGAGAAGAAAGCAAAGGCGGCTAAGATCATGCTTGCCAACGAATTTCCACCCCCACCTGAATTCCAACTTGGCCCCATCCCTGACAGTAACCCTGTTCTCGAAGGCGTACGCTGGAAGGCATGGCATAAGGCGATAGGTGGTCCTTTGACCTCTGTACCTGAAGAGTCCTGGCTTCGTGTCATTCAAGAGAAGCACCCAGACATGTTGCATCTCTTGCAGTTTCCGTACAACGGTGAGCCGCCAAAACGGCTGGTCACGGCAAAGCCTGTTACGCCAAACAATTTGCATTTTATTCGAAACCATGGCGGCATTCCAGACATCGAGACGGATAAATGGTATCTAACTCTTGATGGCTTGGTCAAGAATCCTCGCAAGTTCACCTTGGCAGAGCTTCAAGATGAATCCGTGTTCCCACGTATGGAAAAGCTGGTGACTATTCAATGCTCAGGAACTCGTCGTATTGAACAAATCCAACTTTATGCTGGAGAAGGTGATGAGATGATCAACGCTCCTTGGGCTGAAGGAGCCATTGGTACCGCTCGCTATGGTGGTGTCTCCCTCAAGAAAGTCATCAAAGCCTGTGGTGGTATGGCTGAAGGCGGCAAACACCTGGAGTTTCATGGCGCCGACACATATTTCAAGCAAAATGAACTGATGAATTATTTGGTTTCTGTGCCTTGGTCAAAGGTCAAGGCCAATGAAGTCATGCTCGTTTGGGAAATGAATGGGGAGCCTCTGCCTAAAATTCATGGCGCCCCAGTTCGTGTGGTGGTTATGGGCTATATCGGTGCGAGGTCCGTCAAGTGGCTCTATCGCATTCGTGGCTTACCTCATCCCACTCGAGCACCAGTCCAAAGCAAGGAGTATCTCTACTTCAATCAACAGGTTGGAAAGCATAATCAAGCTCCAACCATGGGAATTCAAATCCAGGAAATGCCAGTCTCCTCTGCAATTATGTCTCCTTGGAATAAGCAAGTAGTGGTACATGAGGGTGCCATTACCATGAAAGGTTGGGCATATTCTGGAGGTGGTCGTTGGCCTGAACGAGTGGAAGTGTCGGCCGATGGAGGCTTCAGCTGGTACGCTGTACCACCAGAGAAGCTCTCCACTAAACACAAATTCGCCTGGCGTACTTGGGAATACACATTACCCTGTGACGTCGAAGGGTGGATTGAACTTGTCGTACGCTGCTGGGATAATTCCCTCAACACACAACCATTGGAAGTCCGAAGTGCCTGGAATTGGGGTTTGCACGTCACCAGCTCCTGCCATCGCGTTAAGATCTACAGCGTCAACAAGTCGCATGAGTTGACCAGGAACAGACTCGCACTTTTGGAGAAGAAGGGTGTTCCTTTGGTCCCTATCACCAGGCCCACCGAATTTCCACTACAAAGTTCCGAGGAGTATGAGGCGTTCTGGGAGAAACATGACCCGAGAGATGTGGACGATTAGTTTCTTCCCCAACAGTTCGGTCAGGGGTTCAGCCTGATCTTCAACACGTCCATCGTCCCGCTCACACGCCTTCTGCAATCTTTTCCCTCAGCATTTTCCGACAATCACACCTCGACGTCCTTGCAAATAATGAAAAACTCGCCCATACCGGCCTCCTGGAACACTCACCGACCCGAACGATTCCTTGTGTTCGACACCATTTCCCCCCCGGGCTTCAACGCAGCACCAAGACACATTCTATCCTCACTACTCTCCGTCAGCCAAATAACCCGTCGTTGGATATCGAGCAAAGGTTTGTTACATTCAGTCAGTCATTCTCAGACTCCGTTTCCCCACTGCCTAGCAAGGAACCGCTGCGAGCAGGAGGTCATACTACGTCGCAGTGCGTTCCCCTTTAGAACCCATCAGTCTGCCCGCAGCCGGTTGATGACAATTCGTCCCGACAAGAAGGAGAAGGCAGTCGAGAATGCCTGAGAGCAGGAGGTCATACTACGTCTCAGGGTCTTCTCTCGGCACTTCTCTAAGAACGCTTCCCATCTCATAGCCCATTGCACGTGGCATCCATCTGAGAGCAGGAGGTCATACTACGTCTCGGTGGCCGTTAGTCATAGTTTGATTGTGATAGATACCTACCTATTGAAGTCAGGTTCCTAGTCATGGTGTATCATTCAGGAACAATGTTCGAATTCCTCTTGAATTCCTCTCCCTCTTCCCGTTTTTCTCTGTGGCCTGTAGCAGTGCCGGTCTTTCCTTCTCAAGGGACATACTACACTTGGATATCGAATCGAGCATGGACCAACCACCAGTATAAGTCAAATCCAACTGCGTGCTCCTCACCTGCTAACGCTCTCTCTCTCTCTCTCACACTCATTTATTTACTTCCTAGGTCTAAAATCATGCCGGCCCTTCCCCGTCTCGTGAAACATGCACCTGGCGAAACAACGGACCACTCAACCCGACCCCACATACAGAATACCGGCGTCCAAGAAATCCATTCTCCAAAGAGTCCACCAGAAAGGATGATTGATGAGTTCCATCATTCCGTGTAAACTTTCCTACCGTGGACTCTCTTTCTCCCACCCACACTCCCTCACTGCTCATTCACTCACCTCTCGGAAGAAATTCGGAACTCACGACCCAAGCACTGCACGTCGGTCGGGGATGATCATTCTTCCGGCAGGCACGCCCACGCCGCCACGCCTCATAACGCCACCTTAGGTAACTCTGTGCTACGCCACACATGCCATGCCGCGCTGATCATCATGATACTCGTACATAGTCGTATCTGTGCGGTCACGATCATGATCACAATAAATGTTGAAGAGGGAAAGATAGTGTCGTTGTCGTTCTCGGACCGTGGTCGAGTGGGTAGATAGCTAGGTAGGTACCTGGGCACGTGGGCACCAGAAGAGATCCAGGTATGGTGCTACGACTAAATAACTACTGCTACGTGAGTGAGTGGCAGGAGGACGAACTTGGGTGAATGATGTGTGCGCACGGATATTTGTATTAATGTGCGTGTTTTGAACGAGTTGTTCGATAGGAGCCATACTTTGTGCGCAGAAAGGTATGTGATAGGTAGATACTGGGAGGGGTGATTGGATGGTATTATGTCTGAATTTTTTTTGGATTGATAATTCGATGAATATCTGCTATAGTGAGCTCGAAGAGCAGTTCGTTTCGAGTGATAACCATATGATGATGATGAGAAGAGTCAAAAATAATCACTGTGGATTTGAAACATGGTAAACCAAAACCACGATCCGACCAGATACTAAATAAATACCAAATAAATGCTTCTTGAGAAAAAAGAGTCAAACTGCCCCAAGAGAGGCCAATAATGGTGGTTGAAAACCCATATGATCGCATACTGTGCTCGCTTTCGGTGTCAATACCCGCGCCAAACCAAACTCCCAATGATCATGAGTCATTCGCTCCGGTCAAAAACAATGCATGCTGTACCTGCATGGAGGGTATCTCATTTCATTCTCTCTGAGAAGAACAAACCGGCAAAAATCCCGCCAAACCAAATGAGCTCTGAGAGCTAGAACAATATCGTTGATTTGTCTATCAGGTCGTAAAAAGCGCTGGGTCGTTAAAAGAATTATATGCAAAGTTGTAGTTGTAAAAGCTGAGGGGGAAGAGTCCGAGCCGAGCTATCGCAAATCACTTAGTTGCGTTGTCGAAATTAGTTTTGGGCCGCGTTTGATGATAAACCTTCACCAAAGTCTTCGGTATTGGTATTTTCATGGTCGTCAGCCTCTTCTCGATTCCTGAGAGCGTATTGTGGCTCGAAACCAAGTTCGTCCCTGGTCCAGCCACCGCGGGGTTGTCTGCTAGTGTGTGGTGCTGAAGAGCTTTCACCAGATTCGACTCTTCCATATGATGGTCGTCGTCTGGGTAGACTCGAGTTTCGATATGACGGTGGAGCATTTGGATCTTCATTCGCCATGGTCTCAAGATCTTCGTACTCAAGAGGACCATGATAGTCCTCCATCATGGCTCCACCCCACGCACCGTCATTCTTGTCCGCACTACCATATCCTGGTGGACTGGCGGGTACGTCATCATAAACAGGTGGCATCTCCTCATCCCAACTGATACCCATACCACCTCGTTCAGTGACGACGAGACCAAATTGCATCCTAAGAACGCGAGCAGCTCCGGTAGGAGTGATCAGGGTAGTGTTCTTGTTGGGGCAGAATTCTTCAGCTACAATAAGTTCGAGAACCAAATTGTGCTTGACCTCGATACCCGTGTTGGAGTCGACGTCGCAAGTAGCCCTATGGTTTGATCTTGTTGCAAGAGATGCCTCAAACTCCAGATTGATTTCGCCCCCAATGGTATCAAAGTCACTCTTCCACCCGGTCTTCAATTCGTCGTTTCCAAGAGTTCGAGTTTCAGAGTGTTGAATAGATTTGCCCTCATTCACTTTGTGCACATGTTTTGTGCAGGGAGTGGAGATGACTTTGCTGTGCTCTTCGATGCGCCAGGAAAGCTTTCTCAAGCGCCATCGAGTCTGGCTTTCTGCTTTCTTCTCGACAACACCACTCAGAGACATGGTTACTGGAAAGGTGCCGATAGGATGGACAACTGGAGGTAGTTGTACACGGCCAGTCAAATTTGTGGGTGGGAAGATGCGAATGCTAGCCTTATCTGGACCCGGTTGAATGGCTCTTTGGACGGATAAGGGATGGAGATATTCGATTTTCTCGCCATGAGTAGTGGTTGCTGTGACATATAATGCGTAGCTGATGCTGGCCAATTGTGATTGTGTTGTGGCGGGTAGGTGACCAGGGAAGAGGAATGAATATGGGAATTGATTGTCGGAATCTTTGTGGAAGGTTTTTGATTCAGAGAGGAAGGTCCACTTCTTGAGCTCCTCGACCTTTTCGGTGCAGTCTTTGCAATCCTTACCGACTGGCTTTTTGGTGGATGTGATTGCTTTCAAGACCATGGTGAAATTTTCGAGCTTGACCTGAGCACTTGGATCTTCGACCAGCAACTTAAGCCGCCCCGAGAGGAGTGCGCCTGTTGAGCTGGTGATGTTGCCATAGAGGACCAAAGGAGGAGATTCAATAATATTCTCAAATCGACCTGGTTTTACAGGACCATGTTTGGGCGATTGAACGTGGCGATCTTTGGACTTGTTGGAGTGGCGCATAGTAAGCGAAATGCGTTTCTGGCCCTTTGAATCGCGCTCCTTGGAGTCATCGCGCTTTTTATCTTTCTTATGGTGGAGTAAATTGTCCATTGAAAAAGAGGGGCGTCTTGAGGACTTGGGAGAGATATTGGACTGGACCGGGGATGAATCCACGTGTAATGCAGTCAATTTCTTTTGTAGAGCATTCACAACCTCATTGACGGTACTAGGAGCGGTCCTAGGAGTACCTGTATGCACCTGCACGCGAGAGGGCATGATCTAGTGACCTGGGCAGGTACGATGGGTACTGGGGTACTCGTGGGTACTAGGTACCTACTAGGCAGGTACGATGATGAAATGGGGCGCCAAGGCTGTCGCAATTGCACCAACTTTTGTGTTTGGAACAGATTTTTCCGCGCAACCAAGTGGAAGGAGCAGGAGCGATGACGGCCTCGAGAACTGGCAGCCACGAACGCGGGGCCACTGCAGGTGAAAAGTGGAAACTGCGAATTGCGGGATGGCGTGAAATGGCGGCGACGTAAGTCTCTATCTCACTGGTTCAGTGCTTGCCCTCGCCTAGAAATTCCTTCTCAGCTGCAGATGTTGTGTTTCTCCAGATTTCTTGTCCTCCTGACTGCGCTGTGCGCCTATATCCGCGGGACTCGAAGTGAGAGTGGTGTGTGTTACTCGAGGTCTGGTTCACCGGTGACGTAGTGGATACTCTTGGGTATGCAAGAGTGGTAAGCCGTGAATAGTCAGTGCTGCTAGTAGTACTTGTTGAACAACGATTCAAGTCGTACTCCTGCTGATGCGCTTCAATTTCTTGAGAAAAGACGGATCAAAGGCACATGGGTCAAGAGTCTGAGTTATGAGTGAAAATTTGAATTCCCAAACGCCATCACGCAAAGTCTATGTATATTTGCGCACGCTCCTTAGGTGCTCCTCACACGCGCTCGGTGTGAATAATAGAAACCTCGATTCAGAAAGGGCTGATGCATCTACCCGGACCACATTGACTCTATTTGATGCTGGACGGACCAGACATTCCGGAAATCACGAAACTTGAAACCCCCTGCAGTGGTTATTGATGTTGGGTCCAGCTCCTCCGTCCCAACCAGCCAGCCCTGTAGAGCATCCACACTTCACAACTCCGGATCACCGCCATCGCATCGTCAAGCTGACATCACGTTGGAATGCTAGTAAACGTGCTCTACAGGATACATGGCCCTACCAGGGTTTGGTTTGAAATTCGCCATTTGACGGACAAGCTTCGTCAGCTCCGCTATTACAACCAGAGATTCTTCTGGATGACTGGTCCTCATTCTAGAAACAGGAGCTGACCACGAAACTTTTGAAGAACGAGTGGTGCCCCTCATCTCCTCAAAGGCGGCCCGCCAGTTGAAAGCGGAAAGAGATTCAGGTCAAGCCTCAGTAGTAATGGGGCCACAAGCCTGAGGTGCCTCTACTAGTATTCCCATGGCCACCTGACAATCAAAAACGCCATCCATCAGCAGACTCTGCAGACTCTGCAAACCTGAACCCGCTAAGAAAGGCGAGCCACCAATGCGGCCTGTCAGGCGAGGATTAGGCATTCTTAGCCATGGTTTGCCCGGCACACAGACCTAAAAACACCCTGGCCCAAGGGCTGAGAGAACCCATTAATTGGGCCAAGGGCACCTTCCGTGCTCTTTTTGCTGCACCCCGCAAACCCCTTCCAGCAAGCCTCTGCTGAGTATCTCCTCATCTCCTCAAACGTACGTCGATCATCCATCGTATCAACTCCGCGCTCTATTCAGGCCGGTATAGTAGTACAATGTTGTTGGCAGTTTTCACACCAACCTTGGTCAACCACTTTTGAAACCATTTCAGCCACTTGCTCCTCATGTGAGACCTGAGTAGTACCTCGACAATTCATGTGTCGTCCGTTTCCACTTGGCATGGTGACATTCTGACTAAGATTGTCGCCATAGTAATAATTGCGTGGGGAGGCATTCCCGCCGGCGCCTGTCGCAATTGCAGAGATTTTTTCCCACGTGTCAATACCCGTCTGTTTTGCTGGATGTGTTTCCCCTTGGAATATATCTTATTACTCGATAATATCCACTTGATCCTTCCTAGAATCCCTTGCCATGGAAATTTGATCAGGCTCCCAGACTCACAGGGCGCAACTCTCCTTCCATAACCGTTTACTATCGGACCACTTTTCCATCCACTTTTCCATCCTGCCCTGGTCCAGAATGCCATCCTCATTCCACACCTGCTTAAAATATATCCTAGAATACACAAAAATTTCCCGAATCACTCACATCCGTCGGCCTTCTCCGGCCGTGCTTCTTACCCGGTGGTTCTGGAAAGTCAATTGACTTCAATCGTTTTCGAACCCTATCCAGTAAATGTAGCCGTCCATCGTACATACGGTGTAGTAGTACCTAGTCCTTTGAACATTCTAGATCGTACGAGCACTGTCGAGACGAGCCTTGCACTGAATCTGCTCTCACCGTAACGAGATTTTTCGACATTCCAGTCCCCTGCCGGTATCGGGTCCCGCACACGAAAAATAGAAAATTCCCGATTAAGTTCTGGCAATCCAGAACCGGCTTTGCTGCCGGCCAAGCTTTGACGGAAGCTTTGAGGCTAACGACAATTTCAGGGTCCAGGGTAGTCTCTGTGCTGACATAATGGCTCGCAGATCCCAGGAGATGTTGATCTTCTCCGACATCTCCAGATGATCATGTCGGATATCCGAAAGCCCTAATTTGGGAGTTCCTGCTTCTCCTCCGACTTCTCCGGGGTCATGCGTGTCGGATCCGAGAGGTCCTGGTCGACCAAAGCATCCATCTCAGAACATACCATAGCCCATCTCAGAACATACCATAGCCATGCCACCATCCATATAGTCCTGGGCCAATAACACCCAGCAACGCACCAACGAGCCCCGACTCAAGAATCGCCCATAGCCAGATAGTCGCCACAGCAGGCGCATTCTTCATCACCGCGTAGTATCCTCTGTCGTTGGTGAGATATATCAAATAACAGCCGGCCAAATTGGCGATTCCCACGTAGATGCACTGCTGCAAGAACCTGATAACCCTCTGAGCCGGTTTCGAGAAATTCTTGGCCGAGATGGGAAGCAGCAAGCCACGAAACAAGCTCACCACCACCATCAACGTCGGCAGCGCGGTAAACACAGTATGCGCAAAAATCGGTGGAAACCGCAATTCTTGAGCATACTGATGCACCGTCAAAACCTCGAACGTGAAGTGGACGGCGGCAAGGCTGGACGTGAGTAGTATCGCATCCAGCCACGGAGTCTCGTCCCGCGGCTCAACTGGCCCAGTTAGGGACTCCAACGCCGCATTGGGGATCACATTTCCATCCTCGCCAATCTCGACCTGGACGATATTCTCCGGGGTGATTTGACTGTTGTATTTGCGTGCGCTCGGGTCGAGTTGAGCCTGCTTCTCTGCAGCGATTTCAATCAGTGTTTTTGGACTTCGAGCCGATGGCCTTCGGTCAGGCTGTGCGAGAGGTATGTCGTCTGCGTTTTTGGTAGATGAGTTGTGAGATTCCTTCGCACGTCTTTGTTTTCTATTCATGTTCGCTCTTTGCTTCTGTCAGAAAGAAAGTTCTTACGTGGCTTTCCTTCTGGCTATGGAACAATCAAGCACCAGTCGGCTGTCGTGGTAAAAGTGGACTGGACTGAGATGTGGCGGTATTCAATCCAGTGCATTTATCATTTGAGATAGATGCATGTGACAGTATTTGCTGCTCTACTCGAATATCGAATCTCAGGGTCGCTTGCAGAGGCCGGACGGCACATCGTCGGAGCTTGAAAGTGTTTCTGACCGCCAAGACCGGATATATTTATCCGACATGGCTGCTGATCCTTCGAACTTTGTCTCTTACTTCTCCCTTTCTTTCTATTCTACATAACAAAAATCGCGACCGGAGCGTAGCAATATGCATAATACTGCTGTCTGCGAGTTTCTTCCGGTGAGATTGTTTGCGACGTGATGCTGGATACAAAGTTCTGCCTCGGCAAAAAGAACAATACTAACCCCGTCAACCGCATTCCATGAGGACAATATTAAGCAAATCTTTGTCCTTTTCAACACTGACTAGCCTGATGCTACATCTCCGAACCTCTGATTCTTTTGTTGATGAGTTTCAGAAGCCAGCGATCATCTTTGAGGCTCTTGCATGCGGCTTATGTCGTCTCTACAGCCTTTCAGAGAGGGTACACTTCCATTTGATGCAAGGCATGGACAAAGGTATTCTTTCAGACCCGTCGGGCCAGCATGAGGTTAATAGCCTTTCCATTCCGTTGATTTTATCATGGTCCTTGAACTTTTTCTTCTCAAAGACTTCAAACAGAAGACAGGGATACAATTAACTACCCAAAGGTATGGTAGGAGTCAAGTTAACGTTAGGACTTTTTGCGGCGCTGGCTGTTGCCGGCGTCGCTCTTCCCGGCAACTATCAATGGTCCGATGGTGACGGTGTTGCCGCATACGGCGCTGGTGAGCCAGGCGGTCACAATAGCAACTGGGGTGATGCCGGAGGCGCACGAGGTACTGGTGCTGCTGGTGGCTCTGGACCCAGTTTTGGCTCTGGAACTCAAGGCGGTGGTGGAGCCATGGGAGGTGAAGGTGGCAGTGGCAAAGGCAGTGGCTACGGAGATTCGCATGACGGCAATAAAGGGCAGAAGGGAGATCATAAAGAAGGTGGCTCAAGAGGTAATGCTCCTGACGGTATTCATCGTCGCCATGAGAACTCCGATTCGTCAGAGGCCAACGGTTCTCGAGGCAATGGCACCCAAACTGGTAAGGATGGGAATTTTGGTGCTGGCGGAGACGGTGAAAAGTCGTGGGGCCATGGCACAGGCGACGGAAGCCGATCTGGTGATCGTGGAGATCAAGGTCGCCAGGGTGGAAAAGGCGGGGACCGTGGAGGCGATGGAAAGCCGGGTGGCAATCTCGGCCCTCGTGGTCACGGCGCTTGGGGCGAAGACCATGAAAAAGACAACCACAGAAAATCTGGCAAAGGAGCAAGCAGTGGGAAGCTGGACCATGGCGGAGGTCAAGGCGATAAAGGTGACAAGGGAGGTGATGGTTTCGAAGAAATGCGTGGTGGCCTTGGTCCCCGTGGCAATGTTGCTTGGGGTGGAAACAATCAAGATGGTAAGAACGGAAAGCCTGGTAATGGAATGGGTGGTGGGAGTTCATGGGAGGAAACGGGAAGTGGTCAAGTCTGGCCTGAGGATAATCCAGATCACGATGGCCACCGTGGCACGGCTGAGAGACCAGGTGGTGGGATCCGTGCTCGGGATGAGGAGGTGGACGCTCCTAAAAAGACCCTACCTAGCAAGTTAAGAGTCCCCAACCATCATCCTAGAGACGAGCAAGATGACATTCCGAAAGAAACTGATGACGGCGCCCCAACAATCGACCTCAACGACTTCAACAGACGGTGGGCAGAGGCAGTGGAAGATGATGAAGCCCCCGATGTCAGGTTCCATTTTGATTCGAGCCATCCAAACGCACATGTCAACACACACCATACCCGCACCGACCAGTTAGGGGTGTATGAGTGCATGTACGAGCTATTTGGAATGCCGTGCAAGTTTACAGCGATTGTAAATGGGCAGTGTTATAACAGGTAAGTGTCCCATTTTCAGGCCACTTCAGGTGCTCACATGTGACACTAGATTTTATGATGAACACGGCTCAATGTCCCCAGACAAAGACGTCGCTTGTACTATATATGAGGACGTGGACTGCAACGAGAACTCTCCAGGAGGTGCTAGCAAGTGGACATCAATAGACAACATAAGATACCCCGGGATACCTGTTTATCAAAATCGGTCCGCGCTCCAGCTAGTCTCCATGCATATCAAAGGACCTCAGAGCTGGAGATGCCAGATGACCCTGTCATCCCAGTTGAGGAAACCCCCGCAGAACGTTTAGTGCTAGGGAAGGTCCAACAACCATTTACTCCCACGGACGTAGGAATGTTGCGGCAAATATAGCGATTGTTCGGGTCATGGGGTTTTTCTTCTTTCAACGCTGAATGCCGACTCGAGCGTCCATCTATGTACCTACCACTCCAAGGAATATCTATCTGCCATGAATACGATTTAGATTACATAGTACACCATTTGAAATCAGTGCCGACTAAAACGTAGCCTCGAGATCATCCTAATTCAACCTCGCTTACCTAGACTTTTACGACAAACCAACAAGCCTCATCTTGACCGAGGAAGACTGCAAGGCTGCAAGGCTGCGACGACGCCACACCTTAGCGCCACAGATGACGTAGATGGTTGTTCGTCCGATCTCGATCGCTGCCCATCACATGCAGAATCGCGATCAAGAGAACAACTGATCGACACTCACCATCCACAAGTGCTACGGCACCTTCCGTCATCATGGCATGCCTTGGAATCCTGAAACAGGTTTTGGAACGGTTTTCAGCCTGATGCTCAGAAGTCATCCTATCATCTTCCCCGAGTCTTTACACCTACAGACCCTTCTGGCTTAATAGCCATCATTTTAAGCTCAAAGGGGGCTGTGCTTAGCTCAAGGCAAGAATGCAGTATGACATCGATGAACATCATCAGTAATAGTAGAACAGCTTGGAAGGAGGTGAGCACACCAATGCTGTGCCTGCCTCGCCTATCCATGGCCAGGGTAGCAGGTAAGAACAACAAGCTGAGTGAGATGGGACAAGCCAAGTCCTTTCAACTATATATTCGGCGCAAGCTCATCACCACGATCCACCTCTTTCTTCTCAATCCACAATCAACCTAAATACAAGCAATCAGTCCCAAGAGACAAAACAACTATCCTATCCTCAACAACCCCACTTTATACTCCACAGCATCTAAGCTTAATCACCAACCCAAAACTTCAAAATGAACTCTCTCCGAAACGCCGGCAACTGGATCTCCCAAAAGACCCAAGGCCATGCCCATCAAGCCAGCAAGGAAACCAACAAGCAGTAAGTTCCCAGGTCCTCTACCAATCACCCCAGCGCAACGTAATGCTGACATGTCGACCTTTTTTTCAGAATCGCTAAAGACCCCAACGTCCGCACGTCAACCCGGCTGCGCGCGGCCGGCAATGCCATGAAGGACGCCGTCCACGAGGGTTCGCATAAGCGACAGGCCGATGTCCACAAGCACGGCGCGAAGCATAATTACTAGTCGCTTCAACGCACTATGCGCCGCTGGCGACGGAGGCGTCATTGCAGGAAATAGTGGTTGAGCATTCGTCGAATGCGGTCTCGACTATGATGACTGTTCAGTATAAGAAGACTCTCGTCGCTTGATAACGACTCGAGAGTCGTGGTGTGAGGTTCCTGACGCTACACCTTTATGATGATCAGGAATTGGAACTTTTGTATTATTAGTATTGTTGCCATTGGCTACCAGCGATGTGTCGTTTGTTTTTACAGCAGGCTTTTGATTGCTCTCCCCATGGAGCTGGGACGTGTTGATAACGACCTAAAGAATGATATCCTATGTTGAATACCACTCTGAGATTACGTTTCTCTTCCGCTTTCTCATTGCTTGGTGATCGATCTATCCCTTCGACTTTACCCCCAACTCTTGAGGTTAAAAGTCGACGATTAGTCTTGAACAACCGGACACCCCTTTCGCTTCCCTCGTCTGCCAGATACATCTGCTGCCGCCCATTCGGTGGAGGGTTACCGGAGACGAGTGCAACTCTGTTACGGTTTCACTTCCCAAACACCTACCTACATTTCAGTTTTGTGATATTCGTACGGCTGGAGGGAAGCCGTGCGAGGCATATTGTGTCGGAGGTGGCGCACTTGGCCGTGGAAGCAATATCTTCTCTTTCTGCTCTTTGTTCTGGTGTATAATGTTTTCTTTTGGTGCTTTCTTAGTGGCATATATACAAGTTTCCTGGCCCACTGCACGATATGTGACCAGGGCACATGGGAAAGCCATGTGAGCCCGTGATTCGTCCAAGCTTCGGTAAGCCGCTCGTCTCACCTAGGGTGAGCACCGAGGATGACGAGGCTCTCCTCATTGCGTTCTCCCGACCATCCTACCAGGCCCAGGTCTACTCACTTCGTCTTAATATGCTTCAATGGCCCAGACTCGTGCAAAAACATGTTCGCATAAGCCTTGGGCACAAAGCGACGCTCCTGAGGTTCTTGCACGTAGTACTCGTAGCCTTGTTTCTCAGCAAACGCGACCGCGTCCTCCTTGGTCTTAAATTGAACTTTCGTGCCTTGCATTGCATCTGCCGATGATTGCCAGCCCATCAGTGGATTCTCCCATCTGTGTCCTCTGCCCAGAACGTCCCAGTCCATACGCCAGGCGTGTGAGCCCCATGAGCCGGATTGTGTGGCGGGTTTTGCGGATTTGTAGATTCTAGATTCGAGCGGGGTTTCTCAGTCTCAGGGCTGCCGCAAATGAGACAGTGAAGCTTCGGGGTTTCTCTTACCTGACTGTTCTGGCTTGTAGATCCACGGGTGCACCAGACAGCACTGCAGCTGGTGTTATACCGCCCGGTTCGCTTCCGTTCAAAACTCGCTTAGGCACAGGTGAATATAGTGAGGTTCCATGGTCAACTGTGGCGGTATAATCTGGTTGGTGGTCCGCATGGTATTCGGTCACGCTCTGTTCTGGATTATGATCGATCTCGACCATGCTCGCTTGGTCCTCTGTTGCTTGCATAGCTTGAACGTCTGGGACGGCTTTCGGGTCTGGCTCGCCGAGACGACGGCCGGGTGTCGTGGATAGGCATCGTAGTGAAGAGCGGGGTGCCTGTGGAATTGTCCTGCAGAGCCTTAGAGAGCTCTGTGGGCGAAGGAACGACATGTTGAGTGAGTGGCTGTTGTGATTGTGAGCAAGGAGCAGCGACAGCGATAATACGGGCGCAGTTGAAGTTCGAGTTGATGCTGCTGCTGCTTGATGCCAAGCATGAGATACGCTTATCTCTAAGCCGTTAGTGCTTTACACGCCGCTTTACCAAATGACGATTTGAGGCACATTTTAGAATCGCTAGTAATCTTGCCCCCCCTCCTTCCCTTGCATTCATGCGGGTCAAGAGTGAGGGTTAGAAATAGCCGCACGCTATCACTATTGACTTGGAATATTATTACCTCAGGCAACCCATCAGCCCAGAAAGTCCCTAGAATTCGTATGCTTGGCTTCGTAGTAACAGGAAGGCGTCTGCTATCTACTTTTACACAAGGAGATCGACCATGTCCCTTAACAATCGACCCAGACGCTGTCTCGCCAGATCGCACTTTTTAACTTCCAATGGACTGCACGTGTATAGCAGAAAATAGCAAGCCCTCCCACAGAAACGAAAGAAACCGAGCCACAAAGTACATGTCATAGACCATGGGAAGACTCTTGAATGGCTCAATCCATACTTTGTTGACTACCCGAGAATTCAATTTTCCATGCTTGAACTTCAGAAATATTCACTACACGAGCCAAGTTCCGATTATTCAAATCAGGTAGCCGCTTCCGCTAGGTGGGTAAATGCACCAGCCCCCAGCTCTCGCTCGAAAATGGACGTTATGGCATTGAATTGTTTCTCGGCGTCTGTTGCAGCCTTTCGATCGCCGCGACATCCGCCGAATTTGCTCTTCTTCCACGGATCGGCCCTCGATAGAACAAGAACGGTTCCAGCAAGGTTCGAAAGACTTGCATACTCTCTGGGTTGTGGAATTTGTATTCTTGTTCCAGCTGAGCCCAGTTAACAACTGTTGCTTCTTTTCTGCTATCCATGTTTCTCGATCGTTCAAATGTTGCAACCTGAAGCCCAGTATTTCTGCGAAGTAAGAAATCACCTCTGCAGTGTCTTGCGTTCGATAAAGTGATGATACATTTGACAGAGTTGACTCGGAGAGTTGGAGAGTTGCAAGGCAGTGATCCAGTATCGCTTGAGCTCAGAACTTGGATTCCACCAGTCGTCAGGGCGGATGAGAGCCATTGCGAATTTGATGATCTTGTTGTGCGAAGCAGGATCAGACCCTGAGGCCCCAATCGCCAGATCATGAGTTCACATGTCTCATAACCCTGGACTGGATTTCTGAATCGTGACCTGGAGAAAGATCGGAATTGTACCGTGAAACCAGGGCGCAAAAGCCTCCACTCGCCTGGTACCAGATTATTCATAAACCTAGTCCGATCATACCCGCCATCGCTCGGCAGAGTGAGTGATAGTGTGTGACTTCCCGACTTGCACCCTAATTCGATTCTTGTTGGACAGCCCTCGACATTTTTAAGGACCATGTCAGGAGGCCAATATGCAGAGACATAGGGTGTAGCGTGGTATATTATCTCATGGCAATGGTGTATGCTGACTTCTGTTTGTTCTGGATTTGAATTTGCCCTTAGCTCGAAATTGAAGTGATCTTTGATATATCGAAGAACAAGCCTGTGATATTTCAGTCCTTCAAACTCATGCTCTTGCATGATGGCCAACAATAGTGGGACGAAGGGCTCGAAGCTTGAACTTTCTAATTCGTAGAGCCAAACAATCTGGCTGTCTGATGCCCCCAGCTGCTGAATCGGGTTAAGATCAACCCTAAAAGCATTGCGTAGGTCGAGGAGCTTCTCGGAGAAGCCTTTGGCGGCGTCCTCGTCGCTAAAGAGCAATCTGACTTCTACGTTAGGATGCTCTGAGTTGTAAATCGGAGTATACTGATTTCTGCCTTGGAGTGTGCCGTATTCATTCATCCAGCCAAGCTGGTTGCAATCTGAGAACTGCAAAGTAAGCAACGTGCCAGTGAGCTTGACGAGTATGTCTGCTAAAGGGAGCCATAAATACGTTGTCTCATCCTGATTCGAGGTCGCTGGGGCAATTTGGAGGCGCCAGTACATCTGTTGGAACTCGGGGCCTCCACAGCGCCATAATGTGACTTCGGATTCGCCAAGCGCTGCCTCAATGTGTCTCCCTACACCGTCAGCATTGCGCTTCTTAATTCCCACACTCGATAGAAAGCAGGAACAGACTTCGACAGTTTGTGCAGGACCGTTCAGAGGGAAAGGTCGCACCCTCCCAGTCGTTAAAGCCGTCTCTGAGGACACTGGAGACCAGGTGATTCCGACATGGTTTCTAGGGACTGCTGGTATCTCAGGGGGAATTGGGATTTGTGAAAGCCGAGACAGCCTTGGCACGGAGCTGTCTCTTGAGCTCAAAGATAGTGCTAAGACTCGTGTACATGCTGCCGCTACCGCAGCAGCATAGTTTTGCCAGATGTCATTCTTGTGCGTGTCCGCATAGTCGCATATCCCTCGAACAACGATGTATCCATGCTCATTCAGAGCGCTAGCTTCCATGTCAACGGCTATGACCCCATTGAAATCATCTTTGAGCTTGTTGCGAGTGCATCCGTCTTTCAATACAACATCGCCAGATGCTATTAAGCCTTTGTGTACTTGGGGAAGCGCTCTAGCTCTAGAACTGCGAATGAACAGGTTGTCCCTCTCGCAGTCTTGACAATTTTTCGCTTCTGCGTCTGCGTGATTGTAATCGTGCTTGAAGAGAAGATCATACTCCGTAGAGGGTCGCGACCACCGATGATTCTCGTCCTGATTAGCGTGAGCATCTTGAGATTTGGCTCTCATGCCACGTAAGATTTCCGCAAGGTGCTCGCCGTTCAGCTGCGCGTCCAAAATTGGATCACTAAGGTGGTCAAGAAGTTGTTTAGGGGCGTTACGTCGATGCGCGGTACAACAAAGATTATTGTTTCTCTCCAATCGACCCTTACGATAATTCACAGTCTGAGTAGCGACAACAACATCGCCTAGCCTGACATCAATTTCGCCACCAGGAACACCGCCCGCGATGCCAGTCAAGAATCGGATTCTTAGACACGGGTATCGCTGTTGTAGACGTTCAGCGTAGGTGACTGTGGTCGTAAGGCCATCATGTCCTTCTGGTAGACATACAGCAACGACGTCTTTATCAGCTAGCTTTCCATGATAATATGTCGTGTTCCTGCCCTCGTCACGTTCCGCTGTGTATCCACCGTCAAAGCTCGCTATGACCGCATGTAGTTCTTTTCCCAAAGGGCAGATGATGCCAATGGTAAAATTTTCATGAGCATCCATCGTTAGCCAGATTGCTTTCGTGCACCTGAGATTGAAATTTTATAGGTAGCTCAGTAGAGTCAGCCGAATGATCCTAGGTAGTAAGTTCTTGACGGTGCCTACAGAAGTTTGCACTGCCACTTCTGAAGCGATGAAAAGCATGAGCTTCCGGGAGTGTTGTTTGAAGGAGGATATTACGGACTCTCAGAAACGGGCATCTACGGCTGGCTACACAGTAGCCGTCGAATCAAGAATGGAATCTAAGGGGTTGAAGTGACAGTCAGCCTCGCTAGGCAACGGCTCGAGCCACCATCATTACAACTGGGCCACTGAAGCTGATCGAGGCAACCGACCAATCAGCTAAGTAGGATGAGCAGCCAAGTGACAGGCACAGCCTACCTAGGTATATAAGATGTCGTCTGAAACATGGCTATGCTGGGTCTGCAATCGTATTCACACTCCAAGGGGCCTCCAGTCCTTGAAATCCTTGTACACAATCAGTTACCTCGTACTGGTGTTGTGAAGATGGACAAGTTCGGATCATTGGGAGACAACTTGGCGAACGTCATGGGGCGTATAGAAAGGAACGAATGACAACAATGAGGACAAGGGCATCTTGCTCATTCATTTCCACACACTTCGTAAGACTCCCTCATGCCGTATTATGGGGCATGTCAGCTAAAACAATTGGTGGACTACAAATATCCCTGTTTTTTGGGGAACAGCAACCACCTGTCGAGCCGCCCTTTCATCTTCGAAGACAGCAAGGCGTCCAAATCGTTGCCTTTTTACACCTCCTCTTGTGTTGTCCACATTGCAACTCCGAAACTATGTGCTCTTTTTCGGCACTACTGAATACGGAGTATGTACTTTCCCAAAGTTTCTAGCATCTCCATCCCCTTTTTCCACCTCGGACAGGATAGCTCATAGAATTTCCTCCTCTGCCAGGGCTCTTATATATATTCGTGCTTCGCCCTGGCATTTCTATTGGCGACTCAGTGCAAGACACACTAACAGCTGATATTAATCGCCCTGAGCAACGCGTTAATTCCACCGTTGACAGCCTAGTACGTGTCGCAACTCCGCTCAAGATCTAAGCCTTAACACGCAAGCTACAGCCACGAATTGTCCCTGTCGCAACCTTTTCACATTGTAAGATGCTGTTTCCATATGATGAAAACAATATTCCCAGTCTTGACGTGCTCATAAATGGACCTTTCAACGACAAATCAGAGCGTGAGATGCGATTACTGCTCAATGACTTCCTCACGGCGACTGGTCTACGCGATTACGAGCACTATTTTACCAAAGGAATGTTTCTAGCTCAGAATCCTGCTGCTTTCGACCAGCCCCGCGAAGATGGTCTTCATTTGACGCAAGAGGAAAAGGAAACCCTCGTCTATGAAGAAGTACCCGTCAAAAGAGTCAATAGGACCGAGTCCTCAAGCTCTTGGCGACCTGATTACAAAAAGTGGCGGAATATCTCAGCTCCTTTATGGCGACTTGTTTGTCTTTGTGCCCTGGGGGCAGCAGTCCAAGGCTGGGACGAGTCGGCTGTGAGTATCCCATCCGCCGGATTTTGTTTCAGATCTTCGTTCAGCTCTAAGTGTTTTGGACAATCGACTCCAGACACACGCAAATACCCGTGAGCTCTGGCTGACTGATCTTCTTACATAATGCCAGGTGAATGGTGCACAGCTTTTCTACCAACGTGCTTTCCGGATTCACATCGAGTCAGACATAAAGGCGGAACGAAAGCCAATGGTCGTTGGACTTGTTAACAGCGCTCCTTATCTAGCTTGCTTCGTAAGTTGTTGGCTCACCCCTTGGTCAAACAGGAAATTCGGCAGACGAGGAACCATATTCTGGACTGCAATATGTTCCGCGGCTTTCGCCTTTGCCCAAGCGTTTGCAAATACCTGGGAAGTTCTTTTTGTTCTCCGCTTCCTGATGGGTTTCGGTATCGGGCCCAAGAGTGCCACAATCCCGATATATGCAGCAGAGTGTTCCCCAGCGAATCTCAGAGGCAGCCTTGTCATGCTGTGGCAGTTGTTCACCGCCGTTGGTATCATGCTCGGCTCAGTCAGTGGTGTCGTGCTGCAAGATATTGGGAGTTCTGACTGCGAAGACTTGACATCTCTGAAATGTAGTCTGAACTGGAGATTGATGCTCGCCAGTCCTGCAATTGCACCAATAGTCCTTGCTCTTTACATTTACACTCAGAGCGAGTCACCACGGTGGCTAATCAACGAAGGTCACAGGCTTTCGAAAAATGATTTACCAAATTTGGCACAAAAGCGGTACGAACAAGCATGGGTGGGCTTAAAGAAGCTGCGACGCCAGAGACTACAAGCCGCCAAAGACATGTTCGAAATGTATTACCTTCTCCAGAAAGAGAGAAGAGAAATAAGTTCCATCAAGGATTCACCAGAAAGAAGCTGGAGCCGAAAAGGTATCTTTGAGCTATTCTCTGTTCGACGGAACCGAAGAGCAATGGTTGCAAGTTTGGTCTGCATGTTTGCCCAACAGTTTTGTGGTGTGTAAGTTGCAACCTTTCCCTAGAAACCGGTTCATTTTGCATTTTGACGACGGTCGACTTTAATGGTCGATAGAGGTGTCACTTGCAGCAACCAACATCTCTTGTGACCAGTTCTAATAAAGTCTCTAGTAATGTCATCGTGTATTATTCAACATACTACCTTGATAAAGTACGCGGTAACCATCGGGATGCATTATTATTCACCATGGGTTTCGGCATCATCAACTTTGTTTTCGGTATCCCTGCTTTCTACACTATCGACTCGATCGGACGACGCTCATTGCTCTTGATTACGTTTCCCTTGCTCGCAATATTTCAACTCATGACGGCGAGCTCATTTGCAGGTAACAACTGGCGCCTTGCACTTGCCGGGACGTACTTGTTTGGTATAGCATACTCCCCTGGGGAGGGTCCTGTACCCTTCGTTTACGCCGCAGAGAGTATGCCACTTTATATCCGCGACCAAGGCATGGGGCTTGTCGTCAGCATCAACTGGCTCTTCAACTGGCTTATCGCATTCACCCTTCCACAGTTCATCAATGCCTTCCATGAAACCGGAGCATTCTACTATTACTCGGGTTGGTGTGTGGTCCTTTGGTTCATGATATTCTTCTTGGTGCCCGAGACGCGCAATCTTAGCCTCGAGCAGCTCGATCTTGTCTTCAGACACCATTCGTCTCGACAATTTGCCAAGATCGCGATGGACAAAGCGCTCTACAATATCAAGACCTTACTGCGAAAGATCAAAATCATGCGAAGGTTGAGAGCTTTGCAAGAGGAGCCTAAAAGTCCTAGGCCTCTTTATGCACCCGTTGTACCCGTGGTGGGCACGGAGGGGCCGGAGAAATCGCCATGAGAACTTTCCTTTGACAAAAGGTAGCATTGCACTATCGAAAATGAAATCTCACGCGCTCCAGATGGTTGCACTGATTTAGAAAAATGGCGGCGAGATGCTCAACAAATGAACAATGAAGCATAGCGCCGCGGTGAGTGCCCGTAGTATCTCAACACCAACATTCTCAGTGGACAGGAGCTATTGGTCGAGTTTCCGACGACACAACTACCGCCAGATTTATTTCCTACGGGGCTCCTGGAAACGAGGCCACAAAAAAGTTAGTGTCTTTCTAGAAACTACTCTACAACACTTAGGGAATGTACTTTGGTACTTAACTACCTAGGCACTAACGATCTGTGGCGGCCCAAGCTTTGAACAAGGGCACAGGCTATCCCATAGCTGTATAGAGATGGTGATTCCCTTTTCCAATGTTCCAATTTCCAGCCAGGTTTCTATCTATATCATGCTGGGATTATGTATAATCAGTCTTACTATATTCATTGGCGTTTTTGATAGCTTTTTGATAGTTTCACTTTCCGGTTAAGTATTTTCCGACGCTCGTGTCTGATCTTCCCAGCACAAAAACTGTTCTGTTTAAATAGTCATTTTACCATGGCCGACCGTGTTTTAGGTCCAGAAACGTCGGTTTTCGTTTTGTAATACTGCCTGGAAAGTCATAATTACGAAAGGTCCACGCTCAAAGCTCCTCCAAAGTCAAGTTCTTGACCTCCCATTTGTCCTCAGTACCAGGGAATAGCAGCAATTGCCTCAATTTCGATGGAGAAGTTACCGGGCAACTTGCCGACCTCGACAGCTGTTCTGGCGGGCTTTGGGTTGGGTAGCAGTTCTGCGTAGACCTCATTCATGGCAGAGTAGTCCGACATGTTGGCCAGGTAAACAGTTGTCTTGAGCACGTAGTCCCATGAAGTGCCTGCCTCTTCCAAAATCACCGCGAGGCGGCCTATCACCGAGCGCTTTGATGGTCAAAAGGCATTAGCTTGGTGCTTTCAGGCCTGCGGTGTGTATATGTAAGATGAAAGAAGAAGGAATTATACTCACAGTTTCGTTTGCTATGCCTTGGCCAATGACTGTGGCATTTGGGACTGTTCCTGCCGTGTAGACAAGACCTTTTGCGGCAGCACCCCCAGCTATAAAGTCTCATTAGCATTGTTTGTTATCCCCGTGTTAAATTTCCAACGTACACAAAATTCTTGACTGTGAGCCGAGGTAGGTCACGGTCTCGTTGAGCTTGTGTCGTTTTTCAACGGGAACACCGGCAACGAAGCTGACGATGGCAACGAGTGTTGCAATGGCGTACTTAAACAACATAATTTCTTGACGATAATTGGATTGGCTATCTAGAGGAGTCCTTCGGATGGAATCTCTGCTATTCGTTCTGGCAGAGGGCTAATTTCATGGGGATGAAAATTGCAGGCTTTATAGGTTCATTGTATTCTCAAATCAGTGCCTGCGTGGCTCTCGATACGGGTCCCAAGAAAATTCGGCAATCCCATTCTTTCCGAAGGTCGAGTTCGCATTGTCACCCGATGCAACGAAACTAAAGCATCCAAGATTCGATGAGTCTCTGGTTTTACTTGAGAGGAATCGCTATCATGCTGTTCATCAAGAAAAGTCAAATTCCCGACGCAAAACGTGCAGCATGCCAAGCTGATCATCAGGAACCCAACGGACAATTGGCATGTATGCCCAGGCACCGAATGCTCATTCATCATTTAGGCTGATCGGCATCGTTATAAAATATGTGCCATTTCGGTAAGTATTCCTGGCCACCTGCTTAGCATGGTATAGTTGCCAAGATGGTATAGCGCTTTTAAGGGTAAGTAAAATATGCATATCCACAAATCGCCGGCCGGCCCAGAGATAAGGGAAAGCGCAGTTGTCCGCCTGTCTCCCGCCAACGCCCTTTAGACCATCTCGGTAGAGATAAGCCAATGAGACGGGATAAGATGTTCCGGGAGAGGTTGAATATGTTTGTGAATCAGGTGCTAAATTTCTTGACGTCCCGAATTTCTCAATGTCATTCGAGATAGCGACCAAATGGTCTGATAGTGAGGTTACTCCGCAGAAAGCCTGTATCCTCTTATGTAAACCCGGTGTTACCAATTCCGGAAAGTCCACACAATCAAGGATCAATGATTCGTTCGTCCGGCGTATTGAAGATAGCGTACATACCGCTTGAGGTAGAATATGTCGTCACACTCTGCCAAGCCATAACCGCAAACTCTCCCCGTTTTATGCAATGCATCTGGGGTAGACACGCGAGCAATAGTATCGTGCAAATGGAAAACGTGGTATTTGCGATCTTTTACATGAGAATAAGAAGAACCTTGATTGCCTAATCAGTTCTGCAAACAGACAACAGCCTACTGGCGCTGAATAAGTGGTTGGATTTTTCTTGGTGTAGGAGTATTTTCTTTCAATAAGGAATCTTGGAGTCTTTGGACATGTAGGCCATGCTCGCATTTGCTGTCGTATTCGGATTAAGAGCCCTTCGGCGCTCGGTGCTCGTTTTCTAGTGCAAGACTTGTCAGTGTAAGACTTGTGCCACGAAGCTGGTGGGTGTGACTAGCACCAAGTCGTCCCCGGTGTCTCCCACATTCCGAGAAGGAGTCAAAAAATTCTCAAGGTCGAAAGGCGTGTATGCTTGGTAATGGTGGTGTGCATGTCCTGTTCCGTCAACGGAATGATAATTGAAATATCTAATGGAAGATGTGAAAATGTACATTGTGCATAGTTGATACTAAGCCACGAGAAATACCCTTGCCAGACGATCGGCCCACTCTGTCTTGGCAGCGATAAGAACCATATGCGTATTGCCCGAAGCACACTGACTCTTTATGGTACTGATCTGCGTAACAGTCATGGCCAGTTATCTTCGATGACTAGATTGTTTTCTCTTGCGAAGATGCCGACACCTCGGGTCGAGCAGCATCTGTGTCTTGTCGTTGCGGATTCATCCACCGTTCACTGGATGACACCGGGGTGTCTCGCCACCTGAGATGGGGTCGTATCCAACTCTCGGGTGCCTAGGATTAAATGTACATAAAGGCCGCGTCGCTCAGGATGCACAATATTGCCTTTGCAGGGTGATCGATTCCGATAGATAGCCATCAAGTCAAGACAACAGGGCAAGACTCGTTGTACACAATATGAGGAGTATATTCTCACTCGCCGTGACATGCTTGTCCCTGTTTGGGACTGGCACAGCAAGTCCCGTTCGCGGTGGTGTTGAAGTGGTTCGCTTCAAAGGTCCCTTCACTGTTGAGGCAAATTCGGTACATAATATCCATGTGGAATGCTCTGACTCATCATGGGAAGGCGAGCTCAGTATTGTGTATGGCGACTGTGACATGCAAGAAGTCCATCACCAACACCATGAAGTTGGCAGAACAACTGTCAAGCGACAAACATTTCCAGATCGCTTTGTCTGGGTAACTCCTAGCGACGCCGTTCATGGTGGCTGTCTTCATGCCTACTCGGGATCAACATTGCTTGGCCGATCCAACCCAATTGCCGTCTCAAGGTCTTTACGGAAGCGTCAGTCGATTTCAGAAGTCGCTGACACAGAGGGACCTTGGTTCGATGGGGTCTCATTCATGGAGTCCAAGAATGTCTCGACCACTTTCGTGTCGGAGGCCAAGAGCAAGGATATCGCTATTGTTGGAGGTGGTATGTCAGGCGCCATGACCGCACTGCTTCTGCAATCTGTCGGTGTTGAAAATTGGCATATCATCGAGTCTTCTCAACGAATTGGTGGGCGAATCAGAACGAAATATTTGAATGGATCGAAGCCTGAAGACTATCAGTATCAGGAGATGGGGCCAATGCGGTTTCCAGTGTCAGTGAAGTACGCTGACACCAATGAGACGTTGGATATTGAAGATCATAAATTGGTGTTCCAACTTGCCGACTATGTCAACAGTCTCAATGGTAATGACTCAGCCCTTGCGGTGAAGTTTATCCCTTGGATCCAGTCATCTCCCAACGTACCTGGAAATTCTCGAGGCTATCGACTGCCCAACGGGCGCATCCCAAGCGCCTCTCAACTCAGGGCAAACAGTTCTCTCGCCGGTCCGGCTCCGCAATATTTCGATGAAGATGCTGCAGATGCCGCCGAGGAAGCTCTGTCAGAGTTCATCAATGCCACCAATGAGAAGTGGCGTGCGGCCGGACGTAATGTGTACAAAGCACATAAACAAGCGATTGAGGATGGCCTCTTCTCCTGGTCTGAGGCTAACTACCTCAAATATGAGCTCGGGCTCGATGCGAACCTGACTGATTTCGTGGCTGGCGCTTCTTCCATGTCCCCACTTTGGGGAGATATTTATGACAACAATTACTTCGCGGCAACCACGTGGCGTACGATCGATAAAGGCCTGAGTAGCCTTCCACGAGCAATTACACCCCTGGTCCAAAACAAGACAACTTTCGGACGAAAGGTAGTGGGCTTGACCTGGAATGACGAGACGAATAAAGTCGGAGTTAAGTGGAGAGACGATCCGTTTGCTCAAGTGCCTGAAGTTGAAGAGTATGACTATGCCGTCGTTGCCGTTCCCTTCACCAAGGTTCGTCTGTGGCGCAATCCGACTTACTCGTCTCTGCTGTCGCGTGCCATCAACACGATGAATTACCAACAAAGCTGCAAGGTGGCCTTGCATTACAAGACACGTTTCTGGGAGGAACTTTCTCCACCCATCATTGGAGGTTGTGGAAGTACTGATATTCCTGGTAAGTCTTTTGTACATGACAACTGTTCTTTAGTTAACAAATTGCAGGTATTGGATCCGTTTGCTATCCAGCATACAACATCAACGGCAGTGGTCCCGGTGTCCTCCTAGCCTCGTATCAGTCTGGCACGGGTGCACGTTCTGTAGCAGCACTCTCCGAGGAGGACCACGTCGGTCTTGTACAACGCGCCATGGTTGAAGTCCATGGTGAGATCGCCGCTGAACAGTATACCGGCAACTTTGACCGACAGTGCTGGGAAGTTGACGAGCATCAGGCTGGTGCATGGGCTGCGCCTTTTGTTGGACAGCAGGAGCTCTATCTCCCTGCGTACTATAAGACCGAGTTCAACACCATTTTCGTCGGTGAACACACGAGCTATACTCATGCATGGATCTTCTCTGCATTAGACTCGGCTGTGAGAGGAACCACACAGCTGCTGTTAGAGCTAGGTCTAGTGGATGAGGCCAAGGAGATCGTAGACACATGGATGGGGAGATGGATCTCCGTATAATAGTCCCATGCCCAACAGTATGATGAGATCCATGAATATAAAAGCTTTGTGGAATATTAGCTGCAAAAGTCTCTTGTTCATCGAACGCATTGCTCAGTATTCCCGCCGTTGAAATGCCCGCAATGGACATGCCTGCAGTGACGGTCAACTTTGAATCGCTATGGACTCATTGGCCAGTCTCAATCAATGAAGCTAGTCATAATCGTGATAGCGTTGATGGTGTTCTGTAATTCCAATGCACCGTAGTAATGCTGCCATACAGGATAAAGCAGAATGCCATCTGTGGGATGTCACCCATGACTCTCTCATGAAGCCTAGGGGGTGGTAGCAGCTATTCTCATTTTGAAACCTCAAGGACAACCTCGAAAATGGTGGCAGTAGGCTTCAACGGACGGAGAAACTTGAGCACTTCAGAAGTACCTACAATTGGAACAATTGGAACTTTCTCCAGCATTCTGCGTTAATCGGAAACGGACGAAGTAGAATGAGAAGGGAGGAAGAAGCTATCTATGTATGTCTGGCTTTTGGTTCGATGTCGCCATTTCAGTCACGATATGTAAAATCTCCGCCGGCCTCACCCCTGCTCACCCCTTGCTGCGGGTCGGGTGGGTGATCTGTGGGGGTTCACGTGACCATGCTGCTATCTCTCACAACCCCCGCCTTGCACGCTGCCTTGCTGCAGTGATGAATGCCCGGCATGCACAATGAACCTGCCAAATTTCCAAGAATACCCCGTCCGGCTCACAAGCAACTTCTGCGCCTTTGCTCTCCATATGCCAATCTGTCGTTGACCTCCTCCAGCCAAGCACCTGATCGGCAAAGTCCAGCCTCGCGTTATTCCTCGCGACCAAACAGCGGATATCTCTACAACCCGGCTCCGAGCGTGATGAAGGACTGTCCTGCCATACTTCCTAGATGTGGTCATTGCACGAGCCATTCTCTTCTTGTCCCTCCGAGTCGCTGCGCTGTCCATCATTTCGGCAGCCATGGCGGCCTCCCTCTACCCACGGCCGGTCAATCGCAGTGCCTTCGAAATAGCAATCCTTTGCGCCTTGTCAATCGAGTCTGATGCCGTTGAAGCATTGTTTGATCAGTTCTGGGAAGAAGATGACGTGCAATATGGCAAAGTCCCAGGAGATCCCAATTCCTACACTTTGGGTCGCATCGGCCGACATAATGTGGTCCTGGCATACATGCCCGCCATGGGCAAGATCAGTTCAGCTACGGTCGCGGCCAGCTTCCGCGCCAGCTTCGCGCATGTGCGACTTGGTTTGGTTGTTGGCATATGTGGTGGAGTGCCTCGACTAGCGGGCCATGTGGAAGACATCTTCCTGGGGGACGTGATCATTAGCACTGGAATCGTTCAGTTCGATTTCGGGCGACAGTTTACGGATAGGATGATTCGGAAAGATACTCTGCAAGACAGCCTCGGACGACCAAACCACGAGATTCGAGCTTTCTTAAAAAAGCTGCAAGGCTGGCGGGCACGATCCGAGCTGCGGCGCCATATCTCCGAATACGTCCACGAAGTGTGCGACAAGGAGTGGTTCGGGCCTTGGGCCACGCCAGGACCCGATGAAGATACTCTTTATCGGGCTGACTACCGTCATAAACATCAAGATCCCATTGAATGTGAAATATGTGCCCGGTGTTTAAGCGCAGAAGATCCTGTCTGCAATGCCGCCCTCGAGTCCTCTTGTGCACAGCTGGACTGCGACCAACGCTATCTAGTCCTTCGCCAGCGCCCTCCAAATTCCGGACCTACCGTTCACTTCGGATTAGTGGCGTCGGGCGATGTTGTTGTCAAGTCCGGGTTGTATCGTGACCGTATTGCCGCCGAGGAGAAGGTGATTGGGTTTGAAATGGAAGGCGCTGGCGTCTGGGACAGCTTTCCTACTGTTGTGATCAAGAGTGTCTGCGACTATGGGGATAGTCATAAAAACAAAATATGGCAACGACACTGCGCGATTGTAGCTGCGGCGGCTGCCAAAGGGTTTCTTCGCCAGTGGCGAGGGGCAGACATTCCGATTTCCCCTCCACCAGAGGCCAACCAGGATATTTTACCAAGATCATCGGATTCCCGCACATGGCACATGACGGTGAGTACACAAGTACGGTGGTTCTGCTTACATCATGCTGAGACTGGATGCACAGCGCCACAGCGAATCTCCCTCAGGTGAAGTCTCGCAGGGCCATTTTCAGACTTACCCGGCCCCAGACAATCCTTGGTTCCAAACAACTCCAACACCACCAACCATAGGTGAACTTCCGTTCCACACTAAACCGGGCCACGGCAACAAGGCCAACCCTGAACAAGCCTGGATAGGAGGAGCGTCAGATAGAAGCGCTGAAATTCGTGGACAAGCATCTTCTTTCGCAAAAGTCCGCGATTATAATCATGCAATAACTACCAAGGTTGAAAACATCATCTTGCAGAAGCTTGCCTTCCGAGGTATGGGTGACAGAGAGCAAGATATAAAAGACAATTATCCGGAGACCTTTCAGTGGATTTTCAAAGAACCCTCTCACGATGATAGCCTCGAGGGCACAAATTTTATCAACTGGCTGCGCCATGGGGCCGGTTGTTACTGGATCAACGGGAAAGCAGCCTCTGGAAAATCTACACTCATGAAATTTATCATAAAGCAAAAGGAGACCAAAGAGGCTCTCAAAATATGGACGGGAGGCGACCGCCTTCATTCCTCAAGCTTCTTTTTCTGGCATCTTGGCAACAGGCTTCAGAAAAGCCAGGCAGGCTTGCTCAGGTCAATATTATTCTCAGCCCTCGACGCAACAAGACCACTCATTAGAAAAGTGTTTCCGGACTACTTTACAGAGCTGGCGGAGTACGAGACTATTGCAGCCAGGAATAATGGGCAGGCCCCACTCGGTGTTCCGGTGCCTGGCGACTTGACCGACCAAGAGTATAGACGGGCTTTCCACAAAATCCTGCAGGCTATGCCTGAGGGTTGCAAAATCTGCTTCTTCATCGACGGCATCGACGAATATGAGGGAAATTGTTATGAAATCTCCGAGCTTCTTAAAAAGAGTTGCGGACCCCGTGTGAAGATGGTTCTGTCAAGCCGCCCTATACCACCTTGTGCTATGGTTTTTAAAGGTTGCGCGGGCCTGAGATTGCAAGATCTAACGAGGCCCGATATCGAACTTTATATTAACTCGATTATTTGGAAGCATTCAAGAATGAAACACCTCATCAAAGTCGAACCAGTGAGGGCCGCTCGCTTGGTCACAGAGTTGGTAAATCGAGCCTCGGGAGTCTTCTTGTGGGTAGTCTTGGTAACAACTAACCTCATGAGCGGTCTCAATAATTTCGACACAATGGATGACCTAGAAGCAAGACTAGACTATTTTCCAAGGGAACTTGAAAAACTCTATCAGCATATCATGGAACAGGTAGAGCCGCTATATCGCCGTAAGGCCTTCGAACTCCTGCAGATCGCTCTTCGTGGTCTAGACACCGATGCAGATCTCACAGTTCTAAAGCTTTCATTTGCGGACGAGGAAGATCCAACTACCGTATTGCGGCCGAATTGGAGAGCACCTGACAACGTTGTCTTGAAACTGAGAATGGAAGAGATGGAAGCACGCATGTCAAGCAGAACTCGAGGTTTGCTCGAATCGGCAAAGTCGTCCGAGATGTCAGATCCTTTCCTTGGGCCTGGGCCCAGGGTCAGATTTCTGCACAAGTCCGTCGCCGATTACTTGAGACAGCCACAAGTGTTGGACTTTCTTACTGGATTTACATCCGCCACCTCGTTCAATACGTCAGTGTCACTGCTTAGTTCGACTCTGCACATGGCGAAAATATTCGAGAATGACCTCTTGAACAGAGGATGGCAGCCAGCACTTAACATAGCGACCAATCAAAGCAGGCAGCACATCATCCACGTCATAGTGCGAGAGGCGCAAGAAGCAGACCACGCCGGATTTGATATTTCAGAGTATATCAACGAGTTCAGCCGTTGGGAAGGGGAAACCGGAGGCTATGGACGTTGGTTTGGGAGCTTCCCACATCCCTTACCACTTGAGCCACCGTCAACCGCGAAACCAAGCAATCTGCGAAGGGAAATTTTCCTTCGTGCTTGGTACGGACTCGCCAATAGCACAATCACATATCTAGCGGCTCAACCTCAGGGCACGATCAATGAAGAATGTCCTGACATCCTTTGGTCAACAGCGAGTAAACTTCGTTTGCAAACTTGCTCCAACAATGTCGAGCTGCAAGGAATGCTCAGCACGATTGAGGTTCTTCTTCGGCATGGATCAAATCCCAACTTTGTGGTAAACGGGCAAACTGCCTGGGGAAATCTACTTGTCCAGATTCTCGATTGGGATATCTCAAGCAAGAAAAGCATTTCAAAATACTGGACATTGCTCGAAGTATATTTTCAACTTATTGTCATTATGCTGAAGAGTGGCGCCGATCCGCACATCGTCATTGTCGGAGAGGTCGTTATGAAAGATGCAAGTATCTTGCTGGGTGATGACAGCGCTGCTTTCACATCCGAGAGGTCAGTAGCCGCCTGGATTGATGATCGCCAAGCTTATTTTTCAAACTCCGCTACCGTCCCACAATGGGCGATGGACACGATTTCCCATTGCTGTCGCGAAGCGTCTTCAATGCTGGTGGATTCCAAGGCATATCCGTGGAGAAAATCATCTTCTGCCCACGAACCCTTTGACGAGATGCTTCCCGAAACAATTTACGCAAGTCTCCCCCCACGACTTGAGAAGAGACCGCGGAGCAGTGTCATGCGTCTGTTTAGAAGAACTCCGAAAGAAAAACAACGGACGTCAGCGGGCGTAACAACGCCGGTTGTGGAAAATCCCAAAGAGTCTTTTGAACGCCAGAGCAGTCCATCAACCCCTGAGGCTCCTCTCATTGTCGATTACAATAGTGCCAAACGCGTGCACCTACCAAAGAAGATATTGTTGTGAACATCCCAGTCTCTGTTTGGCAGTTGATATGACCCTTTTCTGTCGGATCGTGTTTGACCATCAGCTTATTACCAATCGTTTACCTGTCCTCCCTTCTTCGTGGAATGACATAGCCGGGCTAAAATTCAGCCAATCTCAATATTTTCAGCAATATGGCCGACAGTCTACCACCACCTGGTGCTGCGTCATCGAAAGGTATTGTGTCGAGTTTTATCTGCAGAATCCCAGATGGATACTTCAAAGCCTGGCTCCTCGAGGGACCCGAGAGTTCCTGGGAATAGACCTGGGACTTGGCATCTTCTTGCTAAGCATTAATATCGCATACGGCGTCTTTTCCGCAAAAGACGACGGGCTAGTGATAGAGAAAGAGGTGGAAATAGTACGGATTATCCTGTCCTGATGGGTTGAATCAGGCCCTAATTCACCTCAATTGGGATAAACTCGATGCCGCCTTGGCTTAGAAAGACAGTTTTTGTTCTCTAAGTCCAGTATCATTTGTCACTTTTCATTTCTCTCCTTTGCAGCACAGGCACTTTGCACACCTGCTTCTAAACCAGAATTATGCCAACTCATCCGAAGTTAAGGGAATTCACATTTGATGAAGAACAACAGATTTGTGTGGAGATCACCACGTCACCAGACAGTTTCAAGATCGAACGAAAAGCTGCCACATAACTTGTTTGAGTGGCTTGATTTAAATGTACTAGTCCAGGGGGCGGCAGAGTTGAACTGCCCACAGCAACGTGGCTGACCACCGAGAAATAACGCAACAACTATCCCATATATTCGCCGTTGAGGATACATGCATTGCTGAACGCCTGACAAACAGAAATGCAAGATACTACCTTGCCATCACACGCGGCACTTACTCGTCAGGAATCTGCAGAGACCCTTGCATAGTGAGGACAGCAGATCCCGAGAGCAAGACCTCTTCGATCTCGACACCATCTCCTGACGCCTTCTCCTTGACACCGACATTGACGAAGATCTGACTTTTCTGGCCCATTTCCACACCTTGAATGATCCGGTAGCTGTAGCGACCAGGCGTTCCCTTTTGCAAGGAGAGATAACTCGTCAATGCACTGGCCGCTGAGCCGGTGGCTGGATCCTCTCTACTGCCGTGAGATCGAGTGCGAAGGTCCCGCACACCGTCGTCGTTCACGCCGAGATCGACGAAGAAGTAGGATATCACCAGGCCCGCACGGTAGCCCTCATCTAGAGCCTTGAAGGCTGTCTTGGTGTTCTCGGCGCCCAGTAGACTCTTGGTCTGGAGGCCTAGTTCTTCAAGTGAAGGTTGCTGTGCAAGAACAAAAGTCATGCCTTTGACAATACTGACGACGGGATAATGCCCGTAATGCTCCCCTTGAAACGGATTGGCGTGAATCCGTACATTGTGGGCGACCGAGATTTGGACACCATCGATCGCTGGGTTCAGCTTTATGTCCAGAAGGCCTGACTTTGTGCTCAAAGTTCGCACATTGGTGGATGGCGTACCAAGTAGACCAAGGAGATAATTGGACGTTCCAACTGTAGGGTGACCGGCAAAGGGAATTTCAGCGTAAGAAGTAAAGATGTCGATTCGAGCCACACCGTTTGCCTCGTCATCTTCAGTCTGCTCGTGTAGGATGACTGTTTCGGACAGATTAAACTCTCGGGCAATACGTTGCTTTTGTGTCTGGGAAAGTGTGACCGTCCGTGGCACCTTGACAATTGCTAAAGGATTTCCCGTGTAGCGAGTATTGGTGAAGACATCCAAGGTAAGGAAGGAAAGCTGATTAGCCATCGTGGCTATATAGTGTAGTTTATGGGGTTAATGTAGAAGAAATCGAAGAGACTTAGGTGGGTGTACTCTACCATGTACTTATGGCATCAGTATGGTGTGAGTCATTTGTCGCTCGGTGGAAATTTAAGCCGCATCGAAATCATCAGTTTTGACGGTTGGGCCACTCGGAAGATCATCATCTTCTGTGTCTCTCCGAACAGAGAGTATTGCATGCCCAAGGTATCCATTCAATGTCTCGAATATCATATTTTGATGTTGGCGTAACTTGTTCTCAACTAGCAGATTGGGACAAGCTTCGAAGTGTTAGTGTTTTTGCTTCACACGCGCCATGCTTGGCTTGAAGCCTTGTGCAATTATTTTGCTTCAACTTGACCATGTCAATCGCCTCCTGCAAATCTTTTGGGAAAGCTCCAGGAACGTGCAAGATGGGGGAAGCCGAATAGTTGGGGATCTTTTCAGTACACTCGAGGGATGTAGATTCTTCACCGACGAGTGTGTCGTCTTCCTCGAGATCAGTCAGAATCTGGGATAAACTTTCTCTTGACTTCCGGCCAGTGCTTATGTCACTCGAAGGAGAACCTGTTATGCCTGACGCATTATTGGCAGCCATAGCAGCCGAAGGATCTCTGGTTGCCGCTTCGTGGTTCAGAGAGAAGCGATCTATCGCGTGGATGGTGCTAGACTGGTTTGCACCTGGTGAAGCTTCCGAATCGAGCTTTTTATTCAACACTTTGGCTGTGGGCATCTTGCCATGTTTGCTCATTGAGATGAGGGTTGCCCTCCAATACTCGTTTAGCATCCCATTCTCATATGGTTTACCTTTTTCGAACCATGCCACCCACTGTTTCGCAACTTTTACCACACGCTCAAACTGTGAATCAAGAAGCTCTCCGTGTATTTTACGGCACTCTTCATTAGGGCACCTGCCCTGATTAGTGTTTCTGGACGCACGGAACTGTGCCAGAATCAATTGCTCGAGACGGTAGGCTCCACAGGACAACCTAGGGCTTTCCCAATTCTTTTTGAAGGATATTCCACAAACTTGTGTGATGCCACCGAGCCTCTGCTTAGCGGTTTTCTCAGAGAAGCCCACTTTCACCAGTCCAGGCATGTCCTCACAAGACGCGACATATACTATCCCCGACTTTGCTGCTCGGGCGCCAAATTCTTTGAAAAGCTCATTCTCCAAAGTTGACCATCTGGGGTATGCTTTAGCAGGCACATGTGCTGCTGTCGCCGTTTGCTGTTCGTCTGTTGTGACTTCGCGCTCGTGTACTTGTAACATGGCTTTTGGCTTCCCCAGGTGAGTTCTTTGTAGTATTTCAGCATCTCTACCATCAGCAACAACGACTACTGATGGCAATTCGTCGTCAGAGGAAGAGATTGAAACTATCAGGTATTAGCATGAGATTAGAAATTCGAAGGCACGAAACATACTGCAAGGCTCCTGTGGAATCTTCCAGTCTGCGGTCACTTCACGCTTCCATTTCTCAATGACCGCCTTGCTAAGATCCTGGGTGGCTTCCAGTCCTCTGTGCATGCCGCAGAGCCAACAAGACAGCAGACTTTCCAAAGCTGCAGGAAGGGCATCACGGTCTTCATTGTGAATGATGTCCTTGCAGCATTCTAGAGCTTTTTGTCGCCAATGGAGCGCTTTGGAAGGTGAGTTTTTACAAGTTCTGAATGCCTTTAACTCCGGACCCCATACAGGGTGCAAGCACATCTGGCTCTCGAAAGCAAGCTCTAACTTGGAAAATGAGATCGCACCCTCAGCCTTGGACGCTGTCGAGTGTGTCATTTTCACAATATCAGGATTACCAGATCTGAGGTGAATGTTGTGACAGGTGAAATACCCGCCAGCAAACAATGGTACCAGGATTTCTGCCGTAAGATTCGCAGGTTTGTGAGAGCGATATCCTGGGTCTCGTAGATATGTTCGAAACAGGCGATGTTTGCAAAGACAGTAATTGAGTTCCACGAGATTGCTCACTTTTAAAGCTAGCCACAAGTTTTCTCGTTGAGAGGTAGGATTGATGTAAATGTTGGTTAGGTACAACTAGGCGGAGCTATCGAAAGAGGAAAGCAGGCTGCTTATGCTTGAGGAAGGGGCTGGGCCTTTCGACTTCATGTTATAGTCCAGGCTGCGAAAAGGCAACCAGGAGGCGGCCTGGGCTAAGCAGCTTCCTCAGTCGACTGCTGCAAGTGCATGAAGCTCCAAGATTGGTTAGCCTTCAATATCGTTATTCAGAAAGTACATGGCGCACCAGGATGCTGTACACGAAACGTACCTAAGTCCATACTCAGCACCTCGTAAGGCGGAGCACACGCGGAGGACGAAGTCCTAGCCTCACATTAGTCCACTCATGTGAGCCCAGACCTTGGTCATAGGGTTGCTTCAGAACGCAATTGAGCGAGCAAAGCTGCATAACTCCATCTCAATACGTGGCCAAAGCACCTCGCTTTTCCAGCAGGCCTTGGCCAAGTCTCCCCCACCGGCAGCTGCCTCTTGTGAAATCAAGTCCTGAGAGCAGAGAATGGTGTGCTACTCAGTCCCGGGATGAGCGGCTATGCCAGTGTCGAGAGCCTGGACCTTGATCTCCCGGAGCTCAGGAGAAAACCATTATGCCAAGTACTCCTTATCCATGTTCCCAAACAGCAGTGGGTGCAGCTGTCAGAGAAGAGAAGTGGTCTTGAAGTGTAGACAGCTAGTGTGAGCAAGCTAAATTCAAGACAAACATGACTTGAAGCGCGGCTAATGCAAGCCACAGACAAGGACAGACAGTGGTGAGAATTGGATAGTGTATGGGTCCGAGGCCGCAGGACGGCGCTTAGTGAGAAATGTCACTCGGGTCTCCTCCACAATTCTGACTTTGAAGGGGCGGAAATGGTCACCTGGATGGTTGAAATAAGAGCTTGCGTGCTTGAAGCTGATTTCCAGGAGAGGAGTCGGTAAGGGTATGGTTCTTCTGAGAAAGCTAGTTATCGTGGTTTACGCGAGTCATTACAATGAACTTAGAAGTTGGAACGCCCATGGAGAGGAACGAGCTTGGGGATTGCGCTTTCCTCATAGTTCCTAGGATTCGTGAAAGACAACTCCGCAAGCACGATATTCATTCAACCCACCTTCAATAGACCCATTAAGTATTCGAGTGTGTTATTCCGGCCTACTGGTACTGTGGTGATAGTGGCTGCGAAAGGACACGGTCCCGGGTATGGTGAACAGAACTTGTGGCCACCTGCAGACTGAGTCTCGTCCGTTATCTCCCGCATGTACTCCGTATTGGTACTTGGGAAGGGGCGGCTTTGTGACACTCGTACGAAGCACTTTCGACTGTTTGACTACGCCATACTTGTGCTAGTCATGAGTTCGTTCGTGGTCGGGTGGGCCTTCCTGAAGAATAGGGGTCCCAGCGAAGCGCTGATCGGGACGGACCTTCCTTTCCTTACTTCCCCGGTGGGCTCTTTCTTGACCACCTCCCCAGCCCCGTAGACATTCTGCCTTCGCTATCACACTGCCTTCGTCTCAGGATGTCGAGGATTTTCGCGCAGTGTCCACCGCACGGGGAGGATTCCACATTCGTGAAGCAACCCCGTGCTCAAGTCATTAGAGACGACGTCTCTGTGGCTCTGCTCTCGGGGTTGAAGTTAGCCTTGCACCTCGTATGGGAAAGATGAGGACCTCGCATTGCGCAAGGTTTACGAGACAGTTCGTATCAGTGGGTGGCTGGCGAGCTTGCTGACGAATGCCAATGCTACCATGAGGAATACGGTACTGAACACCTAACTTGAGTCGATCTCGTGATGTATCCGTGACCTTACCAGCAGTTTTGCTTGGACTATCTGTGAATGGTATTACTCATATGCAGGAGCAAGGGCGTAGAGCGAGATTTCAAGCACGGAAGCTGCAATGGAGTGTTTTGTCATATGTCATTTTGTGTCATTAACTGGGGTTTGTGCATATCGTGGAACTATGGAGAGACATCTGGATATTCGGCGTTACCTGATCCTGGTGTGGTGCGCAACACTATCTCCGACCCGAGAAGGGTTATCATCGTCGTTGCCATGAATTTAGGAACTACTTCCAGCCAGGCTGACCTCATGCGAGTCAACATGCTAAACCGTGACTTGGTCAGCGAGCCCATCGAGCTCTCGTGCAAAGTTCCTGTGCATGCCGATGTGGTAGAAAAACTGGCTAGTGAAGTCCGTAGCTTCTTTCGTAAGCTTCACAGCATCTTTGACTTTTGAGCCAGTATCAGGCTTCTGTGTAGTCAAAACACCATACCACTCAACGACATCAGTGCTTCCCTCAGTGGCCAATTTCACGCCCTCAGCTTCTTTCAAGGCTAGGTTAACCAGCTTGACACCCTCGCCAGTTGCACCGATTGGTTTTAGATGTGCGAAGGCTTCCCGCACATAAAACCTCGCAAGGCCAATGCCACTAAGGGTTTTGACAGATTCTTCACCGCCAGGCACGAAGATGGCATCGAACATGGTTGAACGCTGTCCATTTAAGAAGTGATCAGGTTTTGTGGACGACGTGCCATTGGAAGCCTTCACCTCCTGACGCTTGGTGGAGATGGTGAAAGGCAAGGCTGACTGCGCAAGAATTGCGGCTTTCATGGCATCATAGCTTGCAGCATCGTATCCATCAGCAATGAGGATTGCGATCCGACGCGACTTAATAGTCGGCACTTCGGGCAGATAGTCGAGTTGGCTCAAACCTGGAGCTTTGTGCCCCTTATTCGGACGGGCTTGCTTGGTGGGTGTTGGCGCACCCACCTTCTCTGCCACAGCTGCAGCAAGCTCGTAGTCGATTTCTGCTAATCGCGATGCCAGTCGTTCGTAGACGATTGGCTCATCGCAATGATCCAGTTCGAATGCGAAAGCGCTGGTAATGTGGTGCTTTTCAATTGGACTCATGGAGTTGTAGAACAATTGAGCTTGGGAGTGGTAGTCTGTCCACTTCTCCGTGAGCTTGCGTGCTTTCATGCCAGATTCTTCGGCGGGATAATGGTCTAGTGCGCCATTTCCACGGCCCGCTGGTGGGTTGGCATCGAATCGATTTGGCCAGTAGTTGACTTTGCCTTTCGTGATAGTGTGGCGACCCTGTCCATCACGATTGAAATTCATGACAGGACAAACGGGTCTGTTGATTGGAAGCTCTTGCCAATTGACCCCCAGTCGGCTTAGTTGAGTGTCCTACGGTGATACTCGTTAGCTTGGAATGCTCTGCAAAGTTTAAGGCTCCAAAGAAAGACATACTAGATAAGAGAAGTTTCGACCCTGGAGTAACGGGTCATTGGTAAAGTCAATTCCGGGCACAATATGGCTGGTGCAGAAAGCAACTTGTTCGGTCTCGGTGAAATACTCATCCACAACGCGGTTGAGCTCCATCTCGCCAATGTAGCGGATAGGTACTTGGTCCTCTGGCCATACCTTTGTGGCATCAAGGATATCAAAGTCGAACTTATGCTCGTCTTTCTCTGCAATCAACTGGAGCCCGAACTTCCATTTCGCGTAAGCTCCGTTTTCGATCGCCTCATTGAGGTCCTTTCTGTGGAAGTCGGGATCCTGTCCTGCGAGCTTCAGAGCTTCATCCCAGACAAGTGAATGAACACCGAGCTCAGGAGTCCAGATGAACTTGCAGAAAGTCCTTTCGCCCTTCTCGTTGATCAGAGCATATGTGTTGACACCAAAGCCTTGCATCATGCGGTACGATCTTGGGATACCACGGTCTGACATTGCCCAGAAATACATGTGAGTGGCTTCCTTGTGAAGATAGACAAAGTCCCAGAAATTATTGTGGGCACTCTGTGCTTGAGGAACCTCATTATGAGGCTCTGGCTTCACAGCATGGACAAGGTCGGGAAACTTGATCGACTCTTGAATGAAAAAGACGGGAATATCATTGCCGACGATATCCCAATTACCTTCGTCGGTGTAGAACTTGACAGCGAATCCTCTCACATCTCGGACAGTGTCTGCACTTCCCCTGCTCCCTTGAACAGTAGAAAAGCGGACGAAGACGGGTGTGGTTCGCGAAGTATCGGTAAGCACACCTGCTGAGGTGACGTCTGCTGCACTCTCGTAGAGCTTGAAATGACCATGGGCAGCAGCACCTCGCGCGTGTACAACACGTTCTGGGATACGCTCGTGATCAAAACGATGGATCTTAGTCACCTGTTAGCAGAAATTCGACATATAAGAACGCCGCAAATGAATAGCATACACGCTCTCGACCAATATGGTCTTCAAGGAGATGGGGTCCTATCTTTTGGTTCTTGTCGTCGACCGTTTTGAGCCAGTGGTCGAGATCCGGAACTTTGGCGCCATAATCGGTGGTGGTGTTCAGTTTGTTGTTTTGTTCCTTGATATTCTTCTGAAGATCTGCGATCTTCTTATTCTCACTCATGTTGGCGACGGAATCAGCTACAGAATCTCCAACTTTTCGAACACTCTCTGCAATAGATGAGGCCATGATAGAGAAAAAACAAACAGTTGGAGAAGATGAGAGAAGGAAATGCAAATCCAGCTTTTCAAGACAAGTGGAGGTTGACGGTCCGAAGGAGTATCCCATGGAAAATCTTTACTTCTTCCACGGGTTCTCACCCTCACTACCAGTAGAATTCTCCGCATTGCGCATCATTGCGGATGGAGGAGAAACAATTATGTCATTGTTGCATTACAACGAGAGGAACACGACATCTCGGTCGCTGTTGATATGTGTGATAACCAGTTGCGGATGTAGACTCCGAGAGCTTCTCAATTCCGATTGGACGATTCAAGTCCCGAAACACTATGACATCAAAATGAAAACGGCTTTTGTGGACCACGCATCATTCAGACAGTGTTCCTCATCTTCCGTAGACTTACTTTGTCAAAGTTGAGCTGAGGGGCGAGGGGGGTCGCTTTGGGCTGTTTCTGCTCCACAAGTTGTGCAGGAAACAACGCTCGGATACCATTGGGTATAACTGAGCCTTGTCCAGCCTTGCTTAGCCGTTCGCATTATCTTGTCCACTTGGCTAGGTGTGCCTGATAGAGTTCGATCAGCATATTGAAAGGCGTTTGCGGGTTTCGTATCCGAACAGTGTAGAGCTCTTTTAGAAACCATGTTCCTAGTTATTGAGTTGCTTATGGTCTGAATCAGCATCTTATTGGATAGTACGATCCCGTGATCAGAGTCAGATATGGTGACGACATGACTTTATTGGACCGGATTCCAATGATACATAGGCCTCTAGGACGACAAAATGTTCCAGTCTTCACATATCGTCTCAAATCCCACTGAAGTCGCTGTCTGCGCAAGATTTCAAAGATGGGAATCTCATATAGCACAGCGAAATGGATTGCTCCAACGAGCTTTGTGATCGATTTTGCTTGTCAGCAGTATGGCATGCTTTCAACGCCAAATATGAAGGATATCCATGATCAGAAACTGTCCTTCTTCAGTCCTCAGCCGTACTTCATCGCTGGGTTTTTCTTTCCTCAACAATTGTTCCAAATTGGTTGGTTATATCGTCTGTGGAAACTGGATCCAAAAAAACCAGCCGAACGGGCGGAATTGGATCAGATGGTGGATTACGTGCCATATTATACCCTCGGGAATCTTTGCATAGCAGGTAAGATTCCATGACATTGAATATTGGGGACAATTAGTAACTCTTGTTAGCCTGGATGGTGGCATGGAACTCAGGGAGACTTGATATTTCCCATGGCTTCGTAACCGTCAATACTTTGAGCCAACTGTGGTACCTGACCATGCGTTTGCGACCTATGAACACAGGATCTACATCTTCAATCCTAACACACATAGTCTCCAAGACCTTTGCAGGAATTGGCGTACTAGACCTGTTGCACAACGGCTCGGCGGCTTTCTTCAAAAATCAGCCAGCAACATTACCTATCAAAGTGCTTACAGGTGTGGGTTTTGGGCTTGCTAGCGCTGTGAGCGACTGGATATTTGGAGGATGTATGGTGTATGATCTAGTTGCTCTAGCGGCAGGTCAATCTGGAGACTGGAGAACTTTATTGAGCGTATTCGCAGTTGGCAGTGCGGGCATTGTCGCTGCGAGGAACATGGCGAAGTGAGTATGGCTAAATGTGCATTTATGGATCACAACATCCGCGACTGACATCAGCGCTCTTTCCAAGGCCTCCTTACTCAAATCAGTACACGATTGTTGCCGATGATGAGGTCGTGTGAGATCATGTTCGCTAGGCCGGCAGGATATTGTAATAATATTCTGGTTTGTGGGATGTCTCGATAGTTGGTCGCGAGTGTCATTGGGCACCAAGGCCAGTTCGCTCGCCTTGAATCTCCATGGACTGAGAATATAGTGATCCACTTCAGGCAAATAGACGAATTTATCATGTAATGGCACCCTCCACAAAAGAGCGGAATTCTCCTCGTCTTAGCTAGCACCAGCGCTGATCTGCTGAGAGTGTTTGCTGGTCTCAGGTGCTATTGAACATATCCAAAATCGATTTCAGTGTTTAGACGGGTCCTGTGCAACATATATACATGCGCCGCACGAGGGCGTGGGTATTCATATTATGTTGAGGCCAGCTCGAGGAAGATAGACGTTCGTTTAATTACGGAGAAGAAACCACGGCCAACTCCCTCCCCACGCCAAGGGAATGAGATGGATGGCCAATAACCGCAAACAACTTTCTTATCAGTGACACTTAATTTCTGCTGTTTAGCGATTAAATCCGAGGCACCCTCCACATCTGCCCCTCCACGACGTCGTGGAGGTGTAGCACCTGCATGTCCGTGCATGACAATTCCACCAATTCTAACAAGGCGCTGATTCAGGGTGACCAATTCCATGCTCAAAGTTCATTGTCATCTGCAAACAATCACCATCTCATCCTCGGCTCGTCCCTTTGGCCGCTCCTAAATGGATCCCTCACTGGCCTAAGCCTCGAGAATCCGGGCATGCGAAGGGGGGGGTGTGACTACCTTATCGGGTGACTCAGATCACACTCGAGATAAACTGCGGATGGACGCCTGTGCGCCTTCCTTTCCCTGTCCTTTAGCCATCCATACTAATGTTCATTGCTACACTCCTTCTACGCGTAGATCTGTTTCTTCTTTCTTAGCCTATTCTTTGTGAGCATTTGTGTATATCGTCTACTGTTCCAATTGAAGAGACTCCCGAAATCATCAGACAAATCCTTTCCACGATCACCCGCCCACCCACCTCGAGATTCCTCAAATAACACGGTAACGAAGGCTCCGTTGGCGGCCGAAGAACCTCAGACAGCTCCGATCTCAGCTTGAAAGAGCTCGGAAGTTATCTTCTCCAAGACAAACCGAGGCGTGTATTGTGTTGGACATGATAAAAACAATATAATATCCATAGCTGGAACATAAGTCTACGTGGTGCTGCTAGCCTGGCGAACCATGGATCCAACATCCCTAAGCTTTGCTGGCGGATTACCAGCACATTGTGCTCCCACCTCGTCCATTCTGACCGATGTGTCGTCCTATTTCGGAACCTGTATTCCTACTCCTCTTGCTGCCCTTTCGACCCTACTTGGGACACTGTCAATAGTGTCATGGCTGTTTGCCCAGATGCCACAGATCTTTAAGAATTATCAAATCAAATCCACAGCAGGCTTGTCGATTTTCTTCTTAGCCGAGTGGCTGTTAGGAGATTTGACCAATCTTCTGGGTGCCTTGTTCCTCAAGCAAGCAACGTGGCAGATCATCATTGCTAGCTACTACGTATTTGTCGACGTCTGTCTCGTGGTTCAGTATTTTTGGTATACTCATTTTGCCAAATGGATCTATGCCGAGAGCCTTCACTCGAGTGGCAGCAGCGAGATTGACGACACGGACAGCGCCATGATTAACGGTCTGTCCCCGATCAATACAACATTTGGTGAGGATTCGCCGTTCTTCGAGCCTGCGGATGATGGGGCTCAGAAATCCGACAACCCACGGAATATGGACATACCCAATTTCTCTCAAGTCAACTATGGTGAAAAGAAAGGGACACCAATCCGAACCATGTCGGACAAGTTCGGTTCGAGTTGGATGACATCTGCATCGCCACGAACATTGATTTACACGGCAACGTTATCATCACTAGCATCTAATGTGGTTGCCGCACCTCTTCCACCATTGGCTGAGGGCCATGGGCCTGGAGTTCACTTTTTTCGTGTTGACACCCCTTTACATGTCGCTGGGACAATATTGGCCTGGAGCTCAACATTCCTGTATCTTGGGTCCCGCCTTCCTCAGTTATACAAGAATTGGAGGCGTCAATCCACTGCTGGATTATCACCCCTCTTATTCGCAGCAGCATTCTGCGGGAATTTGTTTTACTCTACTTCTTTGATCACAAATCCGAACGCATGGGCGAATTACAAGTCATACGGACATCATGGTTGGGTAGATGGAGAGGGTTCACAACGTTGGGAATGGGTTGGAAGGGCAGCGCCTTTCTTCCTTGGTTCTGCCGGCTGTTTGAGCATGGATGCATTGATGGGTGTACAATTTGTCATTTACGGAGAGAAAGAGGCCCGGATCATCAAAGTAAGGGACAGCGATGGCTATAGTCATTGGGAACGAGTGAACGGGTGGATGAGGGGATGGATTCCAAGCATGGCTGGAAAGGATAAGGTGGTTGATTTGGCACAAAGCCAACGTTTACTGAGCGAAAGTACACATCTGACGCGGCGTCAGAGCAACCTGGACTATGGGACAGTGACGATGTGATGAAAGAGCAGACTGAATAAAGAATAACGAATTATCACTTGCCCATGTTCACAAGCAGATGCTATACTCATCTTCATGGTGGTCAATAGAAGTCCGAATTAATTCTACCCCACCATCAACATTGACGTCAGCAGCCTCATTGTAGTATTTTAAAGGTTGCTTAGGGACCTCGGAAGCACTTGGAATATGTACTGTAGGAAGGAAAGTTGGATGCTCTTCTCCGCAACCATTTTCATCAAATCATATTGCTTGCTGACAATTAATCAATCCTCCATCGATTGAGATTCTTTTCTTGAATCTATTTCGAGCCACCTTCATGATCGCATCTCATCTTGTTCGGCCGATTCTGTCGACTACAACCATTCTTGCAGCATTAGTTAGACCAGTCAACACGCCGCAGATCCAAGCTATTAGAGCAAACACCGCTGCTGCGACCCAGCCGCTCGTAAGAAAGATGCATATTCAGAGTATCCCCATGTGTTAGTGAGCTATCATCAAAGTATTGTAAGAGAATAGACGCTGATAGCTGTGGTCCACGAAGGGGTTGGCTCATCCAACAACTATGCATACCTAGTCCACGACGACGAGACCAAAGATGCCGTCATCATCGACCCTGCGAACCCTCCCGAAGTCATCCCTGTGCTCAACGATAAACAAAGCTCCCTCAACCTGACCGCTATCATGAACACGCACCATCACTGGGACCACGCCGGCGGGAATACAAAAATCCTCGCCGCCCTCCCCAAACCCGTCCCCGTCATTGCGGGCAAGGACAGCGAGGGCGTCACAAAAACACCCTCCCATGGCAGTAAATTTAACATCGGCAAGAACATCCAAGTCACTGCGCTACACACCCCTTGCCACACGCAGGACAGTATCTGCTGGTTCTTCGAGGATCAATCGAGCGACGAGCGCGTCGTCTTTACCGGCGACACGCTATTCCACGGAGGGTGCGGGAAATTCTTCGAAGGCAACGGGGAAGAGATGGAGAAGGCGTTAAACCAAGTTCTCGCGGCACTGCCGGACGACACCAAGGTGTTCCCCGGGCATGAATATACCAAGTCGAATGTCAAGTTTTTGAAGAAGGTCGCGGGAGATAATAAAGCGGTCCAGGCGTTGGAGAAGTTCGCCGACGAAAATCAAGAGACTCAGGGTAAGTTCACGATCAAGCAGGAGAAGGAACACAATGTTTTCATGCAGACCAAGTCGGAGGAGATGAAGAAGGTCACGGGCGAGACGGAGCCCAGTAAGGTGATGGCTAAGTTACGAGAGTTGAAAAATGCTGGCTAGATGCGTTGATTCTGCTGCAAGTTTATAAATGAGCCTTTCCAGGCCTCAAAAAGTCCTGATGACATTGTACAAATGAACACACGACTTGACACGTTTTCCAATACTGAAGTATCAAACTTCTCACATCTGCCATAAACAGATGTCGAGCCGCGTATTGACCGGGTAGTGTGATACCACCACGCTCCAATGGGATGCTTTGTCGGCTCTCTGACATACCCGCTCCTCCACATGGTTGAAGTTATGTCACCGATAGGGGTTGAGGATAACAACTTCAATGGCTCACGAGCCAAGTGTGGCTATGGGCACACATCACAGAGAAGACTTGGTCCCGGTCTTTGATTGTATCAGAAGCTTAGCGTCTAATACTTCTCCAAGCCTTACGAAAGGCAGAGCAATTGCTGATTTTCGTCGACTGATGCAAAACTTCTCGAGTTGGCACACACAGGTCTAAACCCCTTGGTGTTAACAAGCCTCGCCTATCGAATCGTAACTTCCCGCAGCTCATATCGATCAAGTGGCGATACATATGTATACTTGTCCTGGGGTGTCGATACAGCGAAGTGTTTAAGGCCATATGACTCCCGGTGACATCTACTGGGCGCCTGAAGAGCACCTAGGTACTATGTTACGTTCAATCCGAACATGGGCAACATTCGGATATGTGGTCGGACTTAAAACCTGGTTAATCAGTAAGCCGGAATTATGGTATCACTTAATCAAGATCTATTTGCGAACCGCTGGTACTGCTTGCAAATAAGGTTGGTATTTGAGAAGGTACACGACATTCACTCAACTCGATTGACAAGAGAGCATCAGACAAGTGTCCAAGCACTGGTGTTCTAGCAATGCCTTTCATTCAAGACTCATTGGGCCAGGAAGTCGTTCCTATTTGGATCGATGGAAAATCAAGGCCCCTGGATGCGTCTAGATACATCGAGGTATTCTCCTCGGCTCAAGACAGAGTGGTCCATTTCGCTCAGGGAGCAACAGAAGCCGACGCACTAGAAGCTGCGGATGTGGCGTGGAGATCATTTCAGCAATGGAAGAAAACCAAGCCAGAGTATCGGCGAGACATGCTTCTCAGGGTGGCGGACTTATACGAGTCGCGAGCTGACGAGATCGTCCGCTGGCAGGTTGTGGAGACCTCATGCACGGAAGCCTTTGCCCACTTCAACATCAAGCTCGCTGTCGGACTGATTCGAGAATTCGCCGGTGCACTGACCACTGCTCTAGTCGGCGACATCCCGCCGGTCCAAGAGGGCTATGGCTTTGTGTTCAAGCAGCCGGTCGGGCCGATTCTTCTGATCCCTCCCTGGAATGCCAGCATTATTCTGTCTTCCCGGGGTGTTGCAGCCGCGTTAGGCGCTGGGTGCACGGTGGTCATGAAAGCGTCGGAGCTCTGTCCACGCACACATTCGATGATCGTGGAAATCTGGCAGCAGGCTGGTTTGCCGAGTGGTTGTCTCAGTCAAATCCAGGCCAGCCGCAAGGATGGAGCGCTCATCACTGAGACCCCGATTGCGCATCCCGCGATCCGCAAGGTCGAATTTATTGGGAGTGCCGCCGTTGGGAAAGCCATCGGCCAGGTCGCCAGCAAGCATCTCAAGCCCATATTGATGGAGTTGGGGGGTAAGTCCCCTGCCATCGTGCTCAGGGACGCAAATCTTGCCAAGGCCGCTGAACATTGTGCATTCGGAGCTTTTGTTCATCAGGGTCAGATTTGTTTTTCGACGGAGAGAATCATAGTGGAGAGACCAGTCGCCGAGGAGTTCATCTCCTTGCTGAAAAAGCAAAACGGCATGACTAGCCACGCAGTGTCCAAAGCCATCTCAAAGCATGCTCACCAAGTGATCGAAGAGGCACGTGCCAACGGCGCAGAATTCTTGCTTGGCGATAACTCATACCTCAGCGATGCATCGCTGACACCGACAATCATCTCTGGAATCAAGAAGACAGACAGGGTTCGAGACGAAGAAACCTTTGGCCCGTCTGCAACACTGTATATCGTGGAGAATGCCGAAGAGGCGGTCGTGCTAGCGAATGATACCGAATATGGATTGAATGCTACAATTCACACCAAAGACATGCTCAAGGCTCTGAAGATGGCCGGTGAGCTGGACTACGGACAGGTGCATGTCAACGTGCCCACCACGTACGACGACTTCACGCTGCCCATTAAAGGCGTCAAGGGAAGTGGTTGGGGCAGCAATAATTCTCGCTATGGCCTTCAAGAATATCTGTTTGACAAGACTGTCACACTGCATAGTGATATTGGGGAAGAAACATCCTTTGCGAAGTAGGAATGTGAGGGTTTGACATGATAGTCTTTTTCCATACAATGGAATTATAATTCTCTCTGTAGTGATGGTCACTTTATGATTTTCATATCCTGATTTGTGCCTTCGTTGCTGGAATAGACTGAAAACTTGGGGATGTCACCATATGCTTCGAATATCATAAGTGACTCTAGAATTCAGCCCGTCTACTCATGATCAGAGGGATAGATTTTGAAGGAGGATCGTTCTCCTATGTGAAAGTTGCCCCATTCAGCTCGTATCATGGGAAGAGACTTTTCGAATTCAAAAGGACGCAACAGCTATAGTTTAGGGACAAGCCATGATCATATCAGAGCTGAGAATCTCAATTCTGGCTGATTTGTGGCATTCTTACCCAGCCACGTGATGGGAGGTTGAAAGTTGAATTCATAGCTCGGTTTCAAGGATGACCGCCTTCTCGTTCGCGATAGACCGCTCAAACCAGAGGTCCCCATTTGGTATCAGATGATCGTCATAAACAAACCGCCCCAAAACCCTTTTAGCTGTAGTCCAGGCATGTGCATTCAGCAGCATAGCTTGGTCTGATAACCTACCGGTGAACCAAAATACGGGTGGTTCTCCTGATATCTCCGGGCGATCGGAGTTGTTCTGCGCACAGCGTTGCTCGCTTTGCGCACCAACAAAGAAAATCCACAGATACATCTCGCCATAATGCGATGACTCTTCTGGTGTCATGGCCTCCGAGGCCTTTTCCAGGGTCTCCTGAAGTTTGGGGATAATCACATGCGAAGCATCCCGGAGATCTGTGCCATCCATGTCTGCTTCATGAATGCTCTTTCGGAGCATCTGTAGAAGAGCGAGAGCAATACAGGCTTCGGTAAGTCGCTGGCCTTCTGTCACTGACTCGGAAGTGTCTTCCATAAGGTCATGATACAGGTTCAGAAGAACAGCCATATCGTTAAATGTTTCGGTCGCGATCCAGGAGTAAACTGCCAGGCCTCGGGCCTTTTCTGCCGCATCTGTAACTGGTAATGGGGTCTGCGCGAATGACAAAAATGCTCGTAGTCGTTCAAAAATTTCGCAGAGAGTGCTATTTTTGACGGTCTGCCGGATTTCTGAATTGTTGATGTCATTAATGTTGACCAGCGAGGATGCTGATGTCCAAAATCCGTTCAATATGCCCTTAAACCTAGTGCTGAGAGTGATGACTGGTCTTGTCAAGGTCATAGCAGCCAGGTGGGTGTAGCCGAACATCAACGCAATCATCAGATGCAAAATCTGTGTGTTGTCCGTAACCTTCTCGATGAGGTTCATCAAGATGGGTCCATGAACGGAGGCAGACTTCATGTCTCGTCTCTTACAATCTGCCTGGAACAGCAGCATTATATGTTTAATAGCCACTGAGAGATCGACTTGATGTTCTTCGCTGTCCATGGACAACTCTCTCCGGAGTAATTCAAGACTCCTTGTCCTTAACTTGAGCTCCATTGTGGATATATCGTGCTCTGGCAATGCATATCCTAGATAGGTTAGGAAAGCCATATAGCCGCTGAGCCAAGCCGACGCCTCGCCTTCATTGCTGTACCTGAACTGATCGATGTCTATCGATATACATGGTCCTGCTATCGAAAATTGTGCCCGCTCATGCGAAATGGTTTTTGAAACTCCGAAGGACAATCGCCTGACATACGATGGAATCCAGAGATTCGGGACAAGTACGTCCCTGGCGATAGTTACAACATGATTGATCTCGGGCGTGATGCTGACTGGAAATGATTGGAACGGGTCCGATGAGCCACATAAGCTAGGACATAACTGGTTTGTCCGTAGCAGGGTTTCGTAGAGCGCAGAAGTAGATAACTTGGCCGAATTTGATGGTGCTGTTTGAGCCACCCGCTCCTGATTTTGTTTTTGTTTACGCCTCTGATGGATTAGTCTTGCAGTTTGGGCTCTGACTTCGGCTCTGACAAGCTCGTTCTGCCTGATAGAGCGTTTTTGGGTCAACACTGGGAGGAACAGAATGCCTGATGGGTTATTGCTCATGATAGTAGGTATTTCTCAAAAAATGCGTCGCAGAGCAAAGAGATGTTTCAACGTCTCAAGACTTATTACGCCCTCAGCAGAATTCGCGCCGACTCCCCACTCTTTAGGAGAATCGAGACAAGAAGGGTATCGGTGGCTGTGCCCGAAGTTAACAAGCCCCTTGCCATTGATAGTGCTACCGGCTGCACGCCTAATCTTCTCCGCTTTGCGATAGTTCACCATCCGCACTTTACAGACAGCGTGAAGACGCATTTTGGTAGCAATCTGTGATGTCACTTGGGGCGACAGTGTGTATGAATAGACCCCTTGCTTGAAATCATTTGCAGTTTCTCACGGAGTGACAAGAGAAGACGCTTGCCTGTAAGTCCGTAAGGGGAGAGGAGGGGGTACTTAATTGCGTGGGTAGATAGTCCAACGCACGTATGGGCACAAGCGACCATGTGAACGGCAGAGGGTAGGCTGACTGTGACTATTATTGAGACGCGTTATTGAACAGTCATCCTGGGCATTGCTGGCGGCGACCTTTTCGGTTTCTCTATTGACCCGGGACCACGGGTTCGTGAGTCGTGACTTGAGATTGAAATCAAAAACTGTCGACTTCCAATCCTCCAACAGGCCGTTACGACTAGGTGCCAAGCAAGACGCCCAACATGTCTAACGGCCCCAGAATGTAAAATTAAGGGTTCTGGTTGGGTTCGGATGCCCCGTGAAGAGTCTTAGCGCCCGATGACCAATACCTTAAGTAAGTGCTTGGCTGTCTCGGCCTCATGGATGCCGCCAACTACTCTTCCAAGTAGATGCCACTCTGCTAGCCTGGAGCGATCCTCACTGATGCCTCTTTGAGGCAATAACACTAATGCAGATATAGCCTCACCAACAAGAGAACCAATTAGTGGCTTGAGTTGCAGCCTCCTCATGCTCTCGCTTCTCAGTTAGTCATCGAGATACGATTTTTGCTCTCATAATCACCCACTCAAAATGCTGGGAATAAAGATGGCGTTCAAGATGACTGAGAGTCTCGAGACACGCATATTCAGATGTGCAGGGGAGGGTGGCAGCCTGTGTATAAATGACTGCGCCTTCCACAAAACGGTGGTATTAGGGAGTCCGGGATCGAACCAGTATTCGATATTGCATCGTGATTCTGGAAAGGATGTCTATCATTCAAGAAGCCCCGCTGGGCCAGCTGCTATATTTTATCACGGGAGGAAAAGTGTTTGCATACCCGGAGGACAAACCTGGGTTCGAGATACCATGGGAGCATGTAACTGTTGCGGAAAAGACTGCCGACCTTGAGACTTCAGCAGAAACTCCAGATACCACAGCCTTACCGGAGAAAGACCCTCTCGATGAATCCACTCGGCCACCAGCGCATGCGGATGGGAACGGTCTTGCTCATGTTCCAACAACTAGATCCACGGAAGCAAGGCCGGGCCTCACAAGATCCTCGACCACTTCGCGTTCGTTGACTCGTGAACAAACTTTGCCTTACTCTCCCGAACGGTTCGACGTCGAGCAATCAGAGAGTCTTGAGCGGGGACACAGCAGCATCATTGTGCCCCAGAAGACCTCTGACGGGGTGGTCCTTGTGGACTGGTATACTACCGATGATCCCGCGAATCCCCAGAACTGGAACAGTTGGAAGAAAGCCTTGGTCGGCCTGCAGATCTTCCTGTACACTTTTGCCGTCTACTGTACATCAGCCATATACACACCGTCACAGGAAGGAGTCATGAGACAGTTTGGTCTAACATATGCTGAAGGGAGTGTTGGCTTGAGTATTTACGTTGCTGGCTATGGTATAGGTCCTCTGGTAAGTGTCATATACTCTGATGAGGAAGCTTCCACACGCTAACTTGATGTAACAAGATCTTCAGCCCTCTAAGTGAGATACCGATCGTGGGGCGCAACATACCCTACATCATCAGTTTTACGCTCTTCGTGATCCTATGTGTTCCTACCGCGTTAGCAGACAGCTATGCTTCACTTCTAGTTCTGCGTTTCCTGACTGGTTTCATGGGAAGTCCTGCCCTTGCGACAGGCGGCGCCACGATGCAAGACATGGTGAGTTCCATTGAATACAAGACCCCTCCCAATGATGATTCTTCAATTTCTGGGTCACTAACCTCCCGGTGTGCACCAGTATGGCCTTTTGAAACTTCCATATGCCTTGACCGCCTGGGTGGCAGCCGCTTTCTGTGCCCCGGCGCTAGGTCCACTGTTATCCGGGTTCTCCGTCGTTGTCAAAGGCTGGCGATGGAGTCTTTGGGAGTCGCTGTGGATGTCAGGTCCGGTGCTTGTGTTCATGTTCATCTCTATGCCGGAGACATCATCCGCCAACATCTTGCTCCGAAGAGCGAAGCGTCTGCGTAAATTGACGGGCCGTACAGATCTGAGGAGCCAAAGCGAAATCGACCAAGGCAACACGACCCTATCCAAGATTATTGCAGATCAATTGATCAAGCCCACCGAGATCTTCCTCCGAGACCCTGCCGTCTTCTTCACCAATGTCTACACATCGCTTATTTACGGTATCTACTACTCCTACTTCGAGGCGTTTCCTCTCGCCTACATCGGAATTTACGGCTTCAATCTTGGACAGCTCGGACTCGTCTTCCTGTGCATCATTGTCGGGTGCATCCTTGGTAGTGCGACTTACTGCTCCTACGTGTACTTCTATCTCGAGCCAGATATCAAGAAAAACGGCCTCCGTGCACAGGAGCATCGACTAGTGCCGGCGTTATTCTCCTCGATGCTTCTTCCAATTGGCATGTTCTGGTTCGGATGGACCGTGAGGGACGACATCCACTGGATAGTCAGCGTCATTGGACTGACATTCTTCGCCATGGGGGCATTTATTCTGTACGTCTTGCTTTGTCACGTCGAAAATTTTGAGTTACCATGGAACTAACGCTTCATCCTAGATTCCAGTGCATCTTCATGTACTTGCCTCTCACATACCCTCAATATGCCGCATCTCTCTTTGCAGCCAACGACTTCTGCCGTTCATCCATGGCCGCGGGGTGTATCATCTTCGGCCATCCGCTCTACGTCAACCTGGGCATTGGTCGGGGCATCAGCATCCTCGCTGGATTGCTGTGTGGCGGAGTCCTGGGTATCTGGGCCCTTTGGTACTTCGGCGCTACGCTCAGGGCCCGCAGTCGCTTTGCGATTTGAATCATGTGCTTAGAAGGGCACCCTCAAAAGGATATTGGTCACTAAGGGTCTTTCACACACGAACCGCACATCATGCGATGTGGCACCAACTACGCCCACACACGCATTTCGGGGGCACCAAGGGCCTTGTGTTTTGATGCCATTCATTGATCAAAAAAGGACAGGAGCTTGTTTAATATCCCGAGGACACCGAGAGCAACGTCTACTCCATTTGGCTTTTCAACAGCGATATCAATGGGAATGTTTCGCATCTACTACTACTATGAAAGGTAGCAAAATAATTGAAATATAGACAGTTATTACTATTCAATGATGAACACTATTCAGTCGTAGCGATGAACACCTTGTTGAAATCGCTTAACTCTTTCGATACTTAAGCCCGCCAAACCCGATGCCCGAATCCAGCATTCTGCAAAAGGGGCAAATGAATACCAGCCCTAGTAAAGTGCGGCGCGGCAGGAAGAAGATTAAGGTCGGAATCCGTGATATTGAGCCGTTGAGAAACGCATGCCCCCTCATGCTCACACACTTCCACGGGGTGGTCATTGATGCGCAAGCCACGAGCTCGACAGTCAGGTTTGCAACCCGCTGGTCCCAGGCTCGGGCCCCGCTCGATCCCAGCGCCTGGGGAAAAGGCTCGAGGCCGTCTCTGGCTCAGCGGACCGTGCGGTGCGGTGCTGTGCTGTGCAAGACAAGAGAGACTGAATGGACAATCACTCGCGCTCAAGCGAAAAGCTCCATCTTGTTGATTTGATGGTGTGGGCGACAGTCATCGTGAGTCAGGTTGTGCAAGCCAAGCAAAGTCGGGGTGAAGCTCGTGTTCTAAGCAGTCCGATAGGGGGGGCACATTTCTTACTCTATGATGTTGCGAGGGTTCGACCCCATTGAACTTAGTCGGAGAGCTTAGAGCTCCGAGGAGATGGATGGGCTTCATGTCCTTGTCTATCGCTGGAGGCGCAATACTCGTTAGGGAGACGCAGTAAGCGGGCGAGGGTAGAAGGTAACCAACCCGTCCATCCTGCCCCGGTCGTACGAGCCCCCCCAAGCCGCCGTGTCACTATTGGATTGGCACGTCGTGGAATGTGAGTGACCAGCCAACGACAAGGTGAAGCACTCAGTTGAATGTCCAGCTGCTGAGGGACAGAGGCCAGATGGTTCAATCCAATGGTTGCATACCCTGCTACTCGCTCTCCGTATCCGGACTCGTAGGACTCGTACCAGTAATCAGTGGTTCACTTCTTTCCTGGCTTGATGGATATCGCTTCAATTTGGTCGGTCGGTATTGATTGGTTCACAGGACAGGCTGGGCTCCGTGCAGTGCCAGGTGCGGCTGTGATCAGGACGTGGTCAACTGGTGGTGGCAGCGTGCATGCAGGTGAAGGAGGTGAGGGACTGTCTACCCCCCGCGCGGGCTTGCATGTAGCCTCCCGCACCGTTCGGTCAGCACACTCCCCAACTCACCGCTGGAGAGGCTCTTGGTGGTGATGTGGCGCGTCGATCTTAAAAGCTTGGTTCCATCAGCCTTACCCTCATCCCTTTGGGGGATCCTGAGGGGCCGTGTGGCGTGCAGAAGCCCATGGAGGATTGAGCTCGGACTATTCAATTATTGGCGGGGGATAATGGCTGACTGCATTGGGCTGACACGCGCACCTAAACGATGGAGGAAATGTTCTGTGAAAGTCTAGACTCGAGAGCCCTGAGTTTCGAGCCTCGCTTGTAAGTGTACTTCCCCTGCGAAGTCAGAATCACTTCAGTTAATTGATGATGGACCACTGGAGAACCATTGAATGTCTTCCTATCGTGGAGTCCGATCTGACCTACAGTACATGCTGTTTCCAGTCCTAACCTACCTCGACATTTTAGGAGACAGGACATGATCAGGCCCCGCAGTAAGGCCAGCACACTGCGAAAGTCAATTCATCGGATCTTAGCAAGATGTTCGAATGCCAAATCATTATCCAGTCGTGAGATTCGCGGCTACAGATAGGTATATGATCGCCAACGAGAGCCAGGGGAGATGAGACGCCTAACAAAAGGGCAAGCCTCGCTCGCCCTCGGATTACCCTTTCTGGTGCCCCCGCAATATTTATCTGTCAGCTCGTTAGCTGTCGCCATTACGAGGTAGATTGTCATTGTGTCCGTATGTGTACCGAGTCCCTTGTACGGCCGTGGCATTGTAAGGCCGGAACTCCGGTAAAGGACCCTGTGAGAACGACAAGAGGGCAGTTGCCTCTTTCGTTAGGTGCCCCTGCAAGCCCTGGGCCTTGTGGAGAATAGAGGGAGGGAGGCTCAACTCCGGCGAACGTTTTGTTGTGGGTCTGGTTCGTTTTTCGAACTATCAGTGGTTTCCATCTTCAAGGAGCTAGCTATCCATGCTCTTAAGGGTTCTTGGAGAGGAAATGTTGATTTCTGATTGGGATTTCGTCCATTATCACCAAGTAGCTTCATTGGGAGCTGACGTATGTCAGCAAACGGCGGCCCAACTAATACTTTCTGCAACGATATTTATCAAATTGATTTGTGGAGGCTCTCAGTAGTGTAAGAGAATGCGTAAAGGCTAGCGAACGAGGTGATGGATACTAATGACCATGCGTCCATTGCCTTGCAGAGTCAGAACTCGGAATATTACGGCAGTCCTCGACTCCATCAAAGTCCTACGGCTGCTTGATAGGGACATCCAACTAGTCAATGATAATCAACCAAGGACCAAGGACAAACAAGAATCGGATAGATTTGTGGTATCTAATCCTCAAGCTAAGAACCCGAACTGTCATCTGACGTGGCCTAAGGCTCCGATATGCATTGGTATGTATGAGGAAAATGATGGATGGGCGGCCCTCCGGAAGTCCTACGCACACCCTCCAATGAACGACATCGGAGCCCGAAAAGCGTCTGAACATACATTTTCGCAGGTGTGCGAGAAAAAGGCGTATTCGTATGAGGGCCAGTCTTTTTCTCTCAAAGGCTCATCAATTAAGTATCGCATGATCATCAGAGACGTTGCGGCCCACAAAGCCACCCGAGCCCGTGCTCTGCTCTGATTTTAGGCCTCTGCGGAAGACCGGAAATCCAAAATATCTCTCCAACTCGAGAACTCTGAGACTTGGATAAGTCTTTTCGTCACTTGAAACTGGGGAATTTGGGGGCTGTGGCCCGGGCTGCGGCTGAATGTTTAGTGTTTAGTTAGGGCTGTGGTGAAAGTTTGAAGACCTTTGAGAAATTGTGCAACCGAGCTCCCAGCTTTCCCGGCGTTAGGGAAACCTACGTGCTGGATAGGGTTAGTGTCGACGGCTCCCGGGCACCTGCCAGTCCCAATGCGGGAAGTTCAAGCTGATCGGTCGCATCGCATCGTGCATAGGGATGGGATGTCAATGCGTATTGTTCAAGAGTAGTATTGATTGAGTTTGATCTCAATGTGTCCCTTTCGTTTGTACCGAGGTAGCTATGTGAGTTGGTCGCTATTGACAATCATTGATGTTTGTGTGAGAATTTGAGAGAGCCATCGATAAATGACAATTTCAAAAGTGCGTCACATATGTCGATCGGGTAATCAGGATTGCAGTAGTGTCTTGCACTAGTATCGCAAGAGAAAGAGAATAGAGAAGATGGATTTGAATAAGTTTCTTGTTTGAATTACTATCTCATGTTATACATCGTATCGTAAATTATTCGTAACCATTGTGGCAGGCTGCTGCCTCATGGATGAATTGGTATGCTCATTCAGTCTGAGATCTGAAAGTGTTTTGCATTGACCACCTTGGAAAATCCCAGAACACCATCGCTCGCTTTTTTGTTGTCATGATACAGGGGGGTGTATCGAATTAGATGGCCACATGCACCATGCTAGGTCGCCTTTCTTCCCGATAGTTGAAGGAGCCGTACTGAGAACCATAGCCTGTCTCGTACTCATGCACATATTGCATCTCCTGGATATCCTTCAGGAGCTCTTCTTCGAGTTCTTCTTCTTGGTCAAGGAGATCCTCGATGGCGGCGGAGCATCGGTCATGAGCCATGCGAAGACCCTCAGTCTCATCAGCTCCACTCACAGTGCAGATGCTTAGAATGGATGAAAGTCTTGATCGTTGAGTTTGGAATTGTGCTTCGATTTTCTTGCTGGCGGAGATGATGTAGGCGTAAGGTGTTGATGAGTCGACAGAGACTGGACTGGATGCCACTGGAGATGATGGTCGTGATGAATGTGGGCTGTTCAAAGGAGTGCCTGTGGACAAATTGTATCGTGTGGCAAGACCAGTGTGTGATGCGATCAAAGTTGCGAGCTTCCAGATATCACAGTATATGCAATCCTGTGTACAGGCACATGAGAGAAGTTTCTGTGTGGCGGTGACCTGGGCCTGTGTTGAGAGCATAGGTCGAAGACCCTTGAGAATGGCCACTTTGGTTCTGCAGTGAGAAGACATTGTTGCTTGTGTATTGAAGTGGTTGGACAGAAGGCTGTCGTGGTGTTATATTCCTGGTGGGATAAATGTTGGCGGAGATTGGTGTGAGGGGTTGGTATTCGATAGATTTATTATCACTGTTGAGCACGGACCTGTTCTGTGGGAAGTGATAGTTGAATCAATGATGGATGATGAGGAATGTCAAAACGGGAGATGGGAGATGGGGAGAAGGGTTATATCAATTTCGGAAGTTTAAAGATGGTTTGATAGATATCTTACATTTCTTACTCACAACTAGTCGGATATCCATCACAAATCCCATATGTAGGTAAGCATGCAGCTACAGGCCACAGCGGAGTCAGGGTCAGAGTCACTCACCGTGCATAGGGTCCTACTGCGTACCGTAGTGTGCAGAAGGTAACCCTGGTCCCGGAGTCTCGTAGTCACGGAAAACGCATATCACCCCCCGAAAGAAGTATGGTACGCGACATGGTTGCAGTGTATACACGTGGAGACCTTGTTGAAGGACAAAGGAAGAGGTGAATGCTCACCGACCACGGTTTGTGGAGAGTCAAAAGGACAAGTTGAAAGAGCAGCCAAAACCTTGCCAAGCGGTAGCATTGCTCCCAAAGTCTAAGCTGTTTATGGGACGTTGCATGGGAAGTCTGTGTTCTGACTGGATGTCTGAGGGAATTTATCGTATCATGACGTGCAGGCTTCAAGGTGACCCTGGTTGATGGAGGACGCAGGCGTACTCCTCGCAAGCCCCCAACGCGGTGAGCACTCGTTCTCTTGCATTGTCCACGAAATCAGCCTTGGAACTTACCGCTTGACGGTCCACTTGTTGACGCGATGCAGGACGTTCACTGTGCAATCCACACCCTTGGGCTGTAGGGCTAGCACAGGAGTTCATGTTTGTGTTGCGGTTACCCTCTTCACGGTCTCAAAGTCCATCTCCCGCCGCTGTACCGAGTAATTGAAGCCCAGAGACCCCCGCAGACCCAGGCAAGGAGGCCGCCCGAGCAAGTGGTTAGTCACCTAGTTAGATGCCCTAAGCCGACCCAAATCAACGCCTAACCAGAACTCATCAGTGCCATTATTCATCTCGTCCGGCTAATATTTGAGATAGACTGCAACTAGTATCAGAAATCCTTTTTGGCTTCTTCACTCCTTTGTCAGCTTGCACATCAACAAACTTGTGTTGTGATGCCTATGTGATGACGTCTTGTTTCCTTTTGCACCAGTCTTGCTGTCCTTCCGTGGCATCACCATCCAAAGCTTGGTCTTAGACACAGCATCGAATTCTTGCCAGAGGGGCATTCTCTCCCTGGCGTTGCAGCGTGGTTCGTATTGCTACCTCGTTGGCGGTTCGTGTGCCGTCACAAGCAAGCCATCCAGTTGATTTTCTCAAGGGCTCTGCCTCCTGCAGCCCGCCAGCCACAAGCCACAGGAAGAGATTGGTTGGGTTGGGTTCTGGAAGGAAATCCAAGCCTCCTTAAAATGCACGCTATCTAGCCTAAAGGTCCAGGTGACCAGCCCTAAAAGTCCACTAAGTGACCGACTACCACAGCCCTGAAAACTCATGAGTCCTGACCGCCAGCCCTATCATGCATGATTCCCGCGGCTGTGCTGCGTTGCATGATATCCTAATCGTCCCGTCCGCCATCGTCTTCTGCCGTCTTTCCACGCCTTTGAATGCAGCTTTATGACACAATCCCTTGGAGTGACGTCTTCACGACAGAATGAAAGCTTTCACGTGGGTGTCGAAAGAGAGCAGCGGCAGCAGCAGACCAGCTTGGCCATCGATGTGCCTCTCCTCCCTTGGAACTCGAGTCTGAAGATAGCTGGCACGGTGTCTAAATTTTGAGTTCCATCAATAATGGCTCCTGTACTTTGGTACTAAACGAGTGGCTTGACGGCCAAGCAGACCCAGGGTTTGCGGTTCTAGCTCTTTTCACGACACTTTCAATAACAATCTCTTGTTTCTGCTCATGTTCTGGGCAGGAGTTTAAACTTGAGCAACACTCCACTTCAGAGCTCCCAAGACATAAGTACGAACACGTCAAAACCCAACTTAGGTCGTTTTGCAACATCATGAGGCATGACCCCTCAGAATCGTGATACGAGGTCTGGAGCCAAAGCCAAGCAGTGTGTGCGTCAAGCCTTCGACACAACCTTCCCTCTGGATTTCAAACCCACACCCGTATTGACTATTTACGCCTTTTGGAGAGCACGGCCCTATGTAACATCGACAACTTTCCCTCGCACCGTCCCGTCCTCACAACGCCAAACTTTTCAGAGCCCCAGATGTACCCAAGTATAGGTACTTGGTAGAAATTCGGTCCCTAGGTAGGTTTCTGCACATGGTAACCAACCCGGTGAAAACCTTTTTCCAACTCATGACCATGGCGTCAACCTGAAACTTGTTCTAGATCAATGACCCAGAAATCAAGTGCTAATCAAGGGATCAAAAGATCTCGATGCGGCAAGTACACTCTTCGTTGTCCAGGGCGGGACTTTCCGACTTCTGTGAAGACCGGTCTTTCCCCTTTCAATATGTCGTTGTTGCCTTCCAACTTGAAGTTTACGGTTGCTTTGACCACTACACTGGTCTTGGCCACAGCAATGACGACGTCCACCTGAACGCGTTGACTCCGGAAGTTGCCATGACTCACTACCTACAAGAGCCTCATTCAGATTTCTCTCTCCAACTTCCACATCGAGCCAAATCCCTCAGTCTTGAACACCATGTTGACGAAGCAGATTTGTCTCGGCCATCTTGTTCTATTCATGCTTCATGCGTGACTTGTTTCAGAGATTGAGACATTCCTCGTGGCTTCAGACAGCTCGCTGCTGTCGACTGGAACCAAAGACGTATTCCTCACGTAATGAGCTCGTATGATCTCCCAGTACGAGCGATATATACGAACGGTCAAATGCAGACGGAGTTTCCCAGAACTTCGTCCCCATCGACCAGCCGGGAATAGAGTCCTAGATACCTCTTCGGCTTCAGCCACCCGCTCGGGACATGAGATATTTCAGGGCCACCCATCCATTGCAAGGCTCGTGGCCCCCGTGCTGGGTCTGTGGAGTAATCCAGTGAGTGCTTAGGCTGCATCTGCATTGCGACATCCATACCAAATCTCGAAATAACCGCTTCAAAGGGGCGAGAAAACTCCACGGGAAGTCTCATTGTTGGTGGGGGAGTGTGACACAAGAGACTTACTCATTGTCTGTCCGTTGAGTTAAGCCTTCTGAGTCATATCCCAGAAAACCGTGCCAATGGTCGAAATGGATAGCTAACATGATCACACAGACTTACGAGCCCAAGTTAGTTGACTCAATGGCCCTGTTGCTTCTTTGTCCGCGCGTCGTCCTGTAGCCCCCGAGCCTGGAACATCACACCCTGGTGAGGTAAGAGCGATAAATGAGAATGAGCACAATTCTGCTAAGTTCTGTTGCAGATCCGACGATCGCACAAGCTCCTCATTCCAAGACCTGCCATCCGTTGGGATCAAAACGCCGAACACGCTGTGTTACCAACACACGATGATGCCCATGTTCATTCTTCGCATATACGATCAGAATGCCACGGTAGCTTCTGGCCTAAACGACTCCGTCATCATCATCATCAATGCTTCAAAGGAGAAACTCGATGTTTTGTGAACCGAAGGGCTGATGGGCTCATTGTTCTTAGTTGCTGCTGGCTTCGTCCGCTCTCCGTTACCCACTCCTATCTATGGATTTAGCATCACAGGGGAATGCACGAATTTATCTGGAAAGCGTAAAAACTCTTCGAGCATTCATGATTCGAAAGGGGCAGCATAATGCTCTGGAAGAAGTCACGACGCTGTTACCCGCATTGCTATCGATATCACTCTCGCTAAAAGTTCTTATACAGGGGGAAAATCGACATTTACAGGAGGATCTGATTTGACAACGCCATTTTGTTATTCTGTGCTATTTGAAGCTACTCAAGACTCAGGTACGCCCAAAGATAGTGCGAGGTCGATGTTCAGCTCCGCATCCTGAGTCACCTACTGATGAGCAAGACACATCTCAGATCAAGCCTTACACCAGTGTGTTGAAACAGACTGCTTATTTTCCAGTCTATCTCGCCATTGATGTCACGCCGACGACAGACTTGATGTGTTGTTCGTTTTTAACGTATAAAAGAAAGGGGGAAGTAGCCCATGGAGAATTTGACTCGATACACTATCCAGCTCGTTCCGACGACCCTCGGTGAGGAAGCCGTCTCAGAAGTCGTGTTCAGCATATCAACCCTCCCGCCTGCCTAACGGTGTCCGTCTCAGACCTGCCGAAGAAGCAGCCTTTAGTATCTCGGTGGTGGAGGAGCACCATAGCCGCCCTGCTGTTGGCCGGGATATCCGCCTGGACCGCCCTGGGGTGGTTTTCCATATTGGCCTTGGCCAGGAGGAGGCTGTCCGTAACCGCCTTGCTGTTGACCATAGCCGCCCTGCTGAGGGGGTCCACCGTATCCGCCTTGCTGCTGTCCGGGATAGCCACCTTGTTGTGGAGGACCACCATAGCCGCCCTGTTGAGGGGGTCCGCCGTAGCCTCCCTGAGGTTGTCCGTAGCCACCTTGTTGAGGAGGACCGCCGTAGCCGCCTTGTTGAGGGGGAGGTCGCGAGGCACTGCTCTTCTCATCTTTGGAGTCGTAGCTTGCGTCAATACTACCGAGCAACAGCTTGATAAGCCAGAGTTCGGGGGAGAGCTGGACAGGCGGGTTGGCGCGCGACATTTCGTCGGCTTCAACTTCGTAATCTATTTTCACTCGTGTCAGTGGTTGATGTTCGACCGAGAGTGTTGAGGTCAGATAGGGGGGTTTTCACATACTTGACGTGCAATCAATAATATCTCCAATCATTGGCTCCTCGTCAAGCTTGCTCAAGAATTCTCGAGCCTTCAGATCATTTCCAACCTGCGCAAATTGGAATGCCAATGCACCCTTGCCATATCGGGGATTCCGAGACAACTCATCCGAAGCATTCTTAATGATCTTGGCCAGATCTGAGGAACTCTCACCGGTAGGCTGGCCATCGGTGATGGTGATGACCAAGATTGGCTTGCGGAGACTGCCATTGCGTGCATTCTGGAGAACCAGGGGGCCGAGAATCTTGTTTTGGAGCTCGCGGCCCATAGGAGTCAAGCCAGAGAAGCGAGTGCGAGAGATCATGTCGGTCACTTGTTGCTCACTGCGGATGCCGTTGCCTTGGTCTGGGGAGTTCATGAAGCGGACCTGAATGCCGTCATCATCGAAGAGGGAAGTGGCGAATGCGACACGGGCCAAGATCAATTTGAGATCGTCAATTCGTTCACCGTTCTCCTCGAATTGCATGCTACCGCTGTCGTCGATGTAAAGAATCACGTCGTAGAGAGCCAGCTTGACAATGTCAGAGGCGATTTCCGGGCTAATGCGCCATGTCTGAGCGAGTTGTCCGACTTGTGTGGTAGCTCGATTGGCAATTTGATCGAGAGCAGGGCTGTTGGGAGGGTAGAAGTTGTGGAGGCCTTTCTCTTGGATGGTTTGCTGCAGTAGTTGCTTGTATGCGCCTACATTTCCAACTGGTGGTGCGGAACCGCCCTGAGGTCCACCGTGAGGTCCTCCTTGAGGACCGCCTGGGCCACCATATTGTCCTTGTTGAGGTGGTGGGCCGCCTGGGTATGGAGATTGGCCACCTGGAGGACCCTAGACAGACAGAATGTTAGCCAATGTTTATGTAAATACAAAAGAATTAACTGCAAATAAAGATCAACGAACTTGTCCGTATCCGCTTTGAGCTGGCTGGTATGGAGATTGTTGGTACTGGTTCGGAGGCTGATTCTGCTGGTATTGATTTGGGGGTTGATATTGGGATTGATATGAAGTATATGCAGGTTGTGGTGACGCATAGCCAGGACTTGGCGACTGGTATCCTCCCTGAGAGCTGGGTACTCCTAATTGTTGTCCTCCGTACTGTTGTTGTTGCTGAGGTTGCTGCCACGAAGGTTGCTGATATGGTTGAGGAGATGCGTTGGGTCTTGGAGGGATTGGAGGCTGTTGGTATGGGGGTTGAGGGGAGTAGGGCGGTTGCGACACAGGAGCATTCTGAGCAGGAGGGTAACCTCCTTGCTGCCCAGCTTGCGCATAGCGCGAGAATTTGCTCATATCTTTTCCGCAGTAGGTTGAAATAGAGGAATCCAAAGTTGAAGCAAAGGAAGGTGAAAGGGTGGTGAAATTAAAATGCGACCGGGTCCATGTAAAGGTGGTTCGAGGGCGATAATGACGAAGGAACAATGCCAAGAGATGGGCAGGAAGCAAGTGGCAGGGTTCGGAAGATTCTTACCGATTGACCTGGTGGTGGGCCACCAGTTGGAGGGCCACCGGGATAGGCTTGATATTGCTGCTGTTGAGGTGGTCCAGGATTCTGATAGTGTCCTGTGATTAGTCTAGGCTCTTGCTTTGTGATATGACGCAGATGTTTGGACTTACATAGCCACCAGGTTGGCCACCTGGTTGAAGACTTGTTGGAGGGCCACCTGGGTAGGCAGCGTTGGCCGCGGCGAGTTTGCTTGCAAGCTATTAAGCATACGCGTCAGCATTGAGCTTGGAAGCGGGAATGGTGGGTGATTTGGTAGGGTCAGTGCTGCTTAAACTCATAGTCAAGCAACGTAATAGGATGGTGCGGGGCTCTTTTGGAGGGGTAAAATCAGGGCCGGGAGTACTTACACCCATGACGATTACGGAGTCAAGGTATGAACAAAAGGTTGATGAAAGGATTTGTTGGAGGTTGAGATTTTGGATAAAGAGAGGCGTAAGAATCGTAAATGTCGGTAGGAAGGAAGGTTGAGCGTTTTTAACACAAATAGGCTTGAGTCTGAAACTGAGAAAAACGTGATGATTCCAAGGACAGTTGCAGGCATGAGTGAGGTGAAAGAGGAGATGGCCAAGGGCCAAAACGGTGCAAGCTTCACAGGGCTGTGCTGTTTAGTTGGTGGGGGAGCTTGGAGGAACGTCAGGGGCCAAACGAGCTGAAGTTACTGGGAACGAATGGCAGATATGTGGTAGACTCGAGGGCGCCTGAAAATGCTATCCACAAGGGACCAAGTACTTCTGTCGTTCAATGCGAAAGTAAGCATTCTGTCCAGAGGATTACCATATCGTCGAATGCTTGCATCCCACCTGGCTTAGCCACACGATTTGATCATGATACACCTCAGCCACATTCTGTGGCGTCGCTGATGTCAAATGAATTTTCGACTCAGCCACATCCCAAGCTTATTCTGCCACTTACTTCTTGACGTAGCTTTCTTACTTAGGTAGGTATCAACTAATTACTTGCCTGGGAACCTAGGTATCCGCATTAAATCCTTCGCAAGATAACTCTCTAATAAATATCGAAGCTGATTGATTTCGCAGCCTCCTAAATCAGGTTGGGCTGTCACATGACCTTTCGCCTAGGCTGCCCTATTAAGCTGCTTACATAACTCTCACTTTGCCTCTGTCTTGCTTGGCAGCACTTTGAACGCCAGGCACTGTGGCAGGCTAGACTCACTCGTCTCGAGTTCAAGTTGGTGACTTCATCAGTGAGCGATATGCCGTCCAATTAATTTGGTACTGGCAAGGATCTTATTTCAACTGCATTCATACTCATAAGAAGATCATCTTGGATAGTGGCGCGCTCACAATACCACCGTGAGCCCCCGTCGATTTTTTTCCAGCGCTTATCCAGTGGTCAGCCGCTTGTCGGCAAGGCTGCCGATCTGATCTTGACTTTTCCTACCAAGTCCCACTTACCATTCTACAAAATGCCAACCTACACCTCAAGTCAGAGAGCTGCAATAGCTCAATTTACAAGTTTCACGCAGACCAAGGAAAGCATAGCTGCTAAAGTAGGGAACTTCTCCATTGGTGGTTTTACGTGTTGCTGGTAGGCCTTACTGATGAACTGTACAGTTTCTGAAATCGCACGACTGGAATGTGGAACGAGCTCTTGATTCGTAAGTCACCTCTTGTTCTTTTAGTTTTCAAACGGTTTGCTTTGAATGCCTTGGTTGTGCCACCTGGCTCAAACGTGCTTGTAGCTAGATTGTGTTGGAAGCTGTTCTGCATTTTGTGAGGTGACTTCCTTAGTTGCCATGATTGGGTCGCGACTGCCTCCCAGCCAGTATAGCAAGCGCCCCCAATTCTAAAGAACTGAAGAATATTGTTTCTCGCTCAGGACATGCTTTCCTGCCGACCTTCTTCACCATTCATGCCACCGTCATCTTCTCTCGCGCTTTCCATTTGTACTACCATATCACTATGCCTCCAAAACGCAGAGCCTCCAGACAAGGTCTGCCTAGCAACTCTGGTGTCCCAATGGCAACAAAGAAACGTGCAAAGGCGTCTGGCCATAAATCTCATCGGTCCGTTCCTACCGCTGGTTGTGCAAGAAGGCTAACATTCTGATGCCTGCAGATTCTATCAAAGTGGCACGAGCAGTACACCCGTCTCCGCTGTCCAACAAAATCTAGGAAAACTATTCGACCAATATCGAGGTAAGTCTTATGACGATTACCCATGTGACTGGATGGAAGTCTGAGACAATCTAGACAACGCTGCTGCATCTCCGGACAAGATTGGAATCGATGGAGCCCAAGTATATTTGACAGAGATTGGGGTTGAGTTAGATGAAGTGGCACATCTCGCCATCTGCGACCTCCTTCAATGCCCATCCATCGGAGAGTTCGAGCGAGCTGCTTTCGTGTCTGGCTGGCGCAATCTTCCTGGCGACAAAAGTTACGATACAATCTCCCGCCAATCAAACTACGTTTCCGTCCTTCGCCAAAAGCTCTCGACCGATACCCGATATTTTAAGCAAGTCTACCGCAATGCTTTCAAGCTGGCCAAGCCCGAAGGCCAGAGGAGTGTTCCAATGGAAACCGCAGTCGACTTCTGGCAGATGTTCTTTCAAGCCGAAAAGGGTGGGGTCCAATGGAATACTACTTCGACCAAGTGGCTTGATTTGTGGATTGAGTACTATGAGAACAATAACAAACGGCCCGTCAACAAAGATCTTTGGAACATGGTCGGTGAGCTGGTGCTGAAGATCAAGGAGCCAGGAGGAGAGAACTTAACTTGGTGGACTGAGGATGGTGCCTGGCCGATGGCTGTGGATGACTTTGTGAACTTTGTCAAGGAGAAGCGAAAGACCCAGGAGGATACCATGGACGTCAGTTGATTGGTTCCAATGAGAGTCTTGATTTTCGGATTCCACTACATCAAGCTTGTCACCTGACATCAACCACAGTTCTTTCTCGGAACTACAACATAGGGTCTATTCTATGTACCCGACGCACCCATCGACCCTGAGCAACGTGTCCACGGTCACCTTGAGCAAGGACAGTGTCTACGTTACTTGAGCGTACATGCACAATTTAGTTATAGCCAAGTACAGATTGGCAAAGCTGTTCCACCATTCAGACTTTGCTCCCCTTTAGGCGCACTCCTCCCACCACCATCTACCAAATCACGTGCAGATCATCGGATCCTTCACGGATAGAATTATCCGGTCCCGAGGTTCCTCCGGACTGTGACGGCGCAGGGACAATTGCTCCATTGACCTCTTCTCCAGTATTCTCTTATTGATGAAGCATTTACATTGTATCGCCCGCTTAGCATCATCTCGCAAGTCTTTTGATGCATCTCTGTCTCTTCCATAGCCATTCCCCCTATTCCTTCTCTGCCTAGTGATTCACTACCTTATTCCTCCTGTACAAATGCTTCCAAGCTAGATCGGAAGTGCAGCATCACCCATCCTGTCCGTCCTCTTGAGATGCTGCTCCAATGACAGAGAGCAGTCCCTATTCACAATCACTGATGCCTGCTCATCCTTGAACACCAATATGAAAGAGATCCGTTCCGTCACATCCAGAAATCAACTTGACGTCGAGTCCGCCTTCACGAATCTCCCTGTCTCCGGCCATTCCCCTCCTGCAGGTACAGCCTGATTGTGTTGCGGCCAACTCGTCATGCTCCCAAAATGCCACTACAATCGCGTGAAGTGTTGACGCTTCGCTTGATCTTCGCCTGTGATGATGACCTCGACGATGACGTCCAGCATACTGAGCACACTTCCATCAAGAATGGCTCTGTCCACTTCCTCCTTCTCCCTGCCGAAATTCGTCACGAGATTCTGCGTAATCTGCTCCTCATCGACCGAAATAGAAAATATCATACTCGCCGCCCACCAAAAGAAAGTGCCTCCGCCATGCTCTGGATCCAGTCTCACCGCATCCTTGAGGCTCCACCTTTCAAACATAAGGGGAGCCAAGAAATCAACGGTTGTCCTCCATCAACAACAACTTGTCAGATATACCCTAATGTTCTAAGGGCTTGTCGTCAGTTGCATGAGGAAGGGAAGGAAATCCTCTATGCTGAGAACACCGTGGTCGGCCTCCAGTGTGGAATCAAAGGTCTGAATGCCAAATTCAGGAATTATGGAATACCCATGTGGGGTTCATTTCCAGCAGGACGTCTTTCTGTCACAAACGAAATTGGAACGCAAGACGATGCCAAGTTCAACCCATTGCTTTTACTGAAGGGTCAAAACATCAAGCCTGGTACTCCATTTTACATCTGCAGCGCCAAAGACACTGGACCACTGGCACATGCACTCTGGATCATGATCAAGTCATCTTTCGCTAAAGGGATGAAATACAACCTGGTAATCTCCAACTCTCCAAGGCATCAACGTTTCGAAATGATTGATTACATGGTCAAATGGGGCTTTTTCCCCCGCCTGTATGGTCACATCAACAAGATTGATTTCTATGACCCACCCTCCACAGCACCAGTAGTAGAAGACATTGCTGATGGTATCACCCCGTCTCAAAAGCGTCTGACTTCATTTCGATCTGAACTATCCAAACATGTGTTGGCGAGCCACGAAGATGTGAATTTGTACAACTACAGTTTAATATGTGGATTGCTTGAACGCCTCTTGTTGCGTGCAGAGGCTTGCATCGAGAAAGGTGCCTTCCAAGACGCCGAAAATCACCTTGAACGTGTCAATTTTGAAGCATGCAGCATGATACGTACTCGGACTGCCGAATTGGTTGATGTCTCGGACACCTTGAAGGAGGGCATCAACCGTATTTGCAAATTGATTGCCATCAGTGCTTATCGTCTATGCGAGCTTCGAAGTGGTTCCCTTGCGCGCATCATTGCAAAGAATCGAGAACGTATGCCAGCAGGTGTCCAGGGGCCCCCACCATTGGAACAAACCACCCGCATTCAATCCAAATCTCTCGCTCAGGAATTGGCTGTCTCGAACGGACTGCTAGCTCTCCGTCTTCCTTGCGCTTCGCCACTACACGAATGGTCCATTAGAGTGGATTTGATGCTACTAAGACTGTTTGCAGAACGACAAGATGTGTCATATGCAATTTGGGCCATTCGACGAATCAAAGAGAATTGCACTCTACTATGGAAAGACGCAAAATCGAAGCAGAAGCTGACACAGAAGATCAAAGCTAAAAACATGTCAAACTTTCAGGCCTTGGGTGACTTAGTCACGTTTCTCGAAACAGCATTGAAACCTGGTCCGGCGCATATTTGTCTACCCGCTGTCGCTGACAAATGCGAACAAGTCGTCACTGACATTTGGGGCGATCGACTGACAGTGAAGAAAGGATATATTGGTCTTATTTGGACTTTTAGATGGGCGAACTAGTAGTAGCGTCCGACCGAGTGTGGGGGAAGAGCTCAGACTTAAGGAGATTGAACTCGAAGCCTGTACAAAGGGTATGTCTTACCCAAACTTGTGTTTGCTTGGCACTGGCGAACGATCAATGGCCAAATCGACAATATTCCTCTCACGGCGACTTCTGGAGGCTGCCACGGATAGCTCAAACAAGAAACAACGAATTCAATCCGAATGGATAAACGAAACGATCATGAGAAAAACGAATCATTATTCCATTTCACGACTGGGATGTGGCTGGGGAACATGTGCATATCGGGGCATGGAGTTGAAAAGGTCTTTTAATGGAATGGAATGGGAGTAAAATGAAAAGGGCGGCTGAAATGAATATGGATGAATGGACATGATGGAATCTCCCACGTACTCGTACAACACTTCTTCCAAACACCGAGATCAGATTGCATGAGCGGCATCTAAATAATCGACTTTCAATCTCTCATAACATGTACTTCCAATCCCCCACAGATCCAGTGAATCTTTGTCTACACGACGACCAGCTAGATAGCTAGTTGATTGGATGGTCATGTCACTAGGCAATGCTGACTCATTACTCATTAATGGAGTTCAAAATCGAGAATGATGATCACCGACTTCTCCAAAACAGAGCTTCCACTCAGAACAACCGAGGTACGGGCTTGCCGAAGATCGGCACAAGCTTAATTCCAACGTCATTCATCAGCGGCCCCAGTTATTCCCTCCTTTCCCGCTGCAGCCTTGTGGACGTTATCCCATCTCCCCTTTGTCAATGGGAAGTTCTGTTTGTTTTGCTGGTGCTTGCCGATTGGCGTCGCAATCGATGTTGGCCCTCCAGTGGCGAGATGCGCATCTTCGTTGTGGGAATGTGGTTTCCAATGTGCGATTTGTTGTCTGAAGTTTTGATCATTTGAGTTTCCCTCCGAGATGGACGCCTTCACTCTGCGCTGACCATCACCAGTATTTATCTCAGGAGCATCTCTGGTTGCTGATTGCTTAAGGTGTAAGTGTTGCGTCCTGTTGCAGGATCTTGTAGATGCATTGTCTAGGTACCCGTTCGGCTCTTCAGATCCGGTAGCTACGTTGCGCGACGGCGGGGGGCTGCAGGCTGCAGGTCGTCGAACATATCTTCCTAGGTCCTTTGGTCCTAGGTCCCAAAGTTGCAATCATTTATCCTATCCCCCTTAGATATCATTACTGCTGTTGGTTGCTCCAAAAAGTGATGCTGCTGTATATCTATGTACATAATATTTCACAGAGGAGTTAGCACCTCCTTTCCCTGGGTCTAATCTGGCAGTTTAGACCCAGAAGATAAATGGTGCCAATCATTCTTCTTGAGCAGGTGTCTCACTGTTGATTGGAGGAGTCCGGATGTGAAAGCATTCATCTATTGCAGTATTTAGCCTCATCATGAGATTGTCAAAGTCAGCGGAGGGACCCATGCGATTAATTTCATCAGGGTAGGGACAATGCTTGGCTAACAATTGTTGGGCATCCCGAATCCACTGACAAATAGGTTTCGTCAAAAGAGTTGAGGTCTGATAATATTGGTGAAGAAAGCTGGAACTAGCAATGCTGGAACTAACAATGTGCAACGCTAAGAGGTCAAGATGGTCTGGGTGCTTTGGATCATGCTAAATTGTGTGCAAAAATGAAGAGTAAAAAGGCAAAAGAGACCACGGTCACTGAGCCTGGCAAGAAAAAGACCTTGGAAAACCAAATATTGACCCAAGGACACTGGAACGTGGTGATTCGGGGAGACCCAAAGCTTGACAAGGCCCTTCACGGGTTCAAATTCTTGAAATTGTGGAAGGCTACAAGTGGAAGGACGGAAAATCACCCCCCAAATTGGTGGACAGAGTTTGACTGTTCGCACGTGGATCCAGCTTGCAAATCTTCGACCACAGTATTGGATCACTGTTGTGCATCTCATAATATCTGGCTACGTGAAACCTGAGATCTCGAATTGGACCCTAAGTCACGTATGCGTCACTGCTGAGGCAGTGATATTCTTTCTCCACGTATCGCGAACTAGAGAACTACCTAAATTTCTACTCTGCCGCCTGTGCGCTGTCTCCAAAAGTTCGCCTTGGTCACATCGGAATCTCACCTTGTTCAAATTTCTTTTCCTCATTTTCATCCTCGGTATACAGATAGCAAGTCTGTGGCCTTCCCAATATTAAACCCGATGTCATCATCATCATGGTGAAACTTCGATTCTCAGATGAGGACAAAGGTGATCCAACTGTTGAAGATCATTCAGTCTACAACACTGAAGGGTCTGACCAATTGCTCTCTAATTCCGGAGGGCAACCATTGCCTGTCGTGCAACAAGAAGATCAAATCTCTCCTTCGACTTCAGATGCAACATGTGCCTACCCAATAAACAAGCTCACTCCAATCGAAACTGATTATCCTACCACAACAAAACAACCACCAAACCTCTTGACCATCCCAGTTGAAGTAAGGAAGCTCATTCTTCGACATCTTCTATCTACCGATATGGCCGAGAACAGCCGCACTTTCTACCACCACCAGTTCAATGAAGCCAATATTAAAATAGACGAGATCACTGTTGACAGATCGCGCCGCAACTATCGAAGAGAGCAAGTGGAGGAGCTTATGAACAACAATTGCGTCGTTGGGAAGAAATATAAGCTTCACATCAATGTGCTGTGGACCTGTAAGCAGCTGTTCAGTGAAGGTTCAACAATACTGCTGAGCGAGAACAAGCATCTTGCGATCAAACATGTTACCCCACGCAAGTATATGAAGAGTTTCTTGAACGAGTGCGGAGTGGAGACATTTTGGATACATCCTGCAATACTCGAGTCAACGAGACCCAGCCAATTTCAGCCCATTATCACTCTTGACTTGAGAGCCATTGATCGCAGCTCCGACCAACGGTACCTTGGGGAGTTCAGTTTTCTCCGTCATACCCTTCAGCAAGCTCGGTCGTGTTTGCAAAGCAATCTCGTTGTTCATGGCTGTTGCGGTTTCGCGCACGTTCGTCTATTTTTCCGTCAACCTGGAGATCCGCGCCTCGTCACTTCTGGCCGGGAAAGGACGAGGCTCAAAGATTCCTTTCAGCTATCTTCAGAGAAATTTGTTTGACTGGATCGGTCAAATAGTTGGACAAATTACATTTGTTGGACCCTACTCGAATCTGCCGAAAGAGGACCATTTAAGATCATGGCTTTTGCAGCAACTATATTCAATGTGCATACCCACTTTGAGACGACCGGCGATATTGGCGGGCACGAGACTGTTGAGCGCTGCACGGTTGCCACCTTTTGAACAATGGGGCACGGAAGAGATGCGCGGTTTGGTGCGTAGATTTCGAGAAGCAGAAATGGAATTTTTGTGCAATCGTTATGCCGCAGCATTCGAAGCGTTTGGAAACCTCAGTGCCCTGGTCATGTTTCTCAGCCTCTACGAATGTCGCCCATCACAGTTTGACGCAAGAGTGCAAGAGTTGCTTCTGTGGTCACACTTTTATATGGGCTTAAGTCTCGTGGAGGAGAAAGATGCAGCTGCAAGATTCATTTACGATGCCAGAAAAGAAAGCCGCCGTATGACATCAGCCGCCTGGTACTTGCCACAAGTTGATTCTTGGAAATCACAATGTCCTATTTGGCATTTTCAATGTATTGTCACTCCAGGCCAGGAGGTACGACTTCTTTTCGCTAAGGCTGAGGTTTCGTGCAAGTGTCCATTCCAAAAAGAGCGAATTCCTCGGTGCAAGAGATACACAGAGCAGGCCATGGCTCTAATGACAAGCGGACAGTCAACGTTGGATTTCAAAGAAATCAAAGGCTTATGTGCCAGTCCCAAGTTTACGATTGTTGCATTCCAAAATGCCAAAGCTGGAATTAAGCAGTCGATTGCTCAACATTTCGGCCCACTACTACCTGTCACTTTGACGTTCGAACCGGACATATGATCAGCAACTGGATCGGACGTGGAAATCGACCTAAGTGCAACTCCATGCCCCAATGAATGACTTGAGCTTTACTGAATGAAGGTGGCAAAGAGAAACAGACCATCAATGATAGCATGTTGGAAGTAATCAAGACAGCAAATTGTCATCTTTTTTTAATTCGGGGTAATTTTCAAACCGTGTATTTTTGTCTCTAGCAGCTGCAACCTCTTTATGCCTAGCCGTACGTACTAGCCATGTGCTAATCCTTGCGGTGTCTATGAAGGGCTCCAGGACTCCAGGATGTGAATCTGAACTTCATTCACGTAGGTTAGGCGCCAGGGACGAGGCAGCGGTGACTTTCTTCACGTGAGGGCGCAAAGAACTTCTTTAGGAGACATGAATCTCATCTGCGGCTTTCCTTACTCTTCATCACTCCTGATACAGATTTATTTATGCCTTTCAGAGCTCTCTACAGATTACAATCATCATGGTACACGATCCTCTGCACAGTAAGCTGGATGGTCTTTCAGGTTTCGAAGATCCGCCAACAATCGACAGTACAACCCGCCTGATCGATTATTCTTCTGCCTCTCCTCCTTCTTCCTTTTCTTCTTCTTCTGCTTCCTCTTCAGGCAAGCAACAGATCTTTCTTGCAGAGAACCTTGAGTGTGAGAAAGTGGACGCAGAGATGGAAAACATCACGCCACACTCTGATAAACACCAGAGACTTATAAACCAGGAAATTTTATCTAATGCAGCAACAGGAACCGACTTCAAATCAACACAATGTCCCCTTTTGGCGATCCCCATAGAGATTCGGCAGCAAATTCTGCAACATTTGCTCTCGACCAATGGGGAAGAAAATCTCACTACCTCTTATTTGCACCGAGAAAATTTCGCTAGAAGTGAGGAAGATGAATGGTCGATCAATGAGAGGCGCCGCGACTATCTGATGATCCGTGAAGAAGCTTTCCTCCCGGAAAACTGTTCGCTCCACAGTGCTTATAAGGTGTATCCAAACATACTCTGGATATGCAAGCAGCTCTTAGCAGAGGGTGCAATGGTGCTTGCAAGAGATAACAGATTCATTGTACTTCAGTACACAGGTAATGGTCGAAGCATCTTGATCAATGGCCTGCGAGATGGAGGAGTTGGAACGTTCTGGGTTAACCCTGGCATTTACCCTAGATCGAAAACCCAAGCCATCATATCGCCGAATAGTCCATATTGCCGACCAACCGTCTTTATCGACATGAAAGCCTCACATCCTAGCGGACCGGTGGCTGCCAAACCAGTCTTTATGGTTATCCCTTTCATATTCCTTGGTCGCGTCTGCAAAGCGCTGTCATTGTTTCAGTCATGGACACGCACTAATGAATTTGACTTGCTCACAATCGACCTTATTTTTAATGTACGAGCTATTCTTGATTGGAGACCGAAGGATCCTGCCTTCGTTGCCGATGATATTCAGTGTGATGTTTTTGATTGGATCTCCGAGTCAGTGACACAAGTCAATTGGAGGGGACTACAGACTGGCCTTCGCGACGAATACTATCTGAGATCATGGCTCGGGATGAAGTCTTTTCACATGGCTCAATCACAACTCGATCACCAGTGTCTCCTCTTTGGCACGCAAATTGCACCTGCATTGAGAGCAAAGCAGGAGAAAATATGTCGCATTGTGACTAGATTCAGACAGGCAGAGAATCAGTTTCTGAGGCGTGATTTCAAGGCATCATCCGCTTCCTTTGTGGAGTTGAATGCACTGATTGGATTCATTGCAGTGCTTGACCGGGAGGACATGGACACCGTGGAGATTCTTGATCAGGTATCCGAGTGGGTACACTTCTACATGGCCCTCGGCTTTATCGAGTATCCCGACTGCACACCCGGAATCCCCAGTACTGCGTACCGGTTTACGACTGCTTCACTATATTTACCGAGCGCTGAAGAATGGGAAACACGAGAAGACTTGACCGCTGGTCACGTTGCAAGACTAGATTTCACAAGAGCTGAAGTGTCCTGTTTCCACCCATCTGAGGAGCTACGCCTGCCAAAGTGCAAGGAGTACTCAGAATGGGAATTTGCAGTCATGGAAGACGAAGCAGAACAGTCGCTTGATGGGTACAAAATCAAGGAGTTGTGTGAGGCATCAGATTTCACGATTCCAAGATATGAGGAGGCCAAGGGTGAAATTAAGTCATCTTTCGATCGGTTCTTCGGACCCTTATCCGTTGTGCCGTTGAACAGACTTAATGAGATGCTTCACAACGATTAGAATAGGCGAAGGGAGAAGTGTATTGTGTACAAATATCTGCGCTGGAGATATTGAAACCAGTGACAGGAGAATAATTTAAATGCCTTTGTTGATAAAGAAAAGAAATTGAGAAAGTGGTCTTGATAAAAATTCGCTGTACAGAGCAGCGGATTCCTTCGCTCAAGAACTACATTGTCATTGTTCAAAATCTGCACTTTTTCCGCCGCCGCCCATTTATTGTCCTAGTGAAAGTCTACACCACTTCACTGTTCAGTATTCATACTGACTCACCAAATCCCGTGCTGCGTGTCAAGAGAGGTATCAATACCTGCTTCTGGAAAAATTCCTCACTCCAGTCTTTCTTACTCGGATACACCTCAACTCGAACACTACCAAGTCATGACCTACTCAATCTTGTGATTTGAACTCACTGCCTGCCATCGCACAAATCTTTTCAGAAGAACAACAATTCAAGAACATCCTCAGCTCATCTCGTCGGTCAACTCAAATGGATCGACTACTGGAAGAACCACCTGAGAGTGCAGCCCTCGACCGAACTCCGCCGAACCTTCTGACTTTGCCATTCGAGATTCGGAAGCGTATCCTGAAGCACCTTCTTTCCACCAACCTGGAAGAAAATATTGTTACTGGCTACCGACACGACATGCCTGATTCTTGGGAAGATCTCGAGGTCCGGCGTCAAGAAACCATGCTGAACGTTGCAGATTTTTTTGAGAACCATTACGTGCCCACTTTGGGTTACAACCTCACTCCAAAGGTGCTTTGGACGTGCAAACAGATCTTATGCGAGGGCACAGCCATACTTGTCGACGATAATGATTACATCGCCCTCAGGTATCAAGAATTCCCAACCACATTTGGCCCAGCCATGAAAGAGTACATGATGAAGAGCGGGATACTGACATTCTGGGAGAACCCTGGGATTTTCAAGTTGCCGGCTTCTCAAAACGTATTTGGACGACCTGTGATGACAATCGACCTCAAGTTCTCTGAGGACAAGAGCCTTGCTCTAACTACAGTAATTGTCCCTTTTGCTACACTCAACAACCTCTGTCAGGCTTTGTGCGCATCCGCTTATTATTCGGATGATGCTGTAGAGAAAAACGAGCTTATCCGCAGGCCGAAAATTTTGCTCAACTTTTGCGTCAAGAGAATTCCAGACTGGAAGAAACTTGGATTCAAAGTGGTCGTCTACCATCTGCAGACACATCTTTTCGATTGGTTTCAAGATGTCATCTGGTCCGTATCTTGCGAAGCACCTACGACTGGTCTCGATCTTGAGCTCAAAATAAGAGATTGGATCTTGGAACGTCCAACTGGGGCCTCATTGACGTGGTCCCAATGGGGAAAGCAAGTTGTGGACACCTGGGTGCGGCTTCCGGTTGGCAGAGGACCAGTTTCTGTCAAATAATTTTGAGGCGGCAAGTGTTTCCTTCGTGGAATTCAACGCGCTCCTGGCTTTTGACTGGACGTACGAAATCTTTGATTCGCCGGACTTGGATGTGGATCAACTCGTCTTATGGACTCACTTCTACCTCGGGATGAGTCTCTTAGAGCGAGCGAACAGCAAGCTGAAGCTTGATCACGATCTCCAAGACTATTACCGCCAGGCTAGGTCTGTGGAATTTTACTTGCCACACTGGGAGTGCTTCCCCACAAACACGGGACATCAGGCCAGGCTATCTTTGGCGAATGGCATTGCAGCTGGTAGCCTCCCGCTCTTCCAACATCGCCAGGATCAATTTGAGAATGCTCTCAAGTGGTGCTTGACAATTCTACGGAACACGAACAAGAAATTTGACTCCGAGAAACTCAACCAGTTCGACCTGTCCCTCAATAACAGTATCTGGGAAGCTATCGCACAGCTCTTCGACATGGAAGAGGAAATCCCAGAGGCAATCGCACAAGCAATACTTGACAAATTTGGTGAAATGTCGCCGGTGACACTGAACGTGGAGGGAGCCTTTGACGACTCCGATGGTGACTGAACGGCTTTGACTCCAATCTTGATACGCCAGATGGCAGAGGAGACTTGATATCAGCCTAGGTCTTAAAATTTGTACAAGAAGCATGGAAGCTCACAAGCAAGATGGCTGGAGCACTGGATCGCTTGAATGACATTGGGATTTTACAAGCGCACAAAGAGTAGTGCTGTCTATCGCAGTGATCAGCCCAACATTCCAACTCGAAATGACTTTCGCCTTGGTGGAATTGTAGGCACCTTTCGGATCCTTTAATTTTCCGTTCTTCATGATTATGAGCTCTAGAGACACTTGAGATCACTATCATGGACTATCATTCTTGAGACAATGAGAAACTATTCTAAAGGTTTGTGGCACAGCGCTCCGAACTGAACTCTCCGAGGATAGGAGGGAGGGTCAGGAAGCAAACTGGCACGATCGAGATGCAGTCACACGATAGGCAGAGAAGTCGTCGCGCCCTCATTAGCGACCTGGAGAGAATTCCAGCGAAAGGACATGGCAACCTAGGTATTGAATGATGAGAATGGTTATTGTACTCGATACCGTGCTGGTCAGATTTGATATAGATTGAAGAAAACATCCTGCCCCAGTCGATTAGTTCTTTTGCCACCACACCTGTAACCTGCTTCAGCCTTGGCCAGCTACCAACAACGTGACTGGCCCATGGTCAAGCAATAGATCTTCGGAAACATTGATAGCTGTGAAGATGCTTGAGCTTAACAGTTGAGAAGTGCGTACTAAATTAGACAACACAGAAAACATCAGCCACACCAGCTGGTCACAGCCGTCACCTAAAATCATTGCAGAAGGTGAAGATCAGGCACCCCTGACTTCACTTCAACTCTTTCAATTTCGTCTGACCTCACTTGACCTTGCTTCACTTGTAAACAAACACACTGAATAACAAGTTTCTTCTCCAACACCTGTGAGCTCTTCATTACCTCAACAACGACCTTGGTGCTCATTATCTCTGAGCTCGAGGCTTCATCTCAACCACCTCCTACCTTTCCCCCCCATTCTCTGAACATTCTCAACCTCTTCCTATCAACTGACCTCGCTCGAATCGCCACCATGGCACCGGACCCTGCAGAGGATCGATCGAAACAAGATCCGCCACCCACAACCCCAGCCGAACCAGATGGCCAAGGAACCACACATGAGAAGGAACAAGTAGTCGAAGTTCTACATGACAGCGTCTCTGTTATCCCAGTCCCAGACAAAACTTTGGCTGCTGCTGCTGCTGCTGCTGAAAAAGTGAGTTTGAGTGACAACACTACGACCCCACCAGACGCCCGAGCAACCGAACCTGAAAAGAAACAAGCAGCTGAGACTCAATACGTCGGTCTGGTTTCTTCTTCAGATGATGAAGGAATTTCACTTGCTGTTGAAAACTTGATCTTGGATGAGAGCACAACTACCGGAGATGGCGTCAAACCCAGCAATGACGAAGCAACCCTTCTAGGGCTTCCATACGAAATTCGGAAGAAGATCCTCAAGTACCTTCTCTCGACTGAGCTGCAAGAACACCGTCGTACTGGCTATCATCATCAGACAGACCACCTCGATTTTGAGCGGACAACCCAGATCGATGATGAGCTTCATGACGCTATGTTCTGCTACTCACAGTACTTCTTCGACCACCATGCTGTTTTCACCAAAGGCCACGAATTGTCTTTCAATGTGTTGTGGACCTGCAAGCAACTGTTGGACGAAGGTTCCTCGGTACTCTTGGAAGATAACAAGTCTGTTGCACTATGGTTTCCTGGATGGCCCGGAGATATTGGTAACATGATCAAGCATTTCATTGCACAAAGTGGGATACAGACTTCCTGGGAGAATCCGGGAATTCTCAAGCCATTCTTAAAGAAGCGCGGCAGACCTACTATTGAAATCAGCATGGAAATCGAAGGCTGGGATTGTGATCCGACGAATGTGATCATCATCCCTCTCGAGAATCTCAGCAGCCTCTGTCAAGCGTTGTCTGGGTATCGGAGTTATTTCAACGATTACTACAGCATGATCTTATCAGAGGAATATCACTCTGATGACGAGAGTTTTGGGGATGTGGATCATTCTTATGAATTGGGATTCAGCATACAAATCCGCACAACAAAAATTCCAGCTTTCAGAAAGCGCGGTTTCCGGTCAATCGTGGAAAATCTCCAGGTGAACATTCTTGATTGGATCGGTGACTCGATCTTCTCAATTCGCTGCATTGTGACCAGAGCTCCGGACAAAATTCAAGTCCAGGTGAGAAACTGGATTCAAGAACAACCAACCATAGACAGCATGACGGCGAAAGCATGGGAGAGCAAAATCGTACAGCGTCTCATACAAAGATTCAGGAATGCAGAGAAGAAATTCTTGTCAGACGACATGGCTGAGGCATGCCCTTCATTTGTGCAACTCCAGGCCTTAATAGCGTTCACCATGATGGGAAGAGTCTGGGAAGATGAAAAGAGGTGGATTCTCATGAACCTTGCGACCTCGAACCGTATCTATCTGGGTCTGACTCTGGTGAAAACGGCTCCGAAGGTGGGAAAGCCTGCTCATGATGGGATAGGCGAGTTCGCATCAAATGATTATATCTACCAGGTGAATTCTGCTGCCGTGTACTTGCCGTCATCATTCCCGCATCCCTCACACCTCCAACCCTGGAAGTCGCCTCATCCCGAAAGTCGCAAAGCGAGGGTTTTCTTCGCTAAGGCGAGGATTGCAAGCGCTTTCCCATTGTCCTCTGCGCATCGGAGATTGTGCCCACGGTACCTACGAGACTTAATGGAAAGCATTGCGCGCTTCAAAGTCATTGAGCCTTCTAAAGCAAGTGTCGACTGCGATGAGCTTGAAGAATTGGTTGACACAGATGATGTGACCAGAGGTGAACTTGAAGCAGCCAGCGATGGAATCAACAAAATCATTCTCGACATTTTCGGTCCGCTGACACCCGCAAAGCTTACCGCTTGAAAGAAGAAGTAGGACGTTCCATGGTTCCGACGGGAGCTCTACAAGCTACCATCCCAGGCCGAGAGGAGAGCGGAACTCGTCACGGGAGCGCTAGTACGGAGATGCGACCGGCCCGAGCGTGAGGGTTAGTTAATGGTTTCTGGTAGCAGCGGCGAAAGACGAAAACGACACGTCCGCTAGAGCAAGCCTTTGAGTACGAAACCATGAGGTCTGGTCTTGTTGGAGTGAGTCTGAATTTCTTCTCGACAGCCTCGATCCTGAGGTGTTTGCAAAGATGGGAGATGAGGCAGAGATCCCATTGCCTTCAGTCTTTTTAGGTAGACACAGAATGACATGGCAGAGAAGCCGAAAACAAATCTCAGCAGCTTCCTGCACTAGACAAGATATCTAAATCCCCTCTGCAACTTAATCCCCTCCTCGACAGAAACACCCTCCGTCTCCGCTGTCTGCTGCGCAACATCATCATTCGTGATCCAAGCCCTCTCACCCGCCTCAATCTTCCTATTCAACCTAACCAGAATCAACTTGAAAGCATAGCAACCCAAAATCGTCACTCCAAACATTGAAGTCACAATACCATAGCTCTTGCGGAATCCATTCTCCGGCAGATTCCAGACATACGAGCCGGCGATATTGCCGAGCTGCGAGAACGCATTGACCATTGCGATCGCGACGGCTCGTTTGGCCGGCGGGCGTGGGAACGACGAGCTGATCCACGAGTAGAAGACGATGAAGCCGGCGTAGGCGCTCGCCTGAAGAAATAATGCGACATAGCGTGCGGCGACATTAAGAGTCGACATACTGATGACGAAACCAACGAGGCCGCCGACTATCGGGCCCACGATGTGCCAGAATTTCTCCTGCGTGCGGTCTGCGTGCCAGGCGTTGATGATCGAAACGATGCAGGAGAATGCCCATGGTGGTGAGCTCATGAGCAGTGTGGGGATGTAGCCGAAGCCCAGCGTCTGGGTAAGGGTGGGGAAGAAGGCGTTGAACGATAATCCGACGACATAGGCGGTGAACGTCAACATCATCAGGTAGACCTTGACGTCCTTTACGACCATGATCAGTCCTGCGAAAGGAGATTGGTCTGCAGAGTCGGCGTCAGCCTCGCCTACATCCTCGGTCATTCGTAGGACCGCGATATCGCGCTCTTCCTGTGTGAATCCCCTGGAATTATGTGGCAGGTCAGGCAGGATGAAGGCGGCGACAATGGCAATCAGCATCGTAACAGCACCCTCAATCCAGTACAACCACCTCCACGCTCGATGGCCAAGAGTACCTTCCATGTTAGAAAGTACCGCAGCACCAACGAGTGCAGAGAAGGCATTCGAGATAAGGTTTCCGCAAAACAATATCGCGTTGCGGGTGGTGAGCTCTCGCTTAGTATACCACTTGGATAGTATAAGTAAAGCTCCTGGGAGGAAAGCCGCCTCTACGAAACCAATGAAGAACCTGATAGCCACCATACCAGCGAAATTGTGGGTGCATCCGGACAACGTGGAAATCAGGCCCCAAAGAAGCATGGCTGCAGAGATGTAGGTAGACGGCCTTGATATGCGGTTGATGAGGATGTTGCTGGGTACTTGCATCAAGATGTAGCCGACATATACTTGAATACGGTCAGTAAGCTGGCGTTTGAAGTTGAACGGTGTTCTTACGAATGCTTAGACAAGTCGCATATTGAGTATTGTTGATGCCCAGGTCCTCCTGCAGCCCTCCGAGTCGCGCTGCTGCGATATTGTTTCTGTCCCCAGAATCAATATGATGCAAGTCTAGAGCTCAGAATATAGAAATGCTTTACCTATCGAGATAGTTCATGATGTAGATCAGCACGAATAGTGAGCATCGTGCATCTAGCTTTCGCTTTAGCGATTTTTCGACTTGTTTGCGGCGCTCAGGGTCCATCCTCGAGGCTCGACGGCCTTGAGTGGCGGTGAGATCGACCTCTTGAAAGTCTTTGTCCATGTTGCTGTTTCCTAATGATTTCTATCGCCTTCGTGATGCAATTCCTCTATGCCTGAAAGAATGCGCAATTAGGCCTTGTCTGGGTGTTTGCAACAGTGACCAGGCATCCTGTGGGCATACTCTGAATGATATATCGACATCAACAAATGCACACACTGACTGGATCACGTATCCGGATGCCGTCATAATCGGTGCCATCGCCGATGTTATTTGGTGTAAATCGATTCAGATGTAGCAGCCAAGGTCTTGTCGGCGCCTTGTTTGATGAAAAATGCAATGATTTGCACAAATATTCCCCAATGGGGGAGAGATATGATTTCACCCAAGACTTTTCTCCATGCTCTTCACCAAGCCACGTGCATATCAAGCTTGTCAAAGATTCAACAGAAAACTCTTGCTTTCAAAGGGTCAGTGGTGCTCAGTTAGAGACATTTCGAGTAATACCATTGTGACCTTCGGTGTTGGACTCGGAACACCGTCATCAAGAAAGTGACATCATTGCCCAGCCACCATCAGGACTGTGTGTCGAGAGGCAGGAACATGTATTTGGGCACATACTTTCCACCTTCGGGCACATAGGTATTCATGCATTACAAAGCTCAAGCTTTTGGATAACGTTGTTCCAGAACGCGACTTCGCGCCAATTCTTCGTCACACCTCGAACGTTGTATAGGTTGCCAGTAATGCATTGTCGAATCACGTCTTCATAGATACTTCCAACCCGAAAGGCGACCTCACCCTGGAGCAAGTGCTTTAACACAAATGACTTGGCCTTTGTCGGTTCGACACCTTCAAGGGATGCTGTGAAAGGATTCCAGAGCGCAATATCCAGCAAAACAAGGCCGAGGCTGTCTCTCGCGAAGTCTCAGTGGATACAAACAGAATGTGACAGCACTGCTAGGGGGTTTACTCACCTGTAGATATCAAAGACCTTGCTAAACTTCCTCTTCTGCTCCCCTTGACGAAGTGGATGCTCGTAGTATTGCCATTCCGTCTCCGTAGACAAAGTCTCAGTAAACACCGTGTCGCTGGTAAATGCCAACTCGTCTTCGCGCGCACTCTCAAAGCCAATGAGATAGGCACTGTCTAAGGCACCAATACTAGCGCCATACTCGGGCGGGAAGAACATCACGTTTGAAGGTCGAATGGCTTTGTGAAGCCAGCCCGCTGTATGAAGCATCAGGACACACCGACAGAGTCGCAAGGCAAGACGCACCCGGCCCTCCAACGGCGGCCTGTAGGCTTTCCGTAACTCTTTAAGAGTCAAAAGTTCTTGAAGAGAAAACCGAGAGTCAGCCACGACAGTGGGTGGAATACTATATGCCAGTGCGACGTAAGCCTGGTCGGGGTGGACTGCAAATCCCCGAAGATCAAGTACACAAAAGTCAGCTGGCTTAGGAGACTTCCCTAGGATGTTCATTAAGAATTGGAGGCGCTGGATGACCCGGTGTCGAGCTGGTGAGCCAACATCTGGCAGCTTTTTCCATTCCAAATGCAAAGACTCCCCATTCACGCACAACATGGTATCTCCTGGAGCCCGAGAATGTAATTCTGGCACATCGATGATCCATCGAGCTTCGAAACCTGAAGTTCCATCTGAGCTTCGGAGACCAAGATCGACTTGTTCACCAGTATTTAGTCCCTCAAGTTGAAGTCCGGCGCGTCTCAAGGCCGCCATGAAGGCCAGATCCCTATAATCTTCAAGATTGGATTGTTCGAGAATCTCCAGCTTTCTTTGTGTTTCGGTGCTAAGAGTCTCGATGCACACCTTCTGAAATGACTTCCCCAACTCGAGGCGGTCATTGTGATAGAGAAGTGAGTTCAAGGAATCATTGAAGTCTTTCAAATCTCGAATTATAGATTCTAACCTAGCTTTGTCGTCCAGAACCCATCGAGCTGTTCGCGTGACTGAACTGGCAACTTGAACACTTCTGCTTTCGTTCGAAGGCACGTTGGTGGCAGTTTCTTGAGTGGCAAGATGGACAGCATTCCTTTCCGCCAATGTTCGTGCCTCGGAGATTAAGTTTGAGATGGCTTGCAGAGAATTCAGAATGGAGGCAATGTGCGCGCCAGGAAATCCAAGTTGTTCTTGGGAGATGCGAGATGCATCGCCCCAAAGCATAAAGCGTTGCTCCTCGAGTTCCAGCTTGCATCTCAAAATCTCGAGGCTGATGTCCTGCGTAAATGCAGTCACCAAAGCCCGGTAACTGCTCAGCGAACCCGAGAATAATTGTATCGCAAGGCTGGCTATTCCCGTGGCCAGACTGGCGTCCATTTCGTCGAATATGAAAGACTAACTAAGGAGAAGTACCGGAACAGCTAGGGTGGAATGAGGTACGAGGAAGCATTTACCTAAGTACCCAGTATGCCTCTTGAGGGGAGAAACGAAAGGAATCGAGTATCTGAATTCAGCCTCACCCAAAGTGCCACTTCATTCACTAGTTCAAGTTAGGTAGGGACGCAGCACAAGGGTCGCGAGTACGCATTCAGGTACTCAGATAAGTGCCTTGGCAGGCTGAGAGGCGTACTTCTTAGCCTCCCGTCGCTCGTCTTCCTTATCTATTTTCTCAAATCCATACAATATCAGGTCCATCGCCCTCTGAAGCACAGGCATAGGAGCCGACTACAGTTGCTCCCGGTTGTAACAAGGGATACCAACGCCACTAGACCTCCAAAATAACCTAAAGCGGTCGCAGAACTAACTAGTTAGATTTGACTTGAAGCCATGGGACAACGATTACCCCAAGCGAGGGACTTGTGGCGTGTTTTCAAAGACCAATTACTACCTAGCTGGTGCCTGGCTCAGCCAGGTCGGCGCGTCCACGAATTTCAATAATAGTTGACTTTTTGACAGCCTGTGCCTCGTCACATCGCCCCTCTGTTTTTCAGGTCGGCGCCTTGCACGCAGATTGACCCTGCCTTTGAGCGGTCCTGTTCCACTACTATTAGCACAAAGGTCTAATTTCTTGCCTACTACTATGGCACCCAGAGAACACCCAGGATGTCAGACGGATTCTTTGGAGGCTCACCAATTGCCTCCTCTCGCGAATTCACCTTTGAGGCAGAAAAGTTTTTCGAAGCAGAAAATATTTCAGCTCTTCCACGCGTGATTCAAGAACACATCGCCGAACTAGATAGTTACGAATCGCCCCCAATCTCGCCCGGACGAGAGCTACCAGACTCTAAGATTCGTGATCCAGATCTACATGATCTTGTTCTTCTTTCTGCGAGTGTAGAATCTACAGATGAGCACAATGCTGGACACATTGCCGACGCAGTATGTCGATTCTCCGCTGCTGTCATTGGTGCTGGCGCCACTTTCGTGGTCCGCAAAGTCCGTGTTCCCTGCAAAAGTATCAAAAGTGGCTATGTCGCGACGAAGTCCCCCCGACTACATGGGCAAAGCAACTTGAGCAAGTCTGACTTCAATAACCGAGTGAAGGATATGATTTTCGAGTTGCGTGTCCTCCGCCATCGCCCTCTGATGCAGCACCCAAATATCATAAGCCTTCTCGGGATATCTTGGTCAGATGATGACACGGATGAGACGTTGAAATGGCCAACATTGGTCTTGGAATATGGTAATGCCGGTGAGTTGTTCAAGCAATCCTACATTTGGAACTCCAGGAATTTAACTCAGCAGGATCACTCCTGGATCTTCTCCGAGCTGGCGAAATGGAGTTCCTCGAAAGACACCGCATCATTTTTGAAGTCGGACGCGGGCTTTCCGCCCTTCATTCATGTGGTGTTGTGCATTCAGATATCAAGTGCGAAAACGTGATAATCTTCCAGGATCATCAAGGGATATACACGGCTAAGCTTGCGGACTTTGGCTGTTCACTTGTAGAACATCCACAAGGAGCGAAGCTTCGAGGTGGCACTCCTCCGTGGACCTCCCCAGATTGGAGAGAATGGCTTCCACCGGGCGACATGGTCAAAAGCGACGTCTACAGCTTCGGTTTATTGGTGTGGAGGGTCATGACCTACAATTCCAGCCTGCTCCTCAATGGTCTTCAAGAGGTGCCTCTCGAAGGTAAAGCCATCACCGTCACGGAATTCGAGTTGGCTAAAAGAGGGGATTATTTGTTACCTCTGTTAGCGAAACACTGTGCTACAATTTTGGAGTCTTCACTGTGTGAGCTAGTCCAACGAGTTCTTCATGAAACTGTTCGGCTCGATCCTGCTTCGAGAAACCTCTCGAATGCTTTGGAGGTTTTACACGTACCTGATGCGTATTGTGCGATGGCTAGGTATACCAAACTACACAACCCCGTGCTCTGTTAACAGTTGGTAGCACAACAGCGGAGCTCATGATAGATCTTGTAAAGGAGAAAGCGTCTGCGATGTCGGTACACGATTGGACTGCTTTGTTGGCCCCTCATATGGGTATTGACCATGATGAACTGCTTCATTTGAGGAAGAACTACAGGTGCTCTAGACTGTCCTACTGTCTCAAAACAAGATTTCAATTTGACTGTACTCAGATCCGATGAAGAATATCTCGAACAATTTCGACACCTGGTGGAACCAAAGCTGTCCCAGCAATCTTTCTCAAGTCGCAGGTATTGTATACTGGTCATGACTTCATGTTCGCAACGACTAACTTTTTTGAGGCGGATTGATCAGGTTCGAATTTTTGGAAATTCAGAGATCCCAGACTCTTCAACGAGAATGATAACTCTCGGTCTTTCTGCAAATGTAGGTATAAACAAGTTGAGTAGAAGGTGATCAAACACTTATGACAGTTTAGGAGGTGTCCACATTCAGCGCGGACCATTTGCGATTGATGCAGCCCCAAATTCAGGAGCAAACCATCAATTCACTTGTTAACTCCGCAGATTCTGGCAGCCGGGACTCATCTCTCTTTTTGAGTGTATACTATTTTAACGTCAGGTATGATCCAGTTGAAGCAATCCGCTGGCTTTCAACAGCTGCAGAGCTTGGTAATTCAACTGCCAGATACCTTTACTATCGTCTCCACGAAGCAACTGGAATTAAAATGAAGGTCGATCATACCACCATCGATCATTGGCTGTATCAAGGAAGCGCTTGGGGTTCCTGGATTGCCTTCGATGATAAGAACAAGCATGAGAAAAATCATGAAAATCCTGCGAAAATCATTTTGAGATTTCAGGGCAGCTACAATGGCGATACGCCCTTCAGGGAAGAAGCTCTAATTGGAAGATTTTGCATCTCACCTATGGGCACACAAATCAACCTGCTTGATAGTCAAATTGCCTCAACTCAAAGCAACGTGGATGACATTGTGCTAGCCGGTATGCAAGGGAATCGATTGCTTCATTGGGCCGCTGGGGTAGGCGCCCTGGATGCGGTGAAACATCTTATTATCCACCACCACGCGAATGTCAATTGCTTAAATGATTTAGGCGAGACACCACTTCTTGCTGCTTGTCGTGCAGGAAATGGACAAACAGTTGCCCAACTCCTCAAGGAAGGAGCTGATCCTTCACTGAGATGTTATTCGCGCCAATATCCTATCCATTGGCTTTGGACCTTGGAAAAGAGTTTGCCTCAAATTCCAGATCATGAGAAGATGAGCATCCTCACACAACTCGGGAGAGTTCTCTCACGTGGTAGTGTCAAGATTGTGAATTCTGTAGCTGATCCGGTCGCCAAGAGAATCAATGGTTTCCAACAAGATGAACCTCACTCAGATCGGCTACAGTCCCACCTATTCTCAAGCCTACCTCTAGGAACACCACTCCACTGGGCTGTTCAGCTTAGATGCTTACTGACGATACGAGCACTGTTGGGTCTCGGAGCAGACCCATTTTATTCAATAAGCACGACTGGGTACCAAGGAAATGGTAGCGCAGCTCATCTTGCAGCAGCTATGCACGATGACGATATATTTGAGCTTTTTGTCGAACATATAGGACCCGAGAAAAGGCACAGGGTATTCGGAAGGGTGGAAGACTTCTACCCCGGCTTCTTGGATACTGCAATCAGCGGCCGCGCGACCCACACACACGCAAATGGCCGATTCGAGCGAATGTCAAGACACGGAAAGAATTACAAAAGCCGTACGCAGCGAATGTTCCAATTGCTTCTTAGCTATGGCCTCCGCACACTTCAGTCCAAATACAATTCGAACCCTACCCCACTCAATTTCGCTGTGCAGAACGGGCAGATCGATATCGTCGAGGTTCTACTAAACACCCAGTTTAAGGATGACCTTGAGGTGTCCAGTGGACTCGATAGCAACGAGCCCGCAGTAACACCCCTGGCGATGAGCGTGATGCGCGCCTACGACGATATATATTTCTTACTGAGGTCTCATGGCGCAGACTCAAACGCTACATACCAGGGCATTGACAGTATTCTTTCGATATGCGCAATCGCCGGACATACGAGATTGGAAGTTGCTATCGACCTCATCAAAGGCGGAAACCCGGTTAATTCTGGTCGCAGCTACGCAATGTCGCCAATATTCTGGGCAGTCTGGGGTGCTCATTTTCCACTGGCAGACCTTCTTCTACAGCACGGAGCGGATATCAATGAGTTACAGGATTATCGAACCAAAAAGTTTGTCGCATCTCGGCTCATCGAGCCGACTACGGTTCTGGGACTATTGTTGAGCACATGCAGCAACTCGAGTGCTCTTCCACTTCGGTGGCTACTGTATGGTCATTGTGAGGGAAAATACAACCTTCAACCCATCACTTGTCCCTCGACGTCATCCAATATATTCCACGCCATTGCTTCCGTCGAGGAGGATGGTAGGGATGAAGAGAAGCTTCGGATAGCTCTGACCCAGGTCATGTCAAACTTTGGCCACTTCCATGACCTGTTAGATGAATACGCATACCATGCACCGGAATCTTCCTCTCAACATGGCACCACTCCGTTAATCGATGCGATTCAACATTCCAATGTCATGGTGGTGAAAGAACTATTAGCCTTGGGCGCTAATGAGGAGAAGACTTGCACGGATGGGTTGCGACCTTTGCAGTATGCACAAGCCATGCTCTTCAAATTCAAAGGCTTAGAGACTTCACGCTATCCTCCGATGACACTGACAGTCATGGAGAGGAATCGGAATGAAATAGTCAAATTGCTGACATCTGCGAAATCGATGTAGCAGCCTCCGTCCTCTCGAAACGAGGAATTTGGCCAAGCCGGCATCGTGGGTACGTCTAGGCACAGCAGTACTATGCCATAGCAGACGTGCAATAATGCGGGGGATGTTAATCGATAACCCTGTACGGGGTACGGAGGTGGGCACCAAATCTGTGGTCACTAGACCTGGTGCCCGCCTCCGTAATATCGTTCAACATGACTTTTAGGAGTAGTGGTTTTATGGCTTTCTCACTGGACACGTACGACGCGAAAACTTCTCGCTTAAATACGCGCGCCGAAGGGTCGGTGATGCGGTCTAGTCCAAAATAAGCTCTTTCCCAGCCACCTAATAAAGCTTCCCTACGAGGTATGAGGGACTTCGTAATGATAAGAGCTATCGGGTGTGACAGGTTCAGCCCCATGGCTTGCACCATGCTCGTCACATCTTGTCCGCTACACGTGCACTGCGAGGGAATCAACATGCCAAGCAGGCAACCAAGCACTATTTGCAGTTGTGGCTGGCGATGGTCTCAGCCGACAATAATATGGTGTTGGACACGCAGCCAGGTTCGCCTGGAAGCAGTGACCTTACCTGTGTTAACATTTCGGGGAACTGCTCTGAAAGATGCAACTTTGCCAGTCTGATGTTGGACTTTCCCTTCCAGTTCTTGCTATTATCAGTCAGGAACAAGCATCTAAAAGTATTGAATCGGAATGCTGCTTACTGGAGCAGTAACATCACAATAGCTTTTATTTAGGCAATACTGGGTTAAAGTACAAGTGCCGTTCGACAGCATGGCCCGGATCAAGCAAACACATCGAAAAAACAGCGAGTCAACCGAAAGTGCGGCAAACGTTAAAGATCGATGCAATGTTCTACCAACATGGTGGCTCGAGCGCCACGTCGCGGCCGCTGATGATTGTCCGATCCGACGGGTCGTGTTGAAGGACTGCAATTGTGCTGCACCGGACTCAACAGAGTTCTCTCCGTGTGTAGCAGAGCCGGGCTCGTATATGATCGGCGAGAACTTGTACATGGAAGCCCTTGCAGCCATCGGGGGGTACATGTATACCGATTCCAGAACGTACGGCGTCGGATCGTCGACCGTGCTGTTACAGTCTCAGGGTAAAGAAACACCAGACTACCTCGACACAATTGTCGAAAACCTTGCCTTCGATATTGGTGCTGACAGAATTTCATTCGGACCCATGGAGCTGGCGGACTTTGCGAGCGATTTGCTCAAAGAGAGACTATTCGAGCCACGAGATTGCAGCTTCTTGCAATTGTCATGCCAGAGCGATGACGAGGAGAAGAAGTCTTACTGGGCTCTGACCTTCGCGGAATGGGCTGAGATGAACGAGGAAGATTTCGATGAACGAGCGTCGGACTGTGGGTCAGAATCAAGTGAGCTGACAGACTGTGACACACTATCGGATAACTACAACCCGGAAGACAAGATTGAGCCAGATGAAGACCCCTACGACTTTGTGCCAGGGTTGACGACTTGGAGTGTGTATTGGAGGCGCTCACGTATTCTCAAACGCCTATTTACCAAGTCCTTGCGCGCAACTCGAGTTGGGATCAAGCAATTCAAGCGATCAGCACCGCCTTATTTTCCACGTCATCAACCAAGAATCTGCGATATTCCTGTGGGAGGGACTATCATTCATGTGCGGGAAATGGACAGATTGAAGTCACATGCAATCGCTGGGCGTATTCTAGCATTCTTGGAACATCAAGTCGACTGCTACCGACGGCGAGGACATAGAATCCTCATAGTTGGCACAGCACAGGAAGAAGTCAAAATGCCGACTTCGGCATGGATGTCTTCCTGGTACAATTCCGATGACCGACAATTGCTGATCAGCGTACCGTCTTGTCTACGCCACCAAGAAACTTTGATAGCTGGACAGACTGCCTGGATTCGTGAAAACAATACCAGGTTGCTCAAGAGCATGTTCAGAAGTGGGATTGTGGCTGCTCGGACGAATGATCTCTTTCAGCCACTTACGCCTTGGGAACTTGCGGTTGACAGTCCTCTCAATCAGCAGCTCTCCTCAAAACGACTTCCGTTCAATGTTTGGCGGCGCTTTGTGGTAAGTGCCGAGTTAAAATTGCGCACCTCCAAGACTTTCGATTTGGCCGACTTGGAGGCCGTTGTCAAACGGACAATATTAACACCTCATCTACGAGGAAAGAAGCAGACTCTGGGAACCGCGAAGGGGGAAGCCAGTGGTGGATCGGAGGGCGAGGGAAAATCCACTGAACCAAAAGGCGAAGGGAAACCTACTGAAGTAAAGAACGGAGACAAGCCTAATATATCAACTAGTGGCAGCAGCTCGAATGATGTGGCCTTGACTCTTGACTTTGAGGAACTCAAGGATGATTGTGATAAATATGAACAAGCCATGTTATCTGGCATTGTGGAGGCAGGTGAGTGGCGCCCCCAGCTTCTTCAAAGATCATGGCTGATAGGACAGGAAAACTAAAAACGACCATGAATGATATCGAACTTGATCCTTCAATTATCGAGGCGCTTGAAGACATGACGATGCTACCTCTTCGACAACCAGAGCAGTTCAAATACGGGTTACTTGCCACTCAGAGAATGTCTGGTGCTCTTCTCTTCGGGCCTCCGGGCACCGGAAAGACGCTTCTTGCAAGAGCCATTGCTCAGCGCAGAAGTGTCCACGTTCTTGAGGTTTCGGGCGCCGACGTACACCAGAAGTATGTCGGCGAGGCCGAGAAGATCGTGCGGGCGATCTTCTCTCTTGGTCGCAAGCTGAGGCCGTGTGTTGTCTTCATTGACGAAGCAGACAGCATCTTTGGGTCACGTTCTTCAGGGATGCACCGGGCGGATCGAAATGTGGTCAATCAATTCTTACGAGAATGGGATGGCTTGTCCTCAAGCACAGGTGGTGACATCACCATGCTCGTAGCCACAAACCGCCCCTTTGACCTAGACTCGGCGGTTTTGCGTCGGCTACCTCGCCGCCTGTTCCTGGACCTGCCCTCAGTTGGCATGCGGCAGAAGATCCTGCAAATTATGCTTCGAGACGAGCAGGTCGCGGAGGACGTGGATCTAGCGTCGATCGCCATTGCTGCGGAGAAATTCAGTGGCTCCGACTTGAAAAATGTCTGTCTCGCCGCGGCCCTCAGAGCAGTGCGAGACAGTGGAAATCAAGGTGAAGCAGATACCGCCAAGGACGCCAGCTCGAATCGAATCTTGACAAACGAGCACTTCGTCAAAGCTATGGCGGAGACTCGTGCAAGCACGGACGCAGACTTGGTGTCCCAGATACGGAAATTCAACAAGGAGTTTGGAAGCAAGGCTGGCCGCAGATAGACAAATTGCTCTCCTTGGCGTTAGAGTCTTGGAGGGCACCATCCATATTTCTCAAGCAGAAAGAGTATACCTAGTACATATTGCTATGAGAATCGTCGACGAATCATTTGCAATGCTTCCCAAGATGAACTTGATAATCGGGATCCGTCCTAGCCACCACCGCTTTGGGTCGACTGTAATTGTTGATAGTGGTGCAAGCACTTGCTCCGCACAACATCTACCTTTCATTAAACCTCCCTGGATCACGCAGCCTTTCAGGCTAAAATGGCCGATGTAACTACGAGTACTGTGGGGGAACGTAGCACTCCCAGCATTCAGTTACGCTCAAATCAAGCGGGGAACAAGCAATGCCCCGAGAATGCTTGTCGATGCTTGCACATCTTGCCCCTTTCCAGGTACAATATGGAGCTCGTCCACCCTCCTGGAGAAATCCATGGTTTGTGATTCGCAAAGGATGTCCGTCACTGAGATCCATTGTAAAGAGCCCAGTAAAGGTTACATATTTGGCTATTCTCCGGTGTCCACCGAGGAAAGAACCCCGTTAGAAAGCCCCAGTGACGCCCCCAAGGACACATGGGGGTGCGGATATCACGGCAACCTCGTACTTCTCATGGCAATTGGAGTATATCTAAACGTGCCTAGCAGCTTAAAGTACTAAAGATGCGCACTTGAGCGCTCACTGGAAGCTTCAACAACAGTTACCTGGTTCCTGGCTGGATTCCCAAGTCATTCAGCTCACCGCGATGTCGTTCGTCAAGAGGTTTGTGCACAATGATGCAATTAAACTGGATCCTCCGGAGATCTACAATTGGAGAGTATTCTCCCTTGCTGCTGCCGCCTGTTTCGGAGGCACATTATTCGGAATGGACATAGGCATCATTGGAGGTGTACTCACGTTACCAGACTTCAAAAACGAATTTGGTCTTACAGGCTTGAGTAAAAAGGATGCTTCAAACCTTTCTGCGAACCTCGTTTCAGTCATGCAAGCTGGGGCCATTCTTGGAGCCCTCGTTGCGAATCCAATGGCGGACAGGTGAGGATCGATACAATATATGGTGCTAGAACATGAAGCTCATAAAAGACAGATTCGGGAGGAAACCTAGCATTATGGTCGTCGCAATCTTTGCCTTTATCGGAGGCTTGCTTCAGGCGCTGTCCTATGGTAGCTTGGTCTGCTTTTATATCGGTCGGTTTGTTGAAGGTCTAGGTCTCGGTAAGTGCTTCTCACCGTGGCGGAAGCTCAGGCTACCCAAGAAAACGGCCTGACCTCTGATCTTGAAACAATACTAAACATCGACAATAGGTGGCGCCACTGTAAGTCAATATCTTACACTAAGTCGAACATGAATCGAAGCAATAGTCTGACAACGTCGAAGATGATCGCACCTACCTATGTTGCCGAAAATGCTCCCCGCGGAATTCGGGGACTTCTGGTCGGCTTTTATCAGTTGTTCGAAACCATGGGCGCGATGATTGCTTTCTTCATCAATTATGGATCCCTGCTGCATTTCAAGGGTAAAGCAACATGGATGGTGCCTCTCTCCATGCAATCTTTGCCGCCTCTACTGTTGTTCATCTCAATATTCTTCCGCCCAGAGTCTCCACGTAAGTTAACAGTCCATATTCATATAATGCTCAATGCAGGTGCATGCAGTTCTCTGCCGAGGGGAGCACTAACGACGAGTGGCAGGCTGGCTCGCCTCAAGAGACAATTGGGACAAAGCTTCACAGGTTCTTTCTAGCGTACGACAATTGCCAGCGACACATCCATATCTTCAAGCAGAGCTTCTTGAAATGCAGACAACCTTGGAAGCCGAAAGAGACCGTTCGGGTGGAAACGGTTACTGGGCTCTCACAAAAGAGGCATGGACGATCCCTGGCAACCGCCGGCGGTCACTGATGGTAATTGGGTTAATGACGGCTCAGCAATGGACAGGTACCAATGCTATCAATTAGTAGGATGCCTACCTGAACCCGTCCACAACTTTTCGCTAACTTGACTAGTTATGCCCCGACTATTTTCACTGCTTTGGGGGTGACAGGGACAACAAACTCTCTTTTTGCCACAGGCGTGTATGGCATTGTCAAGATGGCGTCCTGTGCTATCTTCATCACGTTCCTTGCCGACACATTGGGCCGACGACTCTCATTGGTGTGGACTGGCCTTTTCATGTGGTTCTGCATGTTTTACCTTGGGTTTTATGTCCGATTTGATCCGCCAAAGACTGGGGAGCCAATCAGCAGCGCAGGTACTGCAGCCTTGGTCATGGTCTATCTTTTTGCGGCTGCATTCCAATTCGGATGGGGCCCTGTTTGCTGGATCTACTCTAGTGAGATCTCTAGCCAACGACTTCGAGGATTGACCGTATCCTATGCAGCGGCAACCCAGTGGGTATTCAATCTTGCAGTCGCGAGAGCCACGCCGGTCATGCTGAACACAGTAGGAGCCAATGGATATGGCACTTACTTCATCTATGGTTGCTTCTGCTTTGTAGTAGGGGTTGGTGCGTTTTTCCTGGTACCAGAAACTAAAGGGGTAGGCAGCTTTCGGACACCTTGTCACAAGATACCGTGCTAACTCGAAAGCAGCTGACCCTGGAACGAATGGACGAATTGTTTGGAGTAACTGACCTCTCAGGGGTGGAAGATGTAGGTAAGGCTGCCACTCATAGCAAGCTAGACATTGAAGCTGTGCATGAAGAGGGTCAGCCGATCCATCTTCAGGATAAGTGAGGCTTCAAATGTACGTTATTATGTAGCATTGGCCGCAAGATGGCACAAGTGGTTGGTTGGAAGAAGGTCGCTGCAGCGGAATGTGGGAAATTGGCAGGCTTGGATGATCAGTAGCACGAGTAGGAATGGAGAGTGTATCTGTGACACTCGAAGGTTCTCTGTGGCCAGGGATCTGGCGGATGAAGTTGCAACTTGCAGATGACCCAAGAGTTTTCGGGCGTCGTCGCATACCAGTAAGGCAGGTCGTGCATATCACGACGGATGCGGTGGACATAATCCTCCATAAGTACTGTCTGCATTAGCGACACAGATTCTTGACCTGGACCAACACCCGATTGAGGCCAGACAAAGAAGAAGCAAGCAGGCGAGGGATGCTCAGCTACTGGGAGCAACTACCCCCCATTCAACTGGCTGCTTTATTACCAGTTCTTCTCATCCTCATCATGCCCTGCGAGGCTGAGCTAGTCGCTCAGGTTTCATACAACGAGTCCGGTGTGCATCTCGTCTTGAAGATGATTGGGTTGGTGTTTATTGAAGTGCTACTATGAACATGACGTGTAGAAAACATCTTATTGCTGACTTGCCCGTCACCGCCAGCAACGCTAAGCTGTCTCCAGAGCGTCCATGCGGCAAGACCCCATGACCTTATCTTTTGTTGGCATCGCTTGCCAGAGGATTTTCTGGGGCGGTCTCCGACCCTGGTTTGCTATTTGACAGTGGCCCACAGGCTGTCACTTTGCCGGGTCCTAGGGCCTCAGAGGCCCGCAGATGGGAATAGGCGATAGTCCATCAAATCAGTAGCGTGGGGAGCTGCATTTCAAGATGGATTTCTCCAATTATTGGCGGTGGATAAGCCAAGTTTTGGTGCTCTGACCAGCTGTGGCACCTGGAAATAGACTATTTGTATCCGTTGGAGAAGACGTTGATAAGCCTGGCTTTTCTCCTCTCTCAACGTCGTTTCTTGCCTCACCAACGATTTTGAGACCCTCGCACAAGCTTCACCAAAGACCACTGGGATCTACTTCCTTCAATTCTTTTACTACAAATCAGTCCGTCCTTGCGGCACTGTGTACTTAGCTACAACCAGCTCAAGGCACAGACAAACCAAGATTACTTCGTGCTACAGTTTCAAGGTCTTGTGTGGCCAGAGAAACACTCGAACAAGCAAACAAAGGAACAAAGGAGAGTTTATATCACCAACTTTGATCTCGTCTTCCATCTTTCTAGTGTCAAAGCAAGCCATTTAGTATCAACACGCTGATGTCGGTTGATATACGAACTTCTTTGCCTTCACTTTCATCTCGAGCTCTCGCAACCGTGGCGAGAGCCCAATTAAGTTCCGTCCATACCGGAGATCTTACTAGACCCATTGATAGAGGTTGAACTCGAGCCGAAAACGAACAGCAAAGAAAAGGTAGGTTGATCGGTCCTGTTTGACCTTTGCACTAAACTTAATTACAAGGACCATTTTTCCCAACTCTACAGAAGAACTAGACGCTGCGCCCATCGCAAAACTTGCCCAGCATGGCTCTCCCTAGTGCTGCTGTGCCCATCTTAGATTCCGCTTTGATGCACGAAAAACGAAGCTCGATTGCAGAGAAGCTCGCCCCAAGCGCCAACACTAAACCCGCTCGTCCGAAAGGTGTTCGCATTCTCGCTCCACATGAGTACAAGGAAGCTGCAGCATGTCTTGCTGAGGCTTTCAAGTCCGATCATGTTGTTCGCTATGCCATTGACACTCCCGATAGACTTCACTTGAGTGAAGAGGAGCGCTATGCTTTGCATACAGCTGGAATGGAATACGTAGTCTATGCACATATCCTGCAAGGCCTCGTTCTAAGTGTCGGTGAGAACTATGACTGTGTTGCCTTATGGTTGCCTCCTGGTAAGAACATCGATGACTGGTGGACTATCTTACGAAGTGGCTTGTGGAGAATGAACTACAAGTTATCTGCGGAAGGAAAGATCCGGTTCTTCGAGGAGTTCCTTCCCTTACTCGGTCGCACCAAGGCAGAGGTACTAGGAGAGAGAGATTCCACGTCATGGTATCTGAACTATATCGGCACAAAACCATCAGCTCGCGGTAAGGGATATGCTCGGAAGTTGATTGATTACGTGGGCAGCCTGGTAATTATTGAATTCGACAAGTTGGTAACGGTAGTCGCTAACTTTGTCAGGCCGATGAGGCGGGACTTCCATGCTACCTCGAGAGTTCTCACGACATCAATATCATTATCTACGGCAAGATGGGCTATGAACTCAAGAAGAAGATCTACCTTCAACGAGCTGCCCATGAACTCAGACTTGATGTGATGGTCAGAGAGCCAGCTGCCGTCAGAGAGAAATCAAGACTGATGGCTGAAGCCGAGACGGGATAGTTCTTCTCTTCGGAAGGATCACCGAAACGGTTGGCGCGCAAGAGTTAGAACGAGGGAGGGCAGACGAAGGCAATTTGACGGATGAACGTGTCTTTGTCTTGTTTGGATGTTTGTCTCTATTTTTGTTATATACACGCTCTTTTAGGATATGCCAACCAACTCCACTCAATACATGGGTACCTAGGTATAAATCATCACCCAGGTCAAACATGTGACTGATGCCACAAGGCTATCTCCTCGAGGCTTTGGTGGGAAGGAAAGACCACGGATAAGAAATCCTAGCGCTTTCCCTCGGGGGATCCTAGGCGCGCGTTAGGCTGTGGTTAGGCAAGCTTAAAGTGGCGACATGGGGGTCTAAATGGCAGCAAAACACGTCAGCGGTTTCACGCCGCTTCTGTCTCCTAAACACTTCAACTCCCTCACTTTCATCACCAGCGACCACATCCACCAGCAAGTCTTCATTCATTGTTTCAGTCTATCGTTACCACCAATCTTGTGCTTCTGTACCAACATTGTTACTACCGTTTGCATTGAATAGCCACGAATTACGCCGATTCATCCTCAACGTTTCCGACTCACGGCCTCTGCTCCCTTAGACAATCGCCGTTGTGACAGGCAGATGACAAACTCACATTGTTCCCGGTCTTGTTGACCAGTCTGCCGAAAATATACCATCTAGGTCCTCAGATATACCAAGATGGCGACCTACTCGAGCCCTTCCTCATCACCCCCTCCCGGGCCTACACGCCGGCGCCTGAACAACTGCGCCAGTGCTTGCGAGCGTGGGTGCTGCGCCTTTGCCACATATTTCCCTCTGGCCTTTGTATACAGTCTCAGTGCATGGGGAGTATATGTCTGCTCTAAGATCGGGTTTGGCGACACTGGCTCGAAAAATGTATGGTGGGCCGTGCAAGGCATCTCGGCATTGGGGATACTCTTCTGTTTCCTCGCCAATTTGTCTTACACTATAGCCATCTTTACAGACCCTGGCTCGCCTCTGAAATCAACCAAAAGCAAACAGCAGGGTAAATACTCGATACTTCCTACCAGCGAGCCGTCAAGCGATCACGGCCCGGTGCAAAATATCACTGTTTCATCCACGGGAGCACCCCGATATTGTAAAAAGTGTCACACTTCAAAACCCGACCGCACCCATCATTGCTCGACATGTCAGAGATGTGTCCTGAAAATGGATCATCATTGTCCCTGGCTTGCGACATGCTTAGGACTCCACAATTACAAAGCGTTTGTGTTGTTCCTCATCTATCTCTCTTTGTTTGCCTGGATGTGTTTCCTGAATGCGTCTTGGTGGATGTGGAAAGAATTGTTTGAGAAGAGTGGATACTTGGAGGACACTGTACCTTCGGTCAACATCATTCTACTTTCCGTGATAGCCGGGATACTGGGCTTGGTGCTGTCGGGTTTCACGGGTTGGCATGTTTACCTTTGCTTAAGAGGACAGACCACGATTGAGAAACTGGAAAAGACTCGATACCTGAGCGGAGTACGGAGTCGAGTTGAGAGGAATAGACAAGAACAGCAATCCAGTCACCTCCGGCGCTCGTCTGAGGGTGTGGCTGAACGACTACATCGTGCAGGGGAACAGATCCTTGAGTTCCACGCTAATGCCGTACCTGGCGCTTCACGATATGAGGAAGGCGAAGAGCATACGTCTCCTGTTCCTAGTCTGTACAACTCTCAAAATTTCTCCACTGAGCCACAGCAACCCGCAAACTACACAGAAGGTTCAGGGAACAATTCGGCTAATGACACACCTGCACTCCGCGCTCTGAGGCGGACATATTCCTCGATTGAGGCTGAGCGCGAAAGGGCACGATACGATGAATACCTCGACGACAAAGAGTCGGCCAAGCTTCCTAGCGCTTTCGACCTGGGATGGAAGAGGAATTTGAGGCATCTTTTCGGCCACAATCCACTCCTTTGGGCGCTTCCAGTCTGCAACACCACTGGTGATGGCTGGAATTGGGAGGTTAGTACGAAATGGGCGCTCGCTCAGGAGGAACTCAGCCGTAATAAGGAAAGACGCCTAGCCGAAGCGGCAAATCAGCGACATGCCGGATATAGTGCCAGCGTCAACATGCGTGGTGGAGGTGGACGATACGAAGCGTATGAGCGTGACCGCGAGCACGACTCTGACGACGAGAACCATCTACATCATCACCAACAGATTCACGGCTATGGGAACTATCATGAGGATGGCGATTTCTTTTCTCGCAGTGCCGTGTCGATGCAGACACTGTCACAACGTAATCAGCCACAACACCCAGGTGAAGTTCCAGACAGAGGTCGACGGCGCCAGCGTCGTGACTTCGACAGGGCAGGGAGCGGAGAAGTTGGATCATTCGAAGTAAGCAGCGACGACAGCGATTCCAACTCTGACGTCGCATACAAAGCCGACGCATTTGCCAAGCACAGCGGGATCCGGAATGATCGTCTGCCAGGGTGATCGGGCTGGATCATTGTCTCGGAACGTCATCTGGAATGACCTTACCCGTCTGTATCTAAATATTGGAATGCTCATTGAACGGAACCCGCAAGCGATTGAACGACTCTGGATATTGGCACTTCCTACAATGAGCAGCGAAATGGAATTGGAATTGGAAAGTTCGGGTCGGCTTTTCGTGCCTAGATTATGGACTTGGAAAATTATTTGAACCGTGCATAGCGATAGTGTTGGATAGATAACATGTTCAATTGACATTGCGATTTCGGCTGGGTTGCTCGTTCTCGACGTCCAGGAGCTCTGCAGCAATACTTCCCCCCGAACGTGAATTCTCAACTACGTGTAGTCCCTTCTCTTAGAACAGCCAAGCACCAACGCTATCGACCGCAGTCTTGCCGTACCACAGTATCCTAACACAATCTAAATAGAAGAACAGCCAGATCGCCAACATTGAATAAAGAATATGGGTCGCCCCCAGAACATCTCTATCGTCTCCGCTGGCCAGAAAAGGCCAACAATATCAGGCCCCGGAAGCACTTCTCAGTAATTTTGATAGATAGTACATAATCGAATCAAAAGAGGAAAACGCCGAACACCAGCGCCCCAATTTGCTTTTTCCAATCTGATCGTGACACGCTGGTCACTCTTGGGGTATCAAAGGCCAAAAAATGATATCAAAATATTAAGTATAGCGAACACATAAGGAAACTGTTGATAAAAAGGTCCCGAGAGGAAACGATGTGATGAAGCAGGCGCTCTTCCAAACTTTTTTGGCGACAAAAAGTCCTCGCCCAAAACCCCAACACAAACAACAAATTTGGTTGAACGACACGAGGGAGAAGGAAAGCGCTCGTCTAAACTTTTTGAGTTCGGGGGAAAATATGGTGGGCTGGGTGCCTTAAAAAATTCGGGATAAATCAGAGAGCCGCTGGAATGCTCTGAGGTGTTTGTTATATATACAATTTCGGGTCGGCTTAGGGGGGTTTATCGATGAGGTGTTGGGTTGTGAGGGTTGGTAGCCGGAGTGCCTGAGGTTAGGAGAGTAAGGTAGCAGTTTAACGGGGGCAACAGTGGCTGCTGTTGAACTTATGTTGTGTATTTATTTGCGTTTTGATGGTAACAGTCGTCAACGTCCGAAGGGATCTGGAGTGAGACTAGACTTGCGTGGTTGAGCGTTCAGGTGCGGCTTCAGCGCAGTGGTTCCAAGAGAGCGAAGGCTGATATCAAAGCCGTGGATTGGCAAATTTTCTTCGTCCTCGGGGATCTTTCTTATCTTGTGGAAGCGGCCGGAAAGTGATGGCAACTTCAGACTCTGTATCGACACCGAGATCTTGATGCCCCAGCGAGGAACCCTCCAGCGTAAGATGTCGGCTACAAAACACTGGAATGTGCCGGTCAGTACTGCCAGAAATAAAAGCCCAATAAGCCCAAACATTCCTACGGTGGCCAAAAATGACCAGAAGTTCTGTCGGATGAAAGGCGTGACAAGTTCGGGTTTGCTGATCGAGAACAGGCTGAAAGCCAGCCCGATTGAGCTTATCATCAGCATCATCTTCATGGATTGTCCTGCCGTGTTCACGGTTGCCATGTTCAAGTCGACTCCAAAATCGGTTTTGAAAGTGGTCCAGTCGTCAGTCTGCTGGTCAAGTTCCTCTTTCAATCGCTTCAATTCTTTGATCCTTGTTCTGATAGGGCGAAGTAATGGGCCGTAAGGAGCTGATTCGGCACCGTCGAAACACCTGAAGATGCGGTCGTTGCATAAGTCCTCGCATGAGGTGATGATCGAGGATAAGTTCTTTGACACTTTTTTGGAATGATGGTTGGCGGTCCTGATACTATTTTTGGCTTCTTCTCGAGAGTATCTGGTCGCAACTGGGACCAAAGTCTGCTCCCACCGTCGGCTGCATTTCGTAAGCATTGCGACCACTTTCTCCTGCTCATACGTAACTTGCTGAAGGCGAATTCTGAGTATGGTGAGGAAGTATTCTCTAGGTTTTCGTGTTGCAATATCTCTGTCGACTTCCGAACGGCCTCGAGTAAAAGGGTCGGCTCTCATACCTTGGGCACGAAGACTGTCTTCAACATAGGAATGAACTGTTTCTCCATCGCCTTCTTTTTCGAAATAATTGTCGACAAGACAATATCCATTCCATATGTTTTCATCGGGCCCTGCTATTGTGCATGAAATCTGTGCTTCATAGAGGAAGAACCTTTTTCCTACGTTGGATTTTTCGCAAAGCAGTGTAACATCGTGGCATTGCCTGAGTGGAGTTCGATTGGGCCATTTTCGCGGGTCTTCTCGAGCCGATAGTGAACTTCTCAGTGCAAAATAGGGCAGGTTGAAAGTCAGATGGAATGTGGGTAAGCCCTCTAAGACAGCATCGTAGTTACAGTAAGGCTTGAACTCGAGATGCCTATAGAGAGTAGTTTGTAAGTGAGCCACCTGAAAATGGGGTGCTGTTCCGATCAGACTGTGGATAGCCCAAGCATCTGTATCAGTGATATATATAAGTTGTTGTTCGGCGTCAGGTTCGTCGTCTTGAATCGCCCCGAGGTTCGTTTTGCTAGACGATGGTCGCTTGGAGCGCTAATAGTCTCTGTTAGCCTGAAGTTCGAGAGATCATCGGCGAAGATTCAATACTGACCGCTTTCTTCAGTCGCCCGTACAATTGCAATGATGTAAATGCCATGATATCCAGTCTTGCACCATCACGGCCCTGTTCGATTACCATTGCCACAGAGTTGGAGCTTAGAATTGCTTTGCCCGATAGCCCTGCGCGGGCCAATCGGAGGGTTTCGAGAGAAGCTTCAGGGCAGCCCTGGCAAAACTCCGTCACTGTGTCTGCCATGGGTAGGCAAACTTCATTCTCATGCCCGGCTCTCATGAACATGCGAACAGGGTTAGCGTCCTCATCATCCTCAGCAATATCGTCTTCATTGGTTCTTCCACCGTCTTGAAACCTCAAATCTTCAACAGTCTGATCGTCGGCTTCGTCATTGAGAACCTCTTCCAGAGTTTCGATGTGGGGCTTGTTTGCCATGGCGAGGCTGAATGCTTGGCGCCCGCCGAAATTCGGTGTCCATTCATCCATGGCGGGTGAACTTGATATGCCGAGAACTCGTGATGCTGTTGTAGATCGCAAGATGGAGCGATGATCCAAATGTTTCAAAGCTGTGACTTGCGTCCAGAAGCACCGGGCTCGAGATATACTCTGCCATTCTCTAGACCAGGCGTCCAGGTGACCTGGAGTGAGTATCGACATCTCGACGCCCCTTTACAGCACCCGTGAGCAGCCAGCTCAGGACTATGACTCCAAGTAGCGTCCGATGCGTCCTCGGAGGGATCTCGTGAAACGTCTACGATCGATATCATTTGGTAACCTTCTCTGTCTTGCAGAATCTATCCCTCAAATGAGAACAGTTTGTACAATTCTGGATGGTGATACGAAGACCAGGCTGGCCGCATTTACACTATTGGTTCGGTAGTCATAGTTAGCTTCTCCACAACGTCTACGGGTAGGATCGAACCATAGCTTCGGGCACTCACGCAAGACCAGATAAATACCACCACCTTCTTTCTCGAAACTGTCTTTGGTGGCATTGCTTTGGGCAGCTCTGCGTTTGGGAAAAATTCGATTGGATCCGGAGCTTCCAAGAAGAGAAAGACAAGGTCAGCCCCTGTCGCGATAAGTGAGATTATTGGCTGGGCAACCTACTAGCACGTTATCGCCTCAACAATCCGAAATTCAGTAGCAATACAGACTCAAATTATCTATTTACGACTTTTACGACGCTATCGCTGCATAAATGATGTTATGAGCGGCATGAGCCCACCAAGTCGATACCAAATCATGAAACATATTGTGCTCCGCGATTTGGATTCTTCTTCCCTGAACCAAATAGACTGTTACAGAACGCCGAAATTGCCTGGACGAGTTGATAATGTTCGTGATCTAGCATCGCACAGAGTACTTTGACGTTTCGCGTGTCTACATAAGGACTCCTGTTCCAAGGTGTTAGCGTTGTTGCCAAAACAGGGCTTCAGAACAATAGGCGCAGGCATCTCCTTGGGCACAAACGCCGATGCCTTCTCAGACCGCTAGTTTGCCCGAACACATTATATGAGCAGGCATCCAGGCTTGTGCAACACAATAATTCCTGCTTCGATGCTCAGCCCGGGCCAAAAGGGCCATCGATGATCTCGGTGGCATTCTACCCAACTGGTTTAACTAGGCTATCCTCAATTGCTGGCCATTCGAGGCCAATAATTGTCAATGCACATCATTCTCTCTGCAAATAAAAGTCGTCTCTCGTTAATGCTTCTGCGGAAGTGCCCGAGCCAGCCGGGTAGAATATCTTCTTCAGGACCATGAGACACAAGGCGAGAAAGACGCCTGCGATAGCACGGTCTATGGTGATTGCCTGCTGCTCTCGTTGGCGGCCTCCATTGCCATGGGGCAGCAGTTGATGCGCCGAATTGTTGTTAGTCGCGGCTGTTGCGGCTGCGAGTGGTGCAGATTGTGAATGGATTGAGGTGAGTGGTCGCGTCGATGGCCCATGAGCGGAGAGATCCGCTGCTGTTAGCACAGCCTCTGCGCTGGCCTGTGTCGCTTCGGCACTAGGTGTCGGTACGAGGGGAATGGAGCCTGGTGCCAGGGTGGAGGAGTTTGGAGAGAGCGAGCCTGACCTTATATGAGAATTTAAACGTGGAGGAGTGTGTGGTTCTGGCGTCGTTGACGGTTTAACCATAGTCGTTGGCTGTGGTGATATGATGCCAGATATTGACGCCTGCTCTCGTCGCTGTAGCTGTCCATCCTGCGCTGTTTCTTGCGATGCGGTGTCATTCTTGGGCTGCTCTTGCGCCTTGGGCACTCGTGCTTCAAGCTTCATTCCCTCGGGCAATGCTTCCAGACCAAGATCTTCTTCTTGTACATTGATCCCCGCTTCGTGACAAATCTCCCACCAGTCCCTCATGACCACCTCGTTCGTTTTCTTACACGCATCACACCTCCACGTACGACTTTCTTTTGCCAGACGTGCTCTTACTTCCTTACTGGCTTCTAGACCACCCACTTGACCTGCACTGCCTTGTTCTGCCATAAAAGAACGTAGTGCAGTAAGTGCTGTCCGCACACCCCAGGCTGGCATCCAGGTTTCCTCATGAAATCCCGAAATGCTTAGACAGATCTCGCGATTGACTTCGAATCGGCCCGAGGGAGTAAGGAAGCGGAAGTTGGGTGGTTTTAATGGATATGTAGGTGGTAATGTGATGCGCCCGTGATACATGCCACCAGAGTATGGAGAGGGGGAAGGAGGCCCCAACAGCGTGAAGTGCCAGTCATGGAGGTCGGCATCGGATACAGGTGCAGCATAGAATGCCGGGTTAGGGTTTGATGATGGAGAAGACAGCTCAGCTGTCTCTTTGAGAAGTCGGCGGATAGTTGGAGAGGGGGCCATGTTGCAGAGTCGCAGGCCGGAGTCTGCCTCAAGATGAAGTCATCGGACTGCTCGCAAGAGACGAAACTCTACCAAGCGCCTCTACCGTCGCCGAAAGACGACAAATGAACAGATGAACCCGGGCAGGAAGTAATCGATAGTCCCCTCTAGTATATATGAAATCAGGTTGTAGATACGTCGCTTGTTGGGGTTAAAAGGATTAGGTGTTATATTATTCCATGACTATCGCGCGAGGCTGAGCCGGTAGATATTCGGCTAGCTGCTCTAGAAATGCTCTAACGTTTTGAAGCTAGCTTGGCTACGTGGATCAGGCGGCACGCAGATATTCAAAATAGGCTTTCTCAGCCTTGCTGTTATTTCTCATTTGGCCTTGACCTTTTCCGCCAGCCAACTCGGAATTTCTGGCCGAGTCTTCCACCCACTCTGCCAACCCGTCTGATCTGCTTCGGCACTAGCTGGCAAGGCATAAACTGCCGTCACAAGCCAGCTATCCGACTCGGCAGCAAAATCCGCTCTCAGACTAGGTAGCACCGACCTGCTTTCTGTCAGATTACTATTTGCATCCTCGTCCAGCGCTTTACCAGCTCGAAGCTTGGATTGATGGAGCTCTACTATGCCGACGACACCACCTCTCGACACTGCCAATGATGAGTCGTGAGTTTCCAAACGCCCTTCACTCTCTTGTGCATCGAGTGCTTGGAGTTCTCGCTCATCCTTGGCAGAAACTCCATGAAGTGCAAACGCGCCTTCACTTGATTTCAATGCACGCTTTGTGATCAGATGGTGTGCGCGCAGATGCCAGTTTGGAGAATTATCAGTTGGGGGAATGAGATAAGTCTCAACTGATACGTCTTTCCAGGGCTTCCATGACGAGACCAGGATTGGCGAACCATCAACTGTCTCCAGCCGGGCGTCCAATGGTTGCTTTCGAACTTTCCAGGACTCCCCTTCATCATCGGAAAATGCAATCATACTGTCGCCTCCAATGGCTTCTACAAAGTATCCGCCAGTCGGGACCGAGTAACCGAAAGCGGAACTGTACGCAAATTTCCCATATTTGGATTCTGATGCCCGTACCGGATAATGACATGCTTGTCCCGAGGACAAGAGGAATGTGTGCCCACCTTTGTTGACCATAATATGCAGGGGATGTTTTAATGCCACAACCTTTGATACTGATGCTGTTGGAAATGGTTCCTCCTTGGCCTGCCAGAAGGCATGAGACTCGGGTAACGCCAATGCGACGAATCCCAGCATGAACCAATATGTCGAGCCAGGGGAGTTATAATTTTCGGAGAGAAATTGATTAGGATAGTTGTATCCTATGGTTAGCAATCCGCTGTGGGTAAGTATATCCTTCTGCTGTGACCAGTGACGAAGATTCCTGAGCAGGAGACCTTTTACCACACCACACGTGAAAGGAGGGTCAAGATCCAATTCTGCAAATGCCACCGCTGACCAGAAGCCTGCAGTCGCAAATCGATAGGTGAGTGATCTCCCGAATGTGATTCCTCGCCCTATATCATGTTAGAACACCCAAGGATATTCTCCGAGATGACTCACTTACCTTCCTCGTCCCAATAATGGACAAAATCTTTCGCAAATAACTTGGCACGAGTTTTATACTCTTCCGCTCTCTCCTTATCGTCGTGACCATTAATCTTCACATACAACAGCTGCAGTAACTGTATCGCAAAAGAGCCACTATAGTAGTCCATCTGCCGATGCGAACTGGGCCCATCGTTGGACCAGCCATCGCCACGATAGAAGGTATCGAGATGATCCAAGTCAGCCTCAAGCCGCTCAGGCGAATACTCAGCACCATTTGTCTTGAGCGCCAAATTCGCAAAAACTCGAAACCACAACCAGTTTGTATTCGGCATTTCCCTGTTGTTGATCCAGCCGAGCCACTTTTGCACATTTGACTTTTCTTTCTCAGTCAGCGGATCCCACAGCTGCTTCGGCGCAACACAAAGGGCGAATCCCATCGGACACATTTCGACCATGCGCTGATCGAGATCTTTCGCATAGCCCCAAAACTCGGGGTGCTCGGGATTAGTGCCATTCCTCAGCCCGTCTAACCACAGCTCTGTGCCTGAAAATGTATCGCCGCTGGCAAGCAGGGCGCCGAGACCCCACATCGGACGTGTGAAGCCTTCGAGCTGCGCGCCTGTCTCATCGTATCGTGTCGCCGTGGCACCCAGACGTAGTCGTGTTCGACCAGAGGAAAAGAATGGTATGAGGGGCGTTAATAGTGACTTGCACGCCTCGAGGACTTGTGCACGTGTCTCCAATGGACTATTCAAGTCCGTGAAGTATGGTGGACTTCTTGATGACTCGGCCATCACTCCCAAAGCGTCCCAAGTGACGCTAATCCGATCTCGAGTATTGCATATGATATTCCGAATCTTGGTTCAGTTTCTCATCCTTGTACGAGAGAATTTGATCTACACGATCAATGTAATGAAAACAGTGGTTCACCCCTTGGCTAGATGGCCCACCAGCAGGACAAAAAGACAAGGCTGCAGGATCAGGGGCTCGCGAATATCAGACACTAGAAAAATCCCAATTCACTTTCAGGGTCCATGTACCAGTTCAGAGGGATGGGCGTCCCTTTTGTAGCGACGTCTTCTCGACTTGGGTTGATGGGTTGACCCCCAACCCATCCCCAGACCCATTGGGCGAGAGGACCAAACGTCAAGCGAAGGTCGCGTGGTCCGCAGCTTTTTTGGAGATTCGCGAAATCTAAACATCTCCGCACGATCGAATTTAGCCAAATTTCATGTTTTACATAACGTGATTTGGACCTTGAGCTGTTATTCGTGGGAGAATGTTTTCCCAATGTTTACGTGGGGGTCAGTTTGTCGTCGCTCTGACCAAGTCGGGATTGCGTAATTCTTTGAGACCAATGTGTTGGGGGTACGTTATTGATGTCTTCGTAAAATGCTCGTCACTGTACGAAAGTCCGCTATCGTTTGGATCGCGGAGTCGTTGGTCGCGCTTTCAACATTTTTCAGGTTCCGGGTCATCGTATTCGTAGCTCTTATATGTACATAGACCCTCATTATACAATATACCCAAGGATTTCATATTTCTGAGCCAGGTTACCAAGGAAAACGTTAATTGAACGCCTTTGATTACTTCCTCCTCCATGTCCGTGATTGAACGCTTTTGCTGAATTACAGAAACGCCTTGCCTGAAAATAAGATCTGGTCCTCATATGTCATAACACCATGAAAGCGGCCTAGTTGGTCAATCTCCGTACAGTGTCTTCAGATGCTCTCCGTAATCACAGCATTGTACCAGAATGATCGTAGGTCGAATCTCGGGTCGCAATGGGTTGGCCGTTATTCTTAAGTCCGTCTGGTTCCTCTGGTACGGATTGGTTCCGCTGATCAATGGTTTCGTTTATCCTACCAAGGAACATCTTGTATATGTCCCCGTTTGAAGGTTCCCAATCCACCATGTCCCTGTGTAAGTTAGTCAGGGAATTACAATCTCGGCAACGAATAGCTTACGGTACGCCTCACCATTTCAACTCGCCATCCAAGCGTAGAAAGCGGTGCAAAGCATCCTTGTCGTCTCCAAAGCTCACGAATTCTATGCAGACAGCTGTTTAGCGAAGGTTGCTACCCTTGGTGTTGTGATAAGTCTCATTAAACTCGACAATCTTTTCATCAACGGCCATGCTGTGCTTTCCCATAGCTTCCCATTTCCCATCCGTGAGGACAATGGTACTTTAATCTTTGGTTTTGTAGAATCGCCTAAATCGCCCCACCCACTCGTAGAGGATTCGTCCCAGTGCAGTGGCAATATCCGTGTGAACTTCGTGAACAGGTCTCCCTTTAGTATTTACTGGAAAGCATCGAGTCTCGAAATGTGGCTGTCCATTTGACGTTGTCTACTTTGAAGTAAGAAGCCGTAAACCTCAGATCCATGCAATCTTTGTCCAAGTTTTGACACTTTTTGGTTAGTCGGTTACGAACAAAACAGACTGTATGCCAATGCTGCCCCAGCGACTGGGCGTGATCCACAAGGAAAAGCTACCAGCTGTTATTCTTCGATCTCCAGTCCATACGTTTGAGCTTGTACTTACCAAGTTGCCTTGTACCAGGTAGCGTGCCCAAGCAATACCCAGCATATCTGAAGATATTAGCCAATACTCGAGCGGAAGAGTTGCCTTTTCTCTCTACAATTTTATTCGTCCCACTTACAATGGAGCATAGACTTTCGAATGACTCACTGCCTAGTATTATATAACCCGGCGTGTCCCCTTTGTGCTTACCTACCTGTAGATTGTAACCCTCTTCTCAATCTCGACCTTTCAGTTTCCCGAGTCACATTGCTTTGTGCGCTGACCTGATTACATAGTGTACTTGACCCAAATCCCCTGTTCTTCGCTCCAAAAACATGTCAGACCTAGGATAGTATCCACCCGGTACCGAGAAAATGGAGGCCATGGCCCTGTCTGCCGACCCGAACTTCCCCAAAGCACTAGATAGCCCATTAGACTATGATGCAAAGAGCTTGAAGGTTAGGGTTGAATGGGGGAAGACTTTGAAGAAGCGAAAGTTTACACCTAGGTCGGAGGCATTTGCCGCAGGCTATCTCGAAATTGCAGAAGAGGCACTGGCAGTCGATGATGATGACGAACTATCTGATAGTGAGAAACTCAATCTGAAGGAGAAGGTCTTCCGCCTTGACCAATTCCTGCAAAGGAATGAGGATTTATGGTATATCCCGACACCAGCGATGCAAAAGCTTGCAGATCAAGCTGCCTTGCTGACAAAGTTGGAATTGTATGGACGATATGGCGACTACATGAACATTGAGCTCGCTCAAGTTCGGGATGCAACTCGCAAACTTGAGGAGTTGAAAAAGTATAAGCCTATCTTTGCCAATTACTGGACGTCTATTCAGACAAAGATAGAAAGTGAAGAAGGAGTAGTGGAGTCCGAAAAAACCATGGAAAACCAGTCGACTATTGTTGCTGTTCGAGCATGCGCGAAGGCATTGAACATCCCAGAAGAGCACTTATTGGAAACAATAAAGCACTATGCCAACAGAAACGAACGATTTCACAGCGATATTGAACGGCTAGTTAGCATCGGAAAGGGCCCTCCTTTGGCAAACAAGATCTTTGGGGATCTCAAATATGTTCAAGACTGCCTGGATACCGCTACACAAGACCGTGAGTTCTTAACATATCTCAAGATAATTGTTGAGAGGCTCCGGGATGACTGGTTTGTTTTTCGAAGAGAAGGGGATAAAGAGGATCCAGAGTACTGGGAGCTCTCAGATAAGGCGAGGTCTTTGAGGTCAGGAAAGGACGAAGCAACGGGTGCGGCGATAGCTGAGTACAAAGAGCAGCTGAAGGGGATAAGCGAGAACAGTTTTCAAGAGGTCATACGGCAGTATCATGGACTGAGACTAGTGATGTCTCACAAACGAAGGGTGAGGTCGGAGGCACAAGGGTACGTGCAAGAGGCCAAGAGGCGGACTGGAAAAGTGGAAATGATTCAAAACCTACATGAGGCACTCATGGATGAGCCAAGGTATAGGCAACTGATGGATTTGACCGAGACATTGGATCGATTCGGACAGGACTACCCTGCGCACTAATGTGGGCGGACATAATCTTGAAATAGGGGGAGGATCCACTATGGCTAAGAGTCGAAAAGGCCTGAATGGAGGAAAACAGGAAAATATTTGAATTTGTTTCTTTTCGAATGCTTTCGCAAGATCAAGCGAGCCAACAGTCTCGAAATTTTTCAGCTTGGCTCAAAGGGCGGTCAAGTCGAGGGGTAGATTTCTATCGCCTATATCGTTTCTGGTAAAGTTATGGAGAAGATGGGTGTGATTCAGCTCCAGAAGTATACAGAACGTGATAAGACACGATCGTCTATCGCTCTCGAGCACCCGATTTATACTGATCGGTGCAGGATCATCTTTATGGTATACGTACACATGCAATTCTTCCACGAGACAATACCCACGTGGAGATACCTCTGTTAGTCTTTGCCCTAGTTTCTGCGTGAGAACAAATTGGCGATCCTCTACCCTGTGCCTCCCGGCCGCAACCCGGACGATAGGAGTGACAGTGAGCTCATTCAGTATGGAGTAAGACCTGTCAAGTGAGCTTCTGTATTCAAGGTGTGGCGCTGATGGGAGAGATCGCGAGGTACTCGGTGGCATTGGAGCGGACGACTCCTGGCTGCCAATACTCGAAATTGCGCTTAGGAATGGGAATTTGTGCGCATCGCCTAGAAATCTCAGCCTTGCGCAACGGAAAGGGAAGGCGGATGTTTTCAGGTGTTAGAACTGGTTGAAGATGGAGAAAGACAACATTTCTAGCCTGTAGAAGGGAACGTTTGTGTCTACGAACTCAGACAAGGAACCACTGGACGGATTTGGGCTCGTGCGGGAACCACTATGCGGGAAGACTCGAGTTGACAAGTTGTCAGAGTACATGCTGGATGCGTGAGCAAGGCAGAATCGGCTAGATGGCTTTCAGTTTACGGAAGGTTGCCTGTTTGTCACCTCTTTCAATTTCCATCGACGGAGACCTCTAGAGCCTACTACAGCACAGAATCCGAGCAAACCAAACTATTGTTCTGGCAATCAGACCTAATGATGAGGGGGACCAAAAATTTCCCCCAACGACCAAGTACTCTTACAAGTGTCGTAATGTCTGATGGACTTCCAGTGCGACCGAAATTGTGCCTATGTGCTCAAGATATGCGTTTCGAACCACCGACAGCATCATGGTAGCCGAGCTATTGATCTTGTGTGACCACCCCACGTGCTCAACTTACAAAAAGGTCAGAGCTCAGACACCTCAATAACAACAGGCTGCTCTCAGTCTTTCCCCTTCCGAGCGATTTGTACCCAATCCATGCAAGAATTAGGCTTGCAAATGTCAGTGGCATACTGACCTCAAGCCAGCGTTGCATCGCAATGCTAGAAAAGCTTGTCTGAGAATTGGATGCCGACGTGAGATTTCTGATAGCTCTGTCTTGGGGTCGGTACTTTACATTATCGGTACTAAAGAGTGTCTTAGAAATTGTTAGCACTTGAGTCCGAGTCTATGTGTCAGCCTTACCGAGACAAAAGTCGCTGGTAGATAGATGAGAGTTACCACAGTGATTATTCTCGTCGTGATCGCTTCCCTTTGAGCTAACATGCTGGCATTTAGAGTGTTTCTTGTAAGACTTTCCTTGTGATCAGCCGTTTGGTCTTGTAAATGCTGAAGCATCTGGTCGAAGTTAGAATGCTCTTCATAACGAGACAAAAATTTCTACCAATGATTTTCGCCCGGCGGGCTGTTGAATCAGAAGTTTCGCTCTCGAGCTTTGCATCCCTATGTCGTAAATCGCATTTTTCAGTTGCTTTGAGAAGTTTTGAATTGCCATATGATTTAGATCAATCAGAGAAAAATGTTTCTCAGCATAGAGACCTTCATAGAAATCGCGGATTGCTGTTATGATTTGATTATTAGAATCCGCTATCATGGTTGCCTCCATGATCCAGTCTTCCTACATCTGCATATTTTGCAGATCACCAGCCTCGAGCTGTTTCTGGTACATGATTCCCTTTTCGAAGCTTCCATAGTTTACAAGATCAGTCTGTCTCTGATTAGTGAGAATAGTAGAAAATCGGCCTTAACGAACCTTATTCTCTATCAGATCCTCCAACCACCTCCAGGACTCAGCAGCCCAATAGACTATCAACACGTGTATAACAAGGCTAGCCCTGAAGCTATTTTCTGGCGTATCAAACGAGCGATCTTCTTGTCGACCACCATCACCACTCACCTGTGAACTCTATCCTTGAGGTCCAGCGATCCTTTAGTGATGATCTATAGTGCAGTCCCTTCGATGACATCGAACTTGTGATATACAGCAGCTTGTCGAATGGACCATTTGCTTTCTGTAGTCAAGAACCGCACGGCGGGGCCGAAATGATTGGGGCGGTAGAGCTTCGTGATAAAAAGCTCAGAGCACGAAATTGAGTTGCGGAGCGAAGGTCTGTGAGCGCCGCAAGGATCGATTCCCATGAGGCTCCATCTTTGTGCGCAATTGAAAGCATGAGTCTGTCGCAAAAAAGCGTGTGCTGTGAAAAGGTGGCAAGACGCTGTCGAACAGGCGTTCTCGTGCAAGTGAAAATAAAGGAAAGATGCACAACTTGACCATGTTGGGCTTGAGTTCAGCCGCATGAACTTACAGCCAACTTGAGGTGATTAGCCTGGTGTTTGGAGCCCTTAACGATGAAAGGGCGGGGCCGACTCTCCAGCTTCATTGCTGGAGGCACAGAATGTCTTTCCCGGTGTCTTGTGGTAGACCAATCAAATCATCGAGTTGTATCACCTTCTTGTGAACTTCTATCAACTTAACCTATCAGATTGTTGTGAACGAAGAGCGTGTCACGCCGCTCTCTGTAGCCAAAATACGTGCATGAGCATGGACCCCCCGGATTCGCGCAGGCTCTGGGCGAATGCAGCGATGAATCTTGGACGATTGGACAGATTTGAGATAGATGCCGAGTAATGTTGTCAAGTTACAGGCGTACCCTAGGAAGCTTGGGTCAAATAAGAATCGTAATTGAGTGGGGATCGGAAGTCAAATATTTCAGCTACTGCTGAATAGGGCCTGGCACCCCTGGGGCGATGAGAGTGTGGGCGCTTAGGCTGTGGGCCAAAGCACACAGAGCCTCACCCGGTCGCCTACTGAGCGGTTGTTTTTCGGGCCTTTCCGTCCGAAAGGTCAACCGAAACGCCCGAGCATAAGAGTTATCTCTAAGAACCCTTTCTGAGGATACTAGTAGGCTGTTCAAGCGCAGCCGAGGCTACTACGAAAGGCGAATATACAGATCCCCAACACATTCCCTGGTTCACACATCGCCTGTTCTAATTGAACTCAAGTTACACTTTCCGCGATGGTGAGTACGAGTTTTCAGACTTCATGTATTGCTGGAGAGCAAAGTATGCCTGTGAGACTAGCGACGATGCCTTAGAGCATCCAAGCCGCCCAACACAAGATAGCTGTGTGGCAGAGCCCCATCGGAGTCATCCAGAACCCATGAGATATTAAAGCACAACAGGAGCAATCAGAATGTCCAACGATCAGTTCCCTTGTCTTTTGGTTATTGTTGCGCAGTAGTAGACAATCCTTGAGATACCATTCTGGGGCTGATGACAAGGCTCGCCCTCTCGCCGTGTCGCCACAATTAGCACAGGAGGAAGCAGTCTGAGAGTCTCTGTCATTGTCAAACCCAGAGGCTCAATTCTGATTTCAGGTATCTCGTATCATCATAATATACACCGCCTTGACCAAGACTGTCAGCTGCAAGAGTTCGCGCATGGGAAACCCGCAGAACACCCAGCTTTAGCCATGTGCCATTTCATAATCGCCTCAAGAAAGTCCATCAAGTATCCATAAGTGCCCAAGTATCGTCATCCACTGTCGTGAATATCAGACCTGTGCTCAACAACTCCTCAGAGCCCTTGTATACCTCTGACACAGGCATTCCCATGCTTGAAGCAATCATCTGAACGTGCAAGCCTTCATTGCTTTGCGGAGTACTTTTCAAGGCAGCGAATACTTTCCGAGCCAGGCTTGAGCAATTCGAAAGAGCACTGTCCACACCTGAACCATAGTCAGTTGCACCGCCCTGAACTCCATTGGCCGCCGCAGGTTTGTGACCATTAGCCTGTGCACCGGACGGCGGCCCTCTGGTGAAAAAGAGATGCACAGCTGTGGCCTCGAGCAGATGGTAGTTGATTTCATTATAGTCGACTATAGGTCGAATGATATGAGCACCAACATGCCGCTTGTTGTTGAACTCCTTCAATCTTCCCCATACTCGGCAGTAAGCCTCTTCGATGAGTTTGGGCTTGGTCGATTCAGACTCGACGTCCATTTTGTCCTGATTTGCTTCGGCATCCGTCCACGACATGACTTCTATGAGGCCAGTTCCGTCGTCGATTTTGTATGTGATCTTTGACGGTTGAACGTTGATATTTCTGATTTGACCCACGAATGTGATCTGCACAATAATCTATTAGAGATCGCCCAATGAGTCTCACTATCTCATACCTGACTGATTGATTCGCCATCCACCTTGAAGTCTGCGTCGGGATGTGGTAGCTGGGCTTCTAGGACTTGTTTGATGGTTAGGGGTCGGACGGTATCTTTTCCATATCCTCCCTAGCATCGTTAGGTTGCGATGATTCTGCATGTAGGTAGACACGTACCTTTCCACCAGCCTGACTGCTTTGCGGTTCTCCTGCCACAAAGCCGCCACCATCTGCAGCCCCCGCCGCACCGTAGGAGGTGGAATAATTATTCCCGTTGCCGTATCCGTAGTCTGTCATTCTGGATGTCAGTTGATCCCAGTAGCCATCCACTGCTCTTTGGACTCACCCATGATTGATTTGTGACCTGGTACGGAAGTTGTTGACAATTGTCGACGCAGGCGTAGAAAAGATTGTGCTGAGACGCGTTCGCCCACACCGGACGCGTTAAGTGCATGCGGGGTCAAATGCCAAGGTTCACTCTCGATTAAAGCGGCGGGCCAAAATTTCTCAAAAATTGGAGATTCTCAAGCGCAGGCAAAATTTATGATGGGTTACTGGTCCCCCAAGTCCTACGACTGAGTGTACGAAAAGTCGAGTGCAATCATGAATGAATGAGGTCGCGCAGTTAAACACAGAAGAGACAATTTCTGTCTATCGATTATGGCGCCCCGACGACCCTCCCCAACGCCGTCCGAGAATGAGGTTGACATTGGAGCCTCGTTGTTTGGAAATAATGCTGGGTCAGAGTCAGACCGATCAGAGGCCGGACAGGCTAATATACCTAATGATGACCTCGATGTCATGGCAGAAGGCTCTGGCGAGGACGATGAAGCCATAATTGCCGCACAACTGGTTGCGTCGAACCGAAAATCCTCAAATCTAAAGGGCCGAACGGTGAAGAAAGGCGGAGCGTTTCAATCTATCGGCCTTAATGCCAATCTACTCAAAGCTATAACTCGAAAAGGCTTCTCAGTACCTACACCTATTCAGCGGAAAACGATTCCTCTACTCCTCAATGACAAGGATGTTGTTGGCATGGCAAGAACAGGCTCAGGCAAAACAGCCGCATTTGTAATCCCTATGATTGAGAAGCTGAAGGTACACAGCCAAAGAGTAGGCGCAAGAGGGCTGATCATGTCACCGTCAAGAGAGTTGGCTCTACAGACATTACAAGTCGTCAAAGAGCTGGGACGAGGGACCGATCTAAGATCAATCCTGCTGGTTGGCGGCGATAGTCTGGAGGAGCAGTTTTCAGCCATGGCGACCAATCCGGACATTATCATTGCCACGCCTGGACGGTTCTTGCATCTAAAGGTCGAAATGGGCTTGGAACTTTCAAGCATGAAATACGTGGTATTCGATGAGGCTGACAGACTCTTCGAAATGGGTTTTGCTGCCCAGCTCACTGAAATTCTCCATGCCCTTCCAGCAAACCGACAGACTCTACTATTCTCAGCCACTCTGCCAAAGTCACTAGTCGAATTTGCAAGGGCAGGTCTACAAGATCCTGTCCTTGTCAGACTTGACGCTGACAGCAAAATCTCACCAGATCTGCAAAGTGCATTCTTCTCATTAAAATCTTCAGAAAAGGAGGGTGCTCTTCTACACCTTCTCCAGGATGTGATCAAAGTGCCTACTCAATCTCAACTGATCACATCTGTGGCCACTACAGAGCCAACCAAATCAGGCAAGAAGAGGAAGCGAATTGAATCGGATGAAAAAATTTTACCTAGTTCGAATCCCTTCTCAACAATTGTTTTCGCCGCGACGAAGCACCACGTTGAATATCTGGCCCAGTTATTGCGTATGGCAGGCTACGCTGTTTCATATGTCTACGGTTCCCTTGACCAGACTGCTCGAAAGACCCAGGTACTTGCATTCCGGACAGGGCAAAGCAATATCCTCGTCGTTACAGACGTCGCTGCTCGAGGTATTGATATTCCGATCCTCGCTAATGTGATCAACTACGATTTCCCCTCACAACCCAAGGTATATGTTCATCGTGTAGGCCGAACAGCTCGGGCTGGACAAAAAGGTTGGAGTTACAGCATGGTACGAGATTCGGATGTTCCGTACCTATTGGATCTTCAATTATTTCTTGGAAGGAAGCTGTCGGTAGGACGAGCAGAAACAGAGACAGTCAACTTTGCTCAAGACGTTGTTCTGGGTGGCCTTCGTCGTGAAGATATACAGAGCAGCTCTGAGTGGGTTTCCAAAAGCCTGGAAGATAGTGTGGATCTTGCATCCTTGAAGTCTGTCGCAGTTAAGGGCGAGAAACTATATCTCCGAACACGAAACGCTGCGTCATCTGAGAGTGCAAAGAGGTCCAAGGAAGTCGTTGGATCGAAAGAGTGGTCGGAACTACACCCATTATTCAATAATCAATCGGATAATCTAGAAGCCGAGAGGGAGAAAATGCTCGCAAGAGTAGGTGGCTTTCGTCCTCAGGAATCCATATTCGAGGTGAGTGCGAGACGTGGTGGTCGGAAGAATAATGAAGAAGCAGTCGACGCAATTCGCAAGATCCGGGGCGGACTTGAGACTCGCAAACAAAAGACACTCGACACTACTCGACATCGCCAGAAGGAGGACCTTGAGGACGACAACCCCGTCCAAAGGCCTCAGAACGGCAACTCCCAAAACGGGGCTGGCGACGACTCAGACATTGAAACCAATGACGCCCTCTCAGAAGCCTCCTCCGCCGACCTAGAAGTAACATTCAGCCAACCGTACGCAAAGAAATCCAAAACCAACAGCGCCAAAACCTCATACCGCGACCCCGAAAACTTCATGTCCTACCTCCCCACATCCACATCTTTCAACGACGACAAAGCTTACGGCGTCCATTCCGGCGGAACCTCTAATTTCACCAGCGCCGCCCGCCACGTGACGATGGACCTCGCCGGCGACGAATCCGGCAAGAACTTCGGCGAAGCGCGGGGCGTGATGCGGTGGGACAAGCGGCACAAGAAATACGTGCGGCGCGAGAATGATGAGGACGGCAGCCGCAACAGCGGGGCGAAGCGGCTCGTGCGCGGCGAGTCCGGCGCGAAGATCGCCAGCTCCTTCAAGAGCGGCCGCTTCGAGAAGTGGCGGAAGGCGAATCGCGTCAGTCACGTGCCGCGGGTCGGCGAGGCGGAGAAGAACAATGCTGGCAATAATAATGATGCCGGTGGTGGTGGGAATGTTAGTCTGAGCGGTGGCGGTGGGAAGCGCTTCAAGCACAAGCGCACCGCGATGCCCAAGACACCAGACAAATTGCGCGCGGACTTTGAGACGCAGAAGAAGAAATCGGCAGGTGCGAGAGAGCGCTCGGCTGTGCAGTTGGGCAACAGTCGCGAGATCAAGAGTGTGGATCACACGGTCAAGGAGAGGAGGAAGAAGGAGCAGAGGCGGGAGAAGAATGCTAGGCCCATGCGAAAGAGGAAGTAGATGTGTGGAGCCACATATTAAAAGGACGGCTTTTGGCTTCAGCGAGCAAGGAAAATGAGAAGAGTATGAAGAACCGGTTACGAAAAAATTAATGTCAGTGCTTTCATCATTTCCCTGGCTTTGCTCTGCGCTGCTTTCTCAAAATGTTTCCATTCTCATTGAACTCAAGTCTGTGCCTCCAAGTTCTTACTCAAATCAGTGCGTCTCTGGAATGTGGCCATTTCACGCCAGAGGGCTGTTTCTGGACATGCGTTTGTGTCTGTGTCCCCGGTCCAATACCTATGCAAGACTCGTCAAAATCTGGATCCCGTCTCAATCTTCATCTTCCTTCATAACCATCAGTCCAATCAAATATCGCTCTCTCCCTTCAACTCGTTCACATCATAAACGCGCTCAACTTACTCGCTCAACTTGCTCGCTTGTTCGCTCAACCAAATTGACTTCGAAACAAAACGTATGAGGAGAAAGGAAATATCAAAAAACAGATGCGTAGAATAATAGGAAAGAAAGGGTATCTCGCATTTCCAAGAGTATTTTGGGCCCAGCCCGGCCCAGCCATAAGCGACAGGCGTGAAGAGAAAAGTAGAAATTCGATTCCGAAAGCGTCTGAGGAAAACGAAAACAACAGGAAGGCAAAGTTGCCTTAAGACTTCTGGAAAGATCCTCCTTTTCCATGTTCGTGATAAATCAATAGATAGAATTCACTTCTCGAGTTCCGTTGCACCATATAGATTCAACCTGTTGTATGTTTTTTTGCTCGAGCATTTAAAGCACACCCGATTGTGCCGGTAATGATTTGGGGTTTTGGATTTTGATAAACATTGATAGTGACAGGTGTTAATAGCAGTTCCGTAGAAAGTGGAGGATCGTTTCAATACAGCAAACCGAAGGCCGATGCCTGCGAGGAATCCAAGGCGTGGGCCTAAGTGTTGTGGGTGGTACCTTTAATCCAATGATGAATTACTTGCGTACTTCCTTCTCGGGTTTCGCCGATAGTCCTTGGTTTTCCCCCTCCCTGTGATTGCCTGCATACCGTAACATTTAACATGACTCGAAAGCGACAGAATAGTATGTTGCATTTTGAAATTCAAGGCGAAAGACAGATGTTGAGTTGTGGGTTTGTGGATATTTGATATGGTTTGCGGATAGAGGTGAGGCTGGTGGCTTTTCTCGAAATCGTTTCTTTCTTCACCCAACATGGTCAGCCATAGTGGGCATGTCATCGCCGGCTTATAGGTGACAACGCAGTACTAGTCGATGAAGTATTCCTGCCCATAACGATCGACAGCGATCCTCGACGCTCTCCTCTTGTCTCTGACGTTGAAATCTCTGTCATCATCCCGACTATCTCTGCGCATACGCCTGGCGACCTCCTCTCGGATGCTCAATTCACGTTCGCGTTCGTCCATCTCGCGCTCCTTGTTGCTGAGATACTCCTCCCTGATACGTTCTCGTTGATAACTCTCAATATTGCCACTCTGATGCTCAAGAACGTTTGGATGATGGACGTCTCGGTCTTCATTGGGATAAAGAAGTACAGGTGGGAGTTCTGAATTTCGTCGGGCCAATGGCGGTTGTTCATTGTAGTGGTGCTGGACGGGAACGAGGTCTCGTGCTGACTGATACGGCACTGGTGCATCGTAGATCAATTGTCGATCCTCAGGGATACGGATCGGCATAGTTGATTGCCTCACGAAAATTGGACGTTCGTGTCTCCCTTCAGCTGGTCGTGGATAGACAACAAATGTGTCTCTTGGCGTTCGTCCTGGCTTGACATAATGTGCTTCTTCGTGGTACCGTGGGATCGGGGGGTCACTATAGTATCGTGGCGGTTCAGAAGAGTATGATGAATGTCGGACCGGACCGGATGGTCCTCGGCGATGCTCCTTGTAAACGACATCCGGACGTGCTTCACGGCGGACCAAACTTCCGCGTCTAGGAATACCATGAGTACCAATTGAAGTGTTTGAGCTCGTGGCATCATACTCATAACCATAATGGCTCGCATCACTCCCTCCAGAAGAAACACTGCTACCATCGAAGTATTGCTGGGTATGCCTGTTTGGAAAGTGCACCGAATCACCTCGGTGTCGAGACTTCTCTCGACGATGTGTAGACTTTTCTCGATACTCACCCTCGTGGCCGCCTTGGCGCCGACGCGAATGTGACCTTCTTGGATCGCCCACCACTTCGGGATGCTGGTAATGATCATCATGTTGGTCGTGGTGACCATGGGGCGACTTTCCCCGACGACCACGCTTATCATCTTTGACCTCTCCAAACATACCCTCGATAGGAGGAGCGTCCCCATCAAATTCACCTTCCGGAACCACCACAACGTCAGGATCATGGCCATTTTCATGATCATGGAACTTTTCTCTCGATTTACTTCGTTTCTGACTCTTATCGCGTTTCCCACCTTTCTTGTCGTCCTTGTCTTTATTCTTATCTTTCTCTTTGGGCTCGTCGAGTTTCGCGCCAAGTGGTTTGTCTCTTGGAATTTGCGGTGGAAGGCCCGTGAATTGGACCGGGCCATTTTCATCTATTGGTCTCCCGTCCCTATCAAAAAGTGGTAGGTTGGTAATGGGATCAGATAACATGGCTAATCCCGAGTCTTTTCGACCATGCGAATAGTTGTCTTGGGTATATCGCTTTTCTTTCTTAGGTCGGATCTCATAAGTTTCTCGGAGGTCCACAAATTCGGCAGTGTTGGACTTTTGACGTGGTTTTATTGGTTTTTTAGTTCGAGCAAGAATAATCTCCATCTCAGGTACAACGACGGCCTTCGTCTTTTTCCCGCTGAGAAGTTTCTTCGCCTTGATGTAAGCTACTTCCCATCGAGCACTACCAGTCTCCATATCATTGGCCCTTTCGAGTATATTTTCAATTTGGCCGCGCCGCATATGCGACATCCGGCTCATTTGCTCGAGGACAGTGCCATCACTCCCTCTCTTCTCACGCGCCTTTTTCTCAATCTGTTCAATTGGTGCTGAAATTTCATCCTTGAATGCACGACTCCAATCATCGCCATTCTTAGTTAACCGATAGTATAGATAATCTGGCGACACCTTGCGGTCAACCATGGCTTTGACACGCTCTTTACGAGGCCGAACTTCTTCGAATTCTTGATCGTCGTGAATAGACAAAGCTGACATGCGATGCTGGGCTTGTGGCCTTCGCTCCTCGTAGACGGCGGAATCTCTGTAATCGTCCTCGAAATAGGGATCGTCTAGGATTTCGATTCCTCCACCAGGATCAACGGGAATGAAGTGATCTCGAGACGGATGGTGCTCCATTTTTAATGAAGCGGTATCTATCAGGCTGGACAAGCCAGGTGTGGTTTGCTTCGCTTGCGGATACGTCTTGAAGGTTGAAGAAGGAAAGATGCAGAATGCAGATGGAGGGGATTTGGACCAGGTCTAGTGGGGCAGTGCAGGAGCGAAGTGGGAATTGGCTGATGACAGGCAAGAGAACCACGGGAACGGGAATGCTAGATGCAGACAGATGAAGTCAAAAGAAATGGGAAGAAGCAATGGCGTGTAAGACGCTGCAGGATGAATGACAGAGTTGGTTCGACAAGCAGGCAATCCTTGCGGGCGCCCGAACTGAGTGAGTCGAAAAGTGGTGACTCCTCCCCTCGAGCAGCAGTTTGATCGAGCACGAGCGGTTGGAGATGGGTCGGTTGTCGAAGCACATCCGCGACGGCGAGAACGGTTGCCTTGTGCAAAGCGAACCAGTAACAGGCAACGTGTTTAACGCACGGTCCGTACTCCGTACAGATTCTGGCTGCTCTGAAATGTACAAACACATAGAGATGATCAGGTGAGAGGGGGGATGGATTGGCCATGATGGAGCGGGGCAGCTCGAACTCTGCAGACAGAACAGACCAGATCCAGCGAAGGGGAAGAACCATCGAATGGATGAAACAGCGGTGTCTGTGGGATTGAACTTTCTTTGGTTGGAGATGACATGGGACTGTCATCTCGCCAGCCCCATGCATGCAGTAGTTCCAATTTTGAGACCAAATAGAAACTGCCTTGGCGTTCTCATCACAGCTCACGCTGGTTGTATATATGGTCATAGGGGGGAGCAATACCTGGTCTTTTGATGGTGACTATTCTATATTACAATGATGAGCAATGGGTATTTTATTCCCGTCGAGTAAGGGTTTCACAAGACAATGTTCCAATTCTCGGTCTTCAGATCGCCAATTTGTGGGATGAACCGTCGAGGCAGCAGCAATCAGGCCGACACGTGACTTCCCCTCGCATTGATGGTTGTCAGGCTCTGCAAAAGTATCTTCTTTTCCTCAATATGAGAGAACTATGAACATGATAGTCATGGTCGTATCCAGAGCATAACGAGGCGGTGTAGGACCGTCAAATCAGACTCGGTGACAGTACACCCCCAATTAGCAAGAGAGAAACACTGGAGTCAAGACGCCCTCAGACGGGACGGGCCATCCCTGCCACTCGGTAGATGACGATCACTCATCAGTGAAACCCCAGTAGGTCTCTTCCAAGATAAAAAGCTGCCTCAGGCAGCATAAGATATCAATATACATGATCGCGGTCTCCTTTTCCGATTTCCAAGTCATGAACACGGCTTTGGAACCACAATTTTCTTCCACTGGTGTTCGATCCTTGAAGGGCGTTCGCCTCGGTGTTCTTTGACGTGGCCAGGAGTGCAGTAACCATTTTCCTATCTGGCTCCGAGCGCAGAAATACCGGGCCACCAATGCAGTGTTTGATGGCGAGCCACATGAGAATAATCGTGAGAGAGATGGAAACAAGCTCCATATTAGCTAATGAGGTCAGCTGGAGTCAAGGCTCCGCCCCCTGATCAAATCAACATACCTGTGATTTTCCCGATGTAGTTGATGGTGTTGACTCCAGTCGGGCTTTGTGCATCTCCCCGTCTGGAGATGATTTGGTTGTCTTGGAATTGCCGCACGGGCAGGGCGAAAAGGCCGGTTATGAACGTAAGTGGTGTGAACCTAATCGTGATGATAGTGAAACCCAAGACGGCCGCGCTCATGATCGCGCTCGAATGTGCTTCTCGCATACTTGCATGCTTGGCCTTTAAGTCGAGCTTCGCCAGAATCAAATCCTACACACGCTCCGCGTCCTTGTTGATCTGAGTGATGCGCCGCTTGTATCTTCCGAAGAGCTCTTGTGGCTGCATAATCTTTTTCCAGATTTTCCTTTCTGAGAGCCTGATAGTGCTCAACTCTGCCACTGGGATGGCCATGCAACCGGTTGTCCAGTAATTTGGCCACGCATTGCTCGCGAATTCTCTCCACCCATCTTCTTGTTGGGCTAAAAGGCGCGCTATCATGGCGATTTCCTCCCGAACATCGTCGATCTCATGAAGATACCCTGCCTCCGTTTTTCTGTTGATACTATCTTTCCCTTCCTCCTTCAAATATGCATTGACCCCGATCGAGACCTGAACAACCGCTTGTTCGAAGTATTCGAGAATGGAGTTTCCTCAGAAGTTGTCAAGGACCGAAGTTTTCTCCAACTGTTCGATTAGCTCGGCGACTATGATCCCCACACGCTTTGGTATGCTTGTGGTCTCATGCCCAAGGTGTTTGCGACCTGGCTCATCTACTCCTGAGACCCAACCCGGGGTTGTGATCAATGAAGTCCCGAAAGCCCAGACCCATGACGGAGAAACAGTGAGAATATACGGAGACTTTTTGTTTGTGACCCTAAAGAGTACTTGATTTTCATATTTGGCCTTTCGAGCCTCTCATTGTCAAAAAGAAATGGATTGCAGTACTCATCCAGTGGAACTGGATTAAAGACACCAACTGGCAGACCCCTTGATGCAGGACGGCAGAAATGCGATTTATCCAACCTGAAACCACGACTTATTTCTGGTAGGCATTTGGGGTTTTTCACAGATGTCGCCAGTTGTAGATATGGAGACAGATGCCTTGGTGGAGCAGGCGAGAAACCCATCTAGCTCGCGTGGTCATTCGACGCGCGTATGGAGCAAATTGCCGATAAGAATAGAGAGCACTACCAAGTAGCTCAAGCAATATGAAGCCCAGAAGAGAATAACTGCGGAAATTCAACTTATCCAGGTGAAGACAGAATGATCTTCAGGCGGCCTCGAACACCATGGGCATGATCTTCAGGCTAACTACTGTAACTAGTGCGACGAAGCCTCTAGAGTATGACAACCCCTGGTTCTTGCCGCGTGGCTTGTTGTTCTCAACGACTTACAACACAACAGATTACCTGATGCAACAATGAATAGACGATCTAGCTTATACTACTATTACGATAACTCGAACCTTGAATACCCAGCCTCCATATAAAAAGTCTTTACAATCCAGCGTACAAACTCGAAACGTGAAAACCCCGTGACATACCTCGACCCAGCAAGCCGCTAACCTCAATCAGACCCATCGATTGATGCAAGATGAGACACAGGGGACGAAAGATACCAGGTGCTTCGTACAGCGCATACAGTGTACGGTTCACTAGGTCCCGAGATAGATATGTAGAGTACGTATTCTACCCTATGCAAAGCACAAAGATCACGAGATCATGCTTCGAACAGAAAACTCCTCCCCTCCAACCAAGTAACGGAATCAAGTCTCAACGGCAAGGCATCGACTTGCCTAGGTGGCGCAGTGCAGCAGGATACTGCACTGCACTGCAATGCACTGCACGGGTTTTTCTTAGCGGTTGCCTTGCGCCACCATGCATGCATGCATGCGAAGAGATTCAAGTTCAAGTTCTGTACTTAAGCTTTCGCCGACGTAGTGATAAAGACCATGCGTTTTCGAGTTTCCATCCGCACAACGCATCCCCGAACCGCGCCCGCTGGTTGCCCCTCGGCCCAATAACGAGCCTCCTCGCTCGAGGTCAATCGGGCAAAAGCAAAAAGCCAGCTTAATAAATCGGGCGGATCCTTTTTGTCGTCTGCGCGACATGCTATGTATGCGTGGCACTCCGTATTCGTAGCCCGGAGTGACATCACGAAGCAAGCAAGCAAGCAAGCAAGGGTTCCGGATGAACCGAACCGGACCGAATGAGTGGGTGGGTGATTTGGTGGGTGAGGTTCATGCACTCGCGGCACTGCGCGTATCGTGTGACTTCAATTTGCGTAGTGGAGACGAGACGGGCCAATACCTTAAGTCTATGCCTGGGATGGGATCGCCTCACTTCGAAGCTTAGCTTGATTGTTTGCGATGTATTATCGACGATGAGATGGCGACTCGACTCGGCTGGATTGGTTCTTACTGGCGGAAGGGTGGATGGAGGAGTCGGGAGAAGACGGCTTAGTAGGAGGACAGTGGATTGAGATGTAGACGATCTAGATGAAACGGAAAGTCGAGTGATTCATGATGATGGATTATTAGAATACCATAAAAACGATTTACTACTGTAGGTGATTCATTCCCGCCCTGAACCAGCCTTGCCCGAGGCCAATAATATGTGGATGGTGCTGTTACCACAGCATGTTCGCATCCTTCGAAAAACTCCAAGTGCTGGTTCTTCCATGATCCTGTTCCTCCGTTTGAATGCCCTTCACAACGCCCAAATTCTAGGTATGTACAGTGTGGCTTTTTCCACAGACAAAAAAGCTTTCAGTGAATCAACTTCCCCCAAATGTGACATCAGATAGAGATGGAGCAACAATCAAGCGACATGATTTCGTCTCCATGCGTAACACGTACAGGAGTAGTTGTTCGTTTTGTACAATTACCGGAGTGGCAGTTTGACATCTTGAACGCCGCGTTTGATGACTTCGTCAAGCGTCCATCTGGGGGTAACCACAAGTGACTTGGCCACTTTGTCGTGCTTTTCAAGTCGTTTCCGGCTGTGCTCCATTTCCCAAGTGACACCTTCAGCCAGAGGGGGTGCTCCGCCAGCTATACCGCTAGCGAACTTGAGCTGAAGAACATTACCAATCTCGTCGCAAGCTGCCAACACACGATCTAAATCATCCTTGTTATGTGCAGCGGAGATACAGAAACGTGCTCTTGAAGAGATCAGAGGGGTAGCGGGATATCCTACGACCACAACTGAAATCTTCCTCTTCAACATTTCATGTGAAAAGGCAGGCATCTTGGCGGGGTGATAAAGAAGTAATGGAATGATTGGGGAGTCGTCGTGACCGTAAACTATGAAGCCGAGACGCTTGAGACCTAGTCTCAGATATCTTGAATTGAAGGCGATTCGTTGGAGACGCTCCTCACCCTGACCTGGATTTAGGTCACCATTGATGAGCCGAAGGGATGCCATAATCTGAGTGATGACTGCAGGAGCTGGGGTTTCTCCATAAATGGTGCCTGCATTGGTAACTCTCAGCTTATCAATGATAGCTTTGTCAGCAGCGATGTATCCACCATTGGCACCGAAGGACTTGGTCAGAGTTCCCATGAGGATATCAACCTCTGCAGGGTCAATGCCGAAATAGTCACAAACACCTTTGCCATGGGGTCCAAGAGCGCCAATGGAATGTGCTTCATCAACGAACAAGTTGAACTTGTAGCGTTTCTTAAGTCTGATCAATCCAGGGAGGTGGCACATGGTACCTTCCATGGAGTAAAGTCCTTCAACCACCACCATGATCTTCTTCCATGGGCGATGGGTACGGGGCTGACCTTGAGAGATTGCTTCTCGGAGCTTTGATTCCAGATCTTTCATGTCGTTATGTTGGAAGGAGGTGATCATTGCTCCTGACAATCTTGAGCCGAATCGAATGGATGCATGATTTAATTCGTCCGAGATGATCAAATCACCTTTTCCGACCAGGGCCGAGAAGACCGCAGCATTGGTCCCAAAGCCCATAGAGAATAGCATGGAGGATTCTTTTCCAACAAAGCTTGCGATCAAGCTCTCACACTCAACAGCCAAGTCTGAGGTACCCACTTCGGCGCGAGAGCTGCTTGTTCCTAGGCCATAACGCTTGATTGTGTCTTCCACTGCATCGGCGCATGGACCATCAGACTGTGCAAATCCAAGGTAGTTGTATGAGCTCAAATTGAGGGTTTCAGTGGTAGAACCAGAGAGTGCGAAATGATAGTTTCCGTCATCCGAGGAGCGGTCAAGCAGATTGATGTAGCGGCCAGGTACACCGGTCGTGGGTCTATTGAAACAATCGTTGATGCGCATCTTCAGACGCCGCACATAGAAATTGTCAAAGTCGCTATTGAGCGCTGCATATCCGTTGCGAGCCTTCAAATGCCGATAATTGTCTTCCTTGAATTTCATGCCAAAGAAGTCTCTGACGTGACCGAAAATGATCAGAATAAGATAGGAGATGTAAGTGGTCAACAAGTAATAGTACGGCGGTTCGTCCATAATAGGTTCAGGAAATTCCCCTCCTTGATGTCGACTTGTGTAGCGATGCGACTGGGAATTCAGCGGGCCGAATTGTGCATGTTGTTTGACCAGTTTTCTCGTCTCGGCCGCAGAAGGTGGCTGGAATAAGGTGGTGGGTGGTTCGTCCATGTTTGTGGAGTCTGCGCGTGCAGTTGAAAGTGAAATGCTCGGTAGCGACAGTGATGGAAAGCTAATTGGCGGTGAGCCAGAGGCCAAAAAGGCCTGCTCCTGTGCTTTGCTGGCTGCGAGCAAAGCCGCAGCCGCTGTTTGGGCCTCTTTTGTCTTGGGCGAAGTGGAAAAAAACTGAGCAATCTTGCTTGCCTTCTGAGAGGTCTTGTTGACGAAGGTGCCGCCCTTGTCCGTAGATGGCGCAAAGGACGGCCAAGGGGTCGGAGGTGAACTACTTAACAAAGAGGTTGAAACTCGACGAGGCATGGCCAGACAAATTCGGAGAAGGTGAGAAGAGGGCTCTCGAGAGGAGACAGTAGCTAGAACGGCGCTGGCGCTTTATTCAAGCGCACGGTTCTGTAGAAGCCAGTCTGGTAGGGTAGTTGTCTTCTAGCCCGTCTTAATCTAGACGCGTTTCGATGTGGCGGTGTACGAGAGGTGTCGGGTCCGGTGAAAATGGAGACACAGAGCTCCTAGCGTCGATTGGAGGGGAAAGACGAAGGCTGAGTATAAGAGCTGTTGAAAGAAGTGGTACTTAGGTATAGGAAGGTTGGAGTGGAATTCAGAGAAGTGAAGTGTAGTGGTCGACGCAGTGTTGCAAAAAAGGGAGTATTGGCGGAATCCAAAGGCTGAGGTAAAATGTATGACGGAGGTGAAAAAAGCCCGTTGGACTACCTGGGCAAGCCTAGAAAAAGCTGATGGGTGATGACTGTAGGTGGCGGGCTGGCCGGATGACCAAAGGTTCCAAGGTTTCTCCAAGTGGTTCCGCCCTGATCCGCTGGGCTCTGGTTGGACTGGATGAACCTGTGCCTTGCAGGAACCGCCCGTGGTCAGCCGCACTTGTTGAGCCAGCCACTGGGGTACACTGAGGAGCGCAAGGGATTTGCGACGAGTTGAGTGAGATGAGGGAAGGTTAATAGGATAGAGAAAGAGAGGAGAGGACAAGAAAGAGATGATGATGGATAGTTGGCTGATCAACCAGGAGAAAAAAAGATGGATAATATGATGGTGCCCGAAGGATGGAAATAATGGAGCTTGATGGAGCAGAAGAACGGCCGCGAGATAGTGCTCCGGATGCGTCTACACGAAAGGCACGCGAAGCTCGAGGAATCGAAATTGGAGGTGACAGGGAGAGAGATTAGGAATTTAGGAGACCTGAAAATAAGGGTGAGGAACCCCCCTACAATTGGCCAGGCTGGCACCCACTGGGCGATGGGGGAGCCCGGAACATGCCTAACAAGTTTCGCCCGGAGGGTTAACACCTGAAACTCTCTAGTCAGCCCTCTAGTCTTGATGATCGCTTACTCGGGTGCTCCAAGCGAGCCTCCTTGGCATTTCTAAATTCCATCTTCAACTTTCACCTCTGTGCTTTCTGATGAACCAAACCCCTTTCAACAAGATGATAATCAGCCATCACGGGTGCAACCGCTGCACAAGCTGAATAACGCATAACAATTGCCCAACTGGATCATGATGCTTGAACGATTGGTTTCACCAGCTACGGCCATGTCGCGTGCTCCTGGTGATGCATAGCCGCTTGATAAGTACCTAGGTACCTAAGGTAGGTAAGAAACACGTTCCCGACCGGCGACTTCTTGCCTCACAGAGGACGACGACATGGTAATTGACCTCAAAGCTTGAGATTGAGAAATCCATCTCACGCCAGTGATGAGTGAAGAATCTCTCTAGGTACCTAAGTATCTTTCGACGTGCAGGATGTCCAAGAACCTCCAATTCACGTGATCACGATTCACGAGTGACAGCCCGAACTCTGCCCCTTCCTTCGGAGTTCACGCCTGCCGAGTAACCTCGTTTATCCGTCTTCCGGGTGACGATCGTCGGCGCTGTTCCGAAACGACTTGCTGCTTTAATCTCAACCAATCCAGTTCAGCGTTACCACCAACAAAATCTGAAAAAATGATCAGATCTAGCAACTTAAGCGGCCGAGGCTCAACAAAGTCCGTCATTGCCCGACCCTGATTCGCTATGACTATTTTTGAATTTCGAGGGTCCTCCGCAATATTTCTGTGCCCTCTCCCAGGAATTCCCCAGGAACGGATCTCAGTCAACCCAACATGGCTATCACGAATGGTGTTAACGGCATCAATGGTACCAACGGTACCAACGGTACACATGTTAGCAATGGCACTACCAATGGTGTCAATGGGCATGGACAGGATTCTGCGGAACTCTGGCGACATCCCCGTCCAGAAACAACAGAGTTCTATGCCTTCCAACAACACCTCATGAAGAAATACCCTATCCACTCGGATAGCTATACTGATCTGTGGAAATGGAGTATCGACAATCCTGCAGACTTCTGGGAAGAGATCTGGCACTATACAGGCATCAAGGCACACAAGACTTACGACTCGGTATGTCAACAATAATCTAAACCCCATTCCGGAACACACCGACTAATTGAGCACGCGACCATCTAGGTCCTTGATACATCGGCCCCAATGTTTCCCAAGCCGACGTTCTTTCCAGGTTGTGAGCTCAATTTTGCAGAGAATCTCTTGTTTCCAACATGCAACCCTTCCCCAGAATCGCACGCCATCATCGCAGCTACCGAGGAAACCCGAGAACAAGTAACATGGTCAGAGCTGAGAGAAAGAGTGCGGGTTTGCGCCGCCGCGATGACAGCCCACGGACTTCAGAAAGGCGATAGAGTGGCAGGATATCTCTCAAATCATGCCAATGCGGTAATAGCAATGCTGGCTGCTACATCCTTGGGCGCTTTATGGTCTGGCGTCAGTCCGGATACAGGAGTCCATGCCGTTCTTGACCGCTTGAAGCAGATCGAGCCTGTTCTACTCTTTGCTGACAATGCCGTCACATACAACCGCAAAGTTCACGAGACCCATGCCAAAATCTCCCAAGTCGTGGCTGAGTTATCCTGCGTTAGAAATCTCGTTATTTTTGAATCTATTCCCGACCACAGCTTTGACCTTGCGACACTCCAGACACATCAAAACACTACGGTAGAAACATACGCTTCCTTTTCTTCCAAAGGCGACGTCTCGCGGCCACTTCAATTCACGTATCTCCCTCCCGACCACCCTGTATATATCCTCTACTCCTCAGGCACGACAGGCGTACCGAAACCCATAGTGCATGCGGCACTAGGCACACTTCTTCAACACAAGAAGGAACACCTAATCTCGTCTGATATCAAACCTGGCGAGAGGGTTTTCTATTTCTCTACCACAACATGGATGATGTGGCACTGGCTGGTTTCCGGACTCGCAAACGGTGCCACCATCGTGGTCTATGACGGCTCCCCATTCCAACCCCACAAAGAAATGAGTATGCCACTTTTGATCGATGAACTTGGTATCAACCATTTTGGAACTTCAGCAAAATACCTTTCAGTCCTAGAACAAGCCCAGACCTTTCCTAGGAATGCGTCGCCCCGGTCGGCCACCCTTCAGTCTCTCAAATCGATCTTCTCCACGGGCTCCCCTCTTGCTCCGAGCACCTTTCACTACGTATACAAAGCGCTGTCACCGCCTCCACCTCACCAGGGGATACTGTTAGCATCCATAACTGGCGGTACGGACATAATTTCCCTATTTGCTTGCGGTAGTCCCATCCTCCCTGTTCATGCTGGCGAAATCCAGTGTCCGGGTCTGGGTATGGCGATTCGCAGCTTTTCAGCTGACGGCAAAGATATTTCGCAAACTGGAGAAGCCGGCGAATTAGTCTGCACAGTTCCATTCCCATGTCAACCCTGTATGTTTTGGCCTCCTGGCCCGAGCGGCGAAAAACGATATAAATCTTCATATTTCGAAGTCTTTACAGATCAGAAGAGCGGCCACCCTATATGGCATCACGGAGATTTTGTTCGCTTCAACCCAGCGACGGGTGGTGTATGGATGCTTGGTCGCTCCGACGGTGTGTTGAACCCGATGGGCGTTCGATTTGGGTCCAGCGAGATATACAATATCCTGTTGAAACATTTCAGTTTGGAGGTTGAAGATGCTTTATGCATCGGGCGCAAGCGCGCACAAGATGCTGACGAGGTTGTGGTTCTGTTTTTGAAAATGGCTACTGGCCAGACTTTCGGAGAAGACCTTGTCAAGCGGATTCAGGATATGGTCAGGAAGGAATTGAGCGCAAGGCACGTCCCAAAGCTCATCGACGAGTGTCCAGCCATTCCAGTCACCACGAATGGGAAGAAGGTTGAGGGCGCTGTAAAGCAAATACTCAGCGGATTGAACATCAAGACAAGTGCAAGCGTAGCAAACAGCGATTGTTTGGATTGGTATAGGGAATGGAGCAACACGCATTGACGAATTGTACATCGGATACATTGATTGATATTGGAGTACGACAAAAATTGGGAAGGCGGCCTGAAGTCGAGGGTACGAATTCATGAGACAGTCCTCGCGATGAGTAGATACCTACGTAGGTACGTTTGTATACATCATAATGCAAATAAGGTATAGAGATGGAACCCCTAAACGAATGAATTATGATTTACTCGTGGTTGAGCAGCTTTCAACACTTCACCTAATCTCAATACAAAAATGCAAACCACGAGATCTTGTTCCGCTGGCCGGGTCGGATACAATTCATTGACCAAAGCTGGGAGCATGTTTCGCACTCGACGAGTTGGTCTCCCAAACGAACTCGATCGCCATCGCCCGCCATTCCCCAAAACAGAAGACGGATGTGTAGCTATCATGCCAGTAGAAATTGACCTGACCCTGCTCAGTGGCACTTCGTCCGTAGAGGATGTGGAGCTATACTCGTAACTAACTAGCGCGATGGAAGATCTACCCGTCCGCATGATATCGTGCAGGTTAGTCAGTCACAAAGCCGACGAAGAAGCCAACATGGAAAGCGCACCGCTCTTGTTCCTCATCACCCTGCCAGAGCACGACAAACAACACCACTTGGTCCCACCCGAGTAACTTCCAAAACCGACCCTCCTTATCCAGTGATTGGGTTTCATGCTGCCTCGGTCTCTGCAGTGCCAGGCAAAGTCAGTCATCCATGGGGGATCAGTGATCACCAATTAACTAGTGTACGAGGTTGTGTATCCACATAAATACGAGTAGCAAAGGCGATCAACTCGATCGGCCGACGAATCTCGGAATCTTGAAAGTGTCATGACAGTGCTTGGAAGCGTCGTGTGACAGCTTTGACGGGTTTTTCTCCCCACCCTATTCAGCTGGTGCCAACTGTCACGGTCGACTTGGACGTATCTCGGATGCGAGATGAGATGAGATGAGATGAGGAGATGAAAGAGTTGAGACGCGCGGACATCTTACGCTGGGCTAGGTGGGTACTTAGGAGGCACGGGGCAGCCAAGAACCCTTATTTCGTGTGAATGTTTCTCAGGAGTAGTCAAGTTACTAATGGCGGGTTGGGTTATCGATGTCTGGAAATGGAGGATTGGGGAGGGATGGCAGTATTAGCGGTGGTGGATAGTTCGCTACAATGGTACATAGGTATCTGTTCCACTGTGTTTTCGACAATGGAATATGATAGCTGCAGGTGTTGCACAGTCATCAGCGCCAGATACGCCATTGCGAGTAACGGAATGATCTCAAAGGACATTGGTGAGATGTCTGTACGGCATTTCCATTCCTTCTCGACCCTCTTGTTTGAGCACAGCAGCTCAGCTTGGCCCTTGACTGCTTCTTAATATCTCCAAGCCATCCACTTCCAGAGCATTGCTGTCACATAGTATGTACTCAATCAACATGGCGAGATTAGAACTTGGTAGCAGTAGAGTAGGCAGTTTGAGATTTCCCTTGTCTTCTTCTTCTTCTTCTTCTTCTTCTTCTTCTTCTTCTTCTTCTTCTTCTTCTTCTTCTTCTTCTT